TGCCAGATAAAAGGGTAAAAAAACAATGATCATATTTTTTACTGGCAAATGAGGTACCAATGGTGATTACCAATGTCTTCACAGCTACTGCAGCATCGACGCCTCCAAAGAATGCTAACATTCTGGAGTAGAGTAGAACCCCTCTTAACGACCACCCTGGTTAATGGTTAACCCCAGTGTGTAGTGTATAGTAATGTATAGTAATGTAGCGTAATGTATAGTAGTGTAGTGTATCGTAGTGTCGTGTATCGTAGTGTGTAGTAGTGTAGTGTATAGTTGTGTAGAGTGGGGACCCCTCTTAACGACCACCCCGGTTCACAACTAATAGCTTATTATAAAGTAAGTATTTTTTGGTTGATAAAGGGTAACTTTCTATGCTATCGGAACGAATTAAGCCTTTATAACATGTATTTCCTACACTCGCTTAATGGCCAAATAACTTAACGACAGGTTTCATGGCACCAATTACCATAATTGAGAGGTTCTACTGTACTACAGAGGTCGCAATCGGGTACCCGATACCCGTACCCTACCCGATACCCGGCTACCCGTACCCGGCCGGGTACGGGTACCTGTTTGCAACCCTGGTGCGGCCGGGTACAGGTAGGCCGTGATTCACTGGTGAGTAACCGTTTGTCACTCATTTCCCAACGTCTTGTCTCTTCTCACAATTCAAGTTCCTAGAATCAACCCACCCGCGCCTGCAACATGGCTTCATCCCAGAGGTCGCAAACGGGTACCCGTACCCTACCCGATACCCGGCCGGGTACAGGTAGCCGGGTATCGGGTAGGGTACGGGTACCCGTTTGCGACCCTGGTGCGGCCGGGTACGGGTAAGGAATCAAAACCCATTTGCGACCTCTGCTGTACTATATTTAATATAAATAAAATATTGCCTGTTTTATTCCAACGTAGCTTTCATCTGAGTGAACTCTATGGCCTCTTTTCGGGTGAGGTGATAACAGTAATTTCACATGTATTTTTGATCATTGACATGAAACTGTTCCAGGAAGTCAGTTTTTGTTTCAGGCCTCTGTCTGGGTCAAAACAAGTGGTGTGAATGTTTAAACGACTCCGTGACCTGTCTGTCTTCGCTTGCTGAAAGTGGAGCAATCACCTTGGTAGTCAAACTGGTAAATACAAAACGTCGGTGTCTGCAGCACAATATTAACACATCTCGACCACAAACCCGGGCTTCTCTCCTCGAGGTAGCCTCTAATATTCTTCTCATTCTTCAGCAAAAAAACGAATTACCCCCCTACTGTGAATGGATGAATTATCACACAATGTAAACTTCAATTCAGGAATCTCTTCGCTAATTGGTATCTCTTCGCTATTGTTCACGCAACCAAGGCAGCAGACATCATGCTGCTCGCAGCAGACATTGCAGCAGACGAATGCTTGTGTTGCATTCGAAACGTCGTGATTTATTTTATTTCTACCTACGTGACTTTACCGAAAGAACCAAAGAGTATGGATTCCTGCAGTCACAACAGCTTCAAATCAAGATGAGACTAAATAACACGAGTGTAATTTTCATAAATGTTTAAATAACTCATCCTCAAAACGACAAATTGAGTAACTTGTATCATATCGATATGGATGGAGTGAAAGCAATTAATCATTGCGTACCACATATCTGTGTGACTCCTGAATTTCTCCTGCTGGCCCTGCTAATGCGAAACATGACGTGTTTGTACAGAGCACCCATCGCGTGCGGAGCCCCACGCGGCCACAGCGGAACACCCGAGGGACGCTCGCAGGAGGGCCGCAGTGGCAATGAGCAAACACAAACGTGTAATTGCAAACAGAGAGGCTATTAGCGATGCCGATCATCAGTGGAATAATGAGCGCAGTAGTAATGCCGCGCGAGATGCAATCTCGCGTCTGTGCGCGCGGAGTCACGCCGCGTGGCGAGAGTGTGTCATGGCGTTTCGCGAGAGGCATTAGGCACAATTAAATGACTACGACAGTAGTAACGATAAATCAAATAAACATTGCCTGTTTGTAAACGTATTTAAAAATCCTAATTGAAATGCTGCGTACACCAAACATAATAGAGACGGGGTTTCCATCCAAGGAGCAAGTCGCCTCATGCACTGTCGCCCTACACAGATGCGAAATTAAATAAAACAGCACCCCCTCCTTTAAATCGCACGTAATGAAACCCAATGGAGCTTATGTGGCCACAGATGTAACGGTTAAACAATTGGAGCCGTTCCAGCCGCAGGTGGCAGGCCATTTTAACGCCGTTGTTCTGTCAACAGGTGATAGAGAAAAAACAGCGTCACAAAACAGCGACGCTCAAGGTGCTGAACTGTAACATTTTAAGTCGAGTAGTAGAGTGGTATTCGCGTGGGCTGCCATCATCAATGTCACGTGAGTAGGGCTTGGGAGCGGTGGCGTAGCGGTTTGCGCGCTGCGCTACGAACCCGGCGACCCGAGTTCGATTCCTGCTCACGGCCAACACCAATAACGATTATCTGAACCGGTCCTGGGCCTCCCCTAGGTCGACGCAGCCGCAAATGAGTACCTTGTGCGCCACTGGGGAGACGAAGACGGTCGGCCATGGTGCTGGCCACCCACCCCCTCGTGTGCCGTGCCGGCCTTCATCGGTGCTCGCTAACGGCACTTGCCCCAACAGTCTGTTACAGGCCATACGGGGGTTCTTTGTATTTGATCAGTTCAGAGAATATTTAAGCTCAGGGGGCGTGGGGGGTGTTTGTGGTTTCTCGGCGTGGTGGTTCCCCACGTGTTACGAAGCAGGCGGACCGTGTGCACGGCTGTCCCCCGGCCTCACTGCAGCGTTGCCGCCCTGTTCCTCCTGTGCCCGTTCCACATGGCCTAACATGTTGTGCAACAGGCGCCCGTAACGCACTGTGGAATTTGAACTTAGAACGAGATAAAGTAACGTGACTGTGTCAAGAGGTTGTGCGTGAAGGAAACCCGAGTTCGAGTAGATGATTTTGTGTCACCGGTTGAGAATGCCCCAGGAGACCAGCATCGGAGTCTCATTTGAAAAAGTGACCTGGGGTCACCAAAATGACAAAAACAAAACAAACCAAAAAATAAAGTAATGCAGCGAATAGAAATCATGGCAAAAAGAAATTTGCGTCAGTGATTTTTTGTGCTCGGACCGTAATATTGACCAAGTGGAATGGTTTGTTGTGCCCGGCATAGTGGATTTCCCCAAAATGCTCTGAAAGCTACAGTTATTCACGTACCATTGTGCTTGTAAAAACATCCTGCTCATACCGCTGTATGTACGGTTTGCAGAACGCTGTACTCATTAAAATGCTGCACAGCAAAGGTTTTGCTGTTTGGTATCACACCTTCACGTGGACTCTGGTGCTTTAGAACAGGGCAGTGTGACTTAAATCAAGGCCTATTGACAACTTTACTCAGCCAAATCGCGTTATAGCCGAGGACAGTATTCAAATAGAAAGCAAACGGTGCATACAGACTGGAGGTAACGTTTTGTATTAAAAGTAGTTTGCAAAGCCTTCCAAGAGGTATGCATTGCCTAACGCTCTCGTACTCAGCGTGTGCTGGCTTCCACCGCTTCCTGGTAGGTGTCAGGCCTCGTGCCTGTTGTGCCTTGCAGTGTGTGCGACGCACGTCCCTCCACTCGGCTCCTCCACGCGGCCTCCCCACGCCTGGCTCGGTGCCATTGTAACCCATTCACTCGTCTCTTTAGCATCTGCGAAGCGATCTGCTTCGCTGCTTAATGAGGCAGTTGAGTCTTCGCAATCGTCTAATTTTTTTGCGTTCGTACTTCCCCAGTGGAACATTACCGTGCTTAGCACGGTCGGCTACGTACGGTGCAAAAGTAGTTAAACGTACATACATACATACAAGTAAAGAGCTACTGCAGGTTACCAGCAGAGAACTAGTTTGTAAACATGCCTTACCGTAATTTTGTGAATTTTTCACGTGGGCTAGGATAGAAAAGGTCACAGAGAGTAAACAGATGAGTCGGCCGGGGCTGTGTTTTTCCCCGCGTGGTCGCCGCGCGTGGTCGCTTTGGGGAAGTGTGCGGAGGCTGAGTTGACGTGGCTCTGGAAAGGCCAGTGACGTGGCCCTGGAAAGTCTGCTGCGTGGGGTTTATGGTCATTTCACTCCATTCCGTCTGTTGCCGTGATTCACGCGTCCACGTTTGAGCTCTTGGGCATTTCAACTGCACTATCCAACCCGTCGGACAAAGACGGTCGCTGCATCGCGCGCTTTCACATGCTCTTCTGCGGCCGTCTGGAATGCTCTTCCTTCCGATATTAGGAAGCCACTGGAGCTATTCACTTTTAAATCAAAATTTAAATCTTAATTTCTTTAGAACTGCGTTTTGTGTTTAGTTTGTTGTCCTTCCTCCACACCTCCGATTAGCACGGTTGGCTGTGTACAGTGCGAAAAAAGTTCTACACACACACGCAAACCTGAAACTCCACTTGGTGGTAGGTTGTGCGGCACTCTGAATGCCATATCTGTCATATCTATCGCAATTATTTCTTAATGCTTGGATTGGTTTGACAGGCTGGGCATACAAAAGGAAAATGTGACGGTGACATCACAATTTACATTAACTTTCTGAAATGTAATCATCACATGATACAAAGAGTCTTGCCACTTCATTTGTGGAATTGGGTTTCGAATTGGCTCACAGCTCACCGTTGCTGTTGGTTTTCTCTTCTCTTGCACCACATCTCATCCCAAGTCACTCTTGCAAACGAGACCCTGTCCTGCTTCTTTGAGTTCTCACATGGCTCAACAAATTAACCTGATCTTGATCATTCTCGACAGCTCCACAGATACACGTTGGCTCATCCCTCCCACCTGACCTCTCAAATGCTTCTATTACATTTCTTTTTTTTTTAAAGGAAATAGTTTGGTTAATATTTTAGTTTGTGTGGCGATTAAATATATTTTTCATATATTTAGCGGATTCAACTTTATATTATTTCTACTTAGTATCACTAAGGTTCGAGTGCTTGACTCACAATCAAATGGAGGTTTTGCTCCATATTCAATCACTGTGCCTCTGTCCACCCACCCTATTAAATAAGGGTACGCCGCGCTCAATCGGCGGATTGAGTGTAGTGGGGAGAAGTCTGGGTAATGCCACCTCTTCCGAGACGTCTAGTCAATGTGAAAGAGTAGGCCAAAAATCCTCTGGAGGGGCTCTCTAGAGCTCCCTCTAGTTGAAGCCCTTCTGCCAACAGTGTCATGAGCAGGCAATTGCAGGGCTGCACCTTTTAACCTTTTATTTCATTCCCCCAGGGTTGATGTTTTGTATTTTCTGGTTGTCCTGCACCGCCCCCGTTAGTGGTATTCCTACCACCGGACATTTTCACCTCGTTGGTCGCTGGAGCAGGGAGGAACTTTGACATCACAGCAGTAAATTTAGCTGTGACGGTCCCACCTGATGACGGAGACTTGTGTTGCCTCCGAAACGTCGTGATATTTTATTTTATTTCCATTATTACTTTTATTAACTTTTAATTCACAGCAGAGCTTCAGCTCGTGCGCTTTTGGGTTAAACTTAAATTTCGTTGACGGATGTGTGATGTGTTTTGACTGTGTTCTGATATTGGTCCTGTGTAGCCTGTTTCTTGTCCCTGTAGAGCCAGCGGTTCATGTTGTTCTGGAGTGCACGGGTTGCACAGGTGGCATCTACGAGGCCTGGCACTCGATGTGGCTCGGTCATGGTGAACCCTGCCCGCGACTCGATTGCGAGAACGCCCTCCGTTGATTGAGCTGTTTTAGAGGAGATCAAGAAAACCCGCCCTCGCACTACACGGCTATGTTTGAGCAAACAGCTCTCATTAAAATCGCACGCGACGTGTGGCTACATAGCCTGTGGGTATTTTTTTCTCTCTCTACGGTTGAGAATTTGTGAAGTAGTTTGGAAATGTTATGCTCATCAGAATGGCAGACGTATTGGTTCCGAAGAAGGCAAAAATTTTGCTATTAATTATAATTAATATCAAAATTTAAATTCGAGACCCACTTTTTTTTGTCATATTTTTTTCTATTAGATCCTTGGCTCTATAAATTCAATGTACATTTTCGATTTTTACAGTGTGTCTGATGATGTGTCAGCATTGTGGCAGAATGGCAAAATAAACAAGGACAAAAATATTTTTCAAAAAAATCTGTTATTTTGTTCAGAGTAAGGGGGAGGACAGTACAACATTGGCTGATGTAACATGTGTAAAGAGTGCACGCATCCTATTTGCTGTTGCGGCTCCAGCTCATTGAATTGTGGTAACTCGCCACACATCCACAGTGGACCTCACCTGTCCAGGCGTCAGCCCCCACACGGCACGCCGCACCTATGTGAGTAATGAATACCCTGCCCGGCGTTCCCGTTGGTCCCACGGTGAAATAACTGGATTGCACGGGAGGCTGCCTGGCAGCAACAGTATCCCAAGTGCTCGTGCCTTCCTGCGATCCCAGAGCTCCATGGCATGCCCCTCTTTGGGCACCTGTCGCAGTGACGGCTGCTTGCGCTAGCGGGCTGTGTTATCCCATAACCGTGGGAGGACTGCGCCATTATTGAGTGATAATTTCCAAAAAACACGGGGGAGACTTGAGGTCTGAAAAAGTGTAATTAGTCGTGCCGAGTTTGTGATTGGGAAGTGGTGTAGGAGGCTGTGCGCCCGTAATCTTGTTTTTGTTTCGAGCACAAAGCGCCTCCCGTGAAATTACTATGGGGGCTCCGTGAATCTCACTTTCGCCTGCTTGCCTGGGTGCGCGTTTGTTGTTCTTGATATCCAACAAACGCATTTCTCGGAGCTGCCCAGCACGGTTTTCAAACCACCCCAATCACTTCTGCTTTCCGTGGTTTTCTTGACTCCTTGTAAGGAGTTTGTGGCAAAGCGGACGTGACGTGCCAACCCACGCTTGCTCCGTGTGGCAAAAGGAAAGGTTTTTTTTATCTGAAACGAGGCTATATACTCCCCCGCGGCAGAATTTCCCAAACACTCCCCAACACCACGGTTGAAAATTAGACGGCTCCGAGAGGAACTCGGCTTCTCGGTTCGACGCGAAATTAACCCCCGGGATTAATTTTAGATTGAGGAACTTGCCGAGACCATATATGTTCCCACTCGTTGAGAGAAAGCCGTGTTGATCGCTGCGCCCGTTGGGACACGGAGCCGGTGGAACGCTGCTGCCCAGCGACGTGCGGTCGGCCGACACGTGCGCTCTAATAGCCGCGCGGAGACCCACCGCCCGCCGATGTCCGTGGCTGCCCTCCCCGCTCCGTGGAGACTCGTGGACTTGGGAGCCCGAGTCAAAGCGCGCATGCCGCTCGGTCGCCGTAGGAAGCTCCTGGTAAGCGACACGCGATGGTCTCCACGCGGGGGGGGGCGGCTCTCCTCGTGCGGAGCCAATGAGTGAGCGAGAGCCAGTGGTTGATCGTAAATTTGAAAACTGTTGCGCAGCACGATCCCGCTGGCTTTTCTCGTGGAGCCGTGTCATCTACTCTGCGTGTGTTTTAAACAACTGGGTGATGTAAGTGGTTTGGAGAAACGTGCAAACTCTTACCTGTTGCAATTCTGACATTGTGGTGAGTTGCTGGTTGCTTGAAACTTTGGGCCTGTGCTCAGCAACTCTGTTGAGCGAATGAGCAGTTGTTGATTGTGGTTTTGGTTTACTGGAGACATTAATTTCCAACGTTTTGCCTTTGTAAATGACAATGAATGGTTTTGATTATTTGGTCATTTGAGCTCTGTCCCCTTGTGTTTAGCTTCGGTTCAAATGCCGTGCCCGATGCGGCCGAGTGTAACGATCACCACCTGGGAGTTCACAGCGGTCGTCTCGTCGAGACGCTGGTGCCTCGTGCACGCGGCAGCACAGAGAGACGTCTGTTTAAACTGATATTGTTTTGTCAGTTTAGTGAAAAATCTGGATTAATATGAACGAAAATGGGAAACTAAGGCAGTGACGCGTAATTTGTTTTTAAGGGTTCTATCCTAATCTTTCATAATTTACTTGTGGACTTGATTAATTGGGAGGCAGGGTGTTGACGATAGTGACATTTGCGTTGAGAATTAGAAAATGAATGTGCTGCGGGTTTACTGACGGTGTAGGCCAGGGGTGGCCAACCTGTAACAGGCCAAGAGCTAAAAAGCACCCGTGAGTTCTACAAAGAGCCAAGTGTAGATATGTGTTAACAGTTTTCGGCAAACCACGGGAGACATTCATACTACTCCAATAGAGCTGCGTGTGCGGCTCGGGGAGACGCCAGTTGGCCACCGCTGGCGTCGGCGGTGTAGCTCCTCAGCACGCGAGCCGTGCCGTGGACTCGCGGCTGCGCAGTCGGATCTCCTCGTCCCGCCGGTGCAAGGGTCACGCCCATCGTTTTTTCTTGGTCTCCACGCCCAGCCCGTTCAGCTTGGGACCATGGGGTGAATTCCCTTTGTGGGTATTTTTGTGTCTGCATCTTCGTACAACTGCCTTTCCCCCTAGACCGTTGGCTTCATAGGTCTGACTAACAGGTCCGCTTATCTTCAGTTTATGCATCTCATTCATTTCATTTTACGTTAAATAGTATTCCGGTAACAGAATAACTCAATATTTAACAAGCACACGGTTATCATATTACATTTCTTGGAATGTGAATTATTTTTATACAGATATGTGTAAATCCCAATTTCATGGAAGCTGCAGATTTCACAGTATATATTTTTTTAGTTTTCAAATGGAAAACTTTAGTGAATTGGTGCAATCGTAATAATTGCCCAGAGACGACACGAAGTTGCGTTCCTTTGTTCGTGATTCACGTCCCTGGCCGCCTGCATTCACCCCTGCTGTGCGTGACGATGGGCTCATGAGTTGCACGTGAAATTATTTCACGCCAACACAAACAGAATTGGTGGGGGGGGGGGGGGTCGGAAGCAGTGTCAGTGCAGTGGATGAGTGAGGTAGAGCTGCCTTGGGAAAACTCAGCTGTTTATATAAAAATAATAAAACTATCATTTTTATCTTCTTGCTTCTTTCGGTAAAGTCACGTAGAATGGAAATGATAAAATAATAAAATAAAACATAATACATTTATTAAATTCTCACGACGTTTCGGCCACAATGCAAGCAGCCGTCCTCAGGTGAAGACTGCTTGCGTTGTGGCCGAAACGTCGTGAGAATTGAATTATTTTATTATGTTTTATTTTATTATTTCCATTCTACGTGACTTTACCGAAAGAACCAAGAAGATGAATCCCTGCAGTCACGAAAGCTTTAAATCGAAATATCATTTTTATTTTACCAGTAAAGGCCCACTGAGCTATATAGTTCTTCTTCAGAAGTGGCCTGGCTATTACAAACGATAACTTAACGAAGTGGCTTATCACGTGGAAATTTATAGCAGCCAAATACTCTAAACACACGTTGATTCTAAATGTGGAGGGAAAAACCGAAGGGCCCGGAGAAAAATACACATGACCACGGGGAGAGAGACTTGCAAACTCCGAATTTTCAGGCATCAGGGTCGAAATGGAACCCACGAACTCCTGCATACCAGGTGGTACGCAGTGCGAGAGCGGCGCGTGGGAGGGGGGGATGTGGAGGGTGCAGGGGCCACGGGAAAGCAGGGCGAGCGAACGAGCGAGCGAGACGTGAAACGTTTCCTGTAGACCTCGCCCACAAACAGATTCGGGAAACTCTGAGTTTCTCAGCCTCGGCCTCCGACCAGCATCCCACGTCCATAAACCTGTGGAGACGGGGAAGGAAAAGGCGCCACCCCCACCCACCCACCCCTTTCCTTTCCGCTTTGGGCTGAGTCCATCGCCGGGTGCGTGTGAAAGTGCAGGGAAGTGGCACTCGCAACGATGCCCCCCCCCCCCCCCCCGAACTCGCTGACGCGTGCGGAGCGCGACGGAGGCGTGCGGACCCTGCGAGCGGCGTCGTTGCCATTGTTTGTCCTGCTGGTCTCGCTCGAGTGGAATCGTAATATCCATTTTCAATCTCAAGCGCGGAGTGGCGAGAGAAAGAAGAGGGGGCCGCCCTTTGAGGCCGATGAAGGCGGGTGAGTGTTGCTGAAAAATGGTCTTCGGCTCTTTTAGAAGAGACTGTGCTTTTTATTGAGTTGAGGGTGATTTGGGTTATCGCCTGAAATATAGCCACGTTTTCGCTTTGCTGTTTTTAACATCAGATTGCCTCCGGCGTCGCCTGTCGTGGAGGGATGAGTAGCGCCGATAACGTGATGGATGTGGACCGAACGTATTCATAATTCAGTTACAGGCCATAGGAGGCTGCTCTTATCCTTTTGAAATTGATGACAGCGCATTGCCATCTGACCTAATCTCACTTCCCAGTGACCGTAATGTTGAGTAGTGGACAATGTCCCCTGATGATATCGCACAGGCTCTCTGCCGACAAGTGCGCCACCCCGAGAGGGAGCATTAAACCTGAAGCCCCCCCTTCCCCTCTTTGTCGTGAATACCAGTGGGACCTTCTTAAGTTTATCGGGAGGCGTAATGGGTAGATATGTACCTTGGGTTTGTGTACGAACTCCCTTCGGGTGTTTTTTTAACCAAAATGTAACTACTTTAAATGTGTGTTTGTGTGCGAGTCTGTTGGAGTAAATGGCTTCCATTTTAACTAAGATTGGCGTGTGCATTGGTTTTGGATAAGCAGCTTTTTTTTCGTAACACCTTTGCTGAATTAACAGATTAGATTACCATGTTTTAAATCACGTGGGTATGGGTCAGTACTTTTTTGCCGCACTGTTGTTAAATCCTCGGGCGTTCGGTATCGGGGTAGAATTGCGGTCAGCTGTTGAACACAGGGAGATGTGAGAGAGGGAGTTTCCTTGCAGCTCACCGCATGCGGAGACCGCGTTGTTTTGCGTGGCGTCACCGTCCTCGTGTGTTGTTCCAGGATGTGCCGCCCCTGTGTTTGCGTTGTGGTTCTGGCCAATGCACTCGGCCAGTGCAGAAATGACACAATGGCTCCGGCGCTATTTTACATTTTCCAGTTGTATGTGCCAAGTCGCTGGCTGTTAGGATCCTTTTGAATGGTTAATTTTCGTCATTCATTGGTGCGTCCACATCGAAACGCGGCATTGTCAAAGTGTCGGCATTTTGTATACGTGAATTAATCTGGTGCCTTTTGGCCATTTGTGTCTTAAGGCCTGAGATGTTTATGGTCATTTCTAGGGACGACGTGCGCTGTATGGGCTGTGATCCTCTAGTGTGTGAGTGAGTGCGTTGTGGCGCACGTGATTAGGTGTGTTGCGGGGCATGCGGTTGGGTGCTTTGCGGGGCATGTGAGTGGGTGCGTTGCAGGGCATGAGAGTGGGTGCGTTGCGGGGTGTGTGAGTGGGTGCGTTGCGGGGTGTGTGAGTGGGTGCGTTGTAGGGCGTGTGAGTGGGTGCGTTGCGGGGTGTGTGAGTGGGTGCGTTGTAGGGCGTGCGAGTGGGTGCGTTGCGGGGTGTGTGAGTGGGTGCGTTGTAGGGCGTGCGAGTGGGTGCGTTGTAGGGCATACGAGTGGGTGCGTTGTGGGGCATGCGAGTGGGTGCGTTGCAGGGCATGTGAGTAGGTGCATTGTACAGCTTGTGAGTGGGTGTGTTGCAGGGCATGAGAGTGAGTGCGTTGTAGGGCATGCGAGTGGGTGCGTTGTAGGGCATGCGAGTGAGTGCATTGTACGGCTTGTGAGTGGGTGTGTTGTGGGTCATGTGAGTCGGGTGCGTTGCGGGGTGTGTGAGTGGGTGCGTTGCGGGGCGTGTGAGTGGGTGCGTTGCGGGGCGTGCGGGTGGGTGCAGTTCTGTGAGTGCTCGTCACTAATGTGCTGTTTTGTGCTGCAGCTCCCAGCCGATTCGAACAAGATGCACCATGCCGGGGAGGGGCTCCACCGACCCGTGACAGCCAGCCTGTCAGGCTGCAGCATCGCCAGCGAGTCGGAGAGCAGCAGCCTCTCGGATATCTTCCAGGTAACCTCCCATCTCCACTCCTGCCCGCTCACTAACCCCCGCACCCTTGCGCTATTAGCTATAATCTCGTGATTTTACAGAAGCTTGCGGATGAGTCATGGTTTTCAAAAAAAAACAATAGCTGTGGCCGCACGTTTTTCAGTGTGTAAGTGGGGTCCACGTGGTCCCTAAAAGAGGGAGGTGAGTTTGCATGTCTCTCCCCATGGTTGCGTGAATTTTTCTCTGGATCCTCCGTTTTATTTCCTCATTTATAATCGACATACATTTAGAGTATTTGGATTCTTTAAGTTTCCACATGATAAGCCACTTCGTTGAGCTGTCATTTGTGGCCAGGTGGCTTCTGAAAAAGAGCTATATAGCTCAGTGGGCTTTACCTGGTAAATAGAAATTCTTATAATTTAGGTTTTAGTTTGACGATGTGAGTGCGAGCATCTGCCTTACGGTCAGGCTGTACTTTTTTCCGAACCTCCCACTCTGTGCACGGTGTCCAGACATAGGGGATAACTGTGGATTCGCAGGTCGATAGCGTCTAATGAACGTTTTTTCCATTTACAAAGTTTTTTTTTTAAATATGTATTCATGTTTGTATTTTAAAGTTACTTTTAAAGATGCGTGTCCTAATGATGAGTGCTTACAAGATAATTGAGCACACAAAGTGGTGAATGTTACGACCAGATCGAATTTTAGATACTCATTTGAGAACTTTGGGAGCTCACGAATGCGTTGATGATGATGATGATTATAAAGGACGAGGAGTAGCTTTGCCTCTCGAGCAGGAGAGCCGCTGCGCTCGCTACGTGCTCCACTGCTTAACCAGCCTTGCTCTGCTTGGGTCACCCCTGCTGCCTGCCTCTACACGAGGGTCAAAGCTAGACTATTGGTCACCTACCAGGTGTTGCTTTCTTACCGGCGTGGATATCAAATAACTCTTACTGCAGTCGCAAGGAGCTCGGGCACAGGAAGGCGCCGGTTACTTCATATGTAACGTTGGTCGTTGGGTGATCGTCGTGCTTGTGTGCATGTGTACGGTGTGTGCACGTGCACAGCGCGCGGGACATCGGGCACTTAAAACACAGTAAGGTGGCACAGTAGGGGACACAGGTGATGCATCTGCCAGTCATCTCAGTCAGTCAACACGTGGCAACTGGGTCTGTCCCGTGACCTTCCTGCCAGCGGTCGCTCGAAACTTCACGTGGCCTGGCACATGCACCGTGGTGACGTCGCTGCCACTTAGCGGTGAATGGTGGTTGTTGTTGTTGCATGTGTACATGTGTGCACGCCGAGCCCCATCACGAAGGCGCGCGTGCGCTGCCCGTGCTCTGCAGACGGAGAGCGAGCTGGGTGACATGGACCTGACGGGCCTCACGGAGACCGTGGTGGACTCGGACGAGGACGACGAGGAGGACCTGGACCAGGCGTCCATGTCGGTGTCGAGCCGCGACATGGTGCGCGACTGCCTTGAGAAGGACCCCGCAGACCGCACCGACGATGACATCGGTACGAGCCGCCGTGGCCTCACTGCCCCAGCCTCACCGCGGCCTCACTGCAGGAGAAACTGAAATGTTGTTTTTCGTAACGAGTATTAGCTCACAATTTCGGACGATTAAATACGAGAAAGTCCATGCTATTGAAAACGCTGTAAAAAGTAATTCTAAATATGTATGTAGAACTTTTTTCGCACCACACGTTGCCAACCGTGATAATCTGAGGTGTTGGGGAAAGGACAGCAGAGCGGGGGAAGGATGGAATCCCACAGCACAGCGCTGTCAGTAAATGATGGACAGGAGGACCAAAGTGTTACCGAACATCGTTAGCGGTCACTCTCGGAGGCACCGAGGGGTCGCAGCGGACGGCGTGAGGTTGACGCGCAGCGCGGCACCGCGTCACTGTACCCCACAGAGCAGCTGCTGGAGTTCATGCACCAGTTCCCGGCGTTCGCCAACATGACCATGTCGGTGCGGCGCGAGCTGTGCGCCTCCATGGTGTTTGCCGTGGTGGAGAAGGCTGGCACCGTGGTACTGCGCGATGGAGAGGAGGTACCTGCGCAACTCTCTTCTAAATGCGCGTCGTCATTACCATCAGCATGGCCATCATCACCACCACCACCCGTTATCCTCAGGGCTAACGATCTCATTCATTGTCCTCACCAAATTCGGTCACAGTTCCTATGATCACTGTTACATTGCTGTTATGGCTTTATTTTGGTGATTTCGAAAACGTTTTTTGGTTTGGCCATGTTTGTTTGTGGTAGTACTGAGTTAGACCGATGGCCTTAATCTAAGTTGTCTTGTGGTTGTTGTTGTTTGACTTGCATCCCACTGGGATTTTTGCACATAGCGTTGGTGTACTGTGCTGTTTCTGCAATATTTTGCTGTCTTTTCTTGGATTTTCTGTTTGCACATAGTCACATAGTGACTTTAAGATGTTTTCTTGTTCATGTTTTAGTTTTTTGTTTGTTGCGGTTGCACCCGATTCAAGAGCCGAATGGCTCACAGGGCTATACCTAATAAATGAAACTGAAACTGAACGTGCAGCAACATCTCTAGTATGATTCAAGCATAGCTACCAGAGGTTGGGCCAGGGAAACCAGGCTGGTGAAGTCATTTTTGAAGGCTTCTTCGCCCGTGCTATGACCTCCCATCGTGCCGCTGACCCAACCCTCGTTGTGTCCCCCGCGGCCCTCAGCTCGACTCGTGGTGCGTAATCCTGAACGGCTCGGTGGAGATCAGTCGCGCCGACGGGCGCACCGAGACGCTGTGCATGGGCAACTGCTTCGGGGTGTCGCCTTCCATGGAGAAGGAGCTCATGACCGGCGTCATGAAGACCAAAGTGGACGACTGCCAGGTGAGAGCGCCCGGCGCTGTCGTGGAGCGAAGGCCCATGCCGCTCACTCTCGTGAGTCACCGCGACAAGCGCCCACACGGAGGCTTCGCCGCAGAACGGGGTCTGGGAGCCGTGCCATTTCTGTGATGTCGAGATGTTAACTCCCTCGCCCGGTATACAGGAGGTCATGGGTTCGATCCCAACCCTAACGCCTGCTGTATATTTTGAGTTTGCATGTCCTCCCCGTGGTCGCGCGGATTTTTCTCCGAGTCCTCCGGTTTTATCCCTCCACAATTAAAACATGCGTTTCGAGTATCTGGCTGCCATAAATGTCCACGTGGGTAGCCACTTCGCTGAGCTATCAGTTGTGGCCAGGTTGCTTCTGAAAAAGAGCTGGAAAGCTCGGTAGGCCTTACCTGGTAACATAAAAAAAAAGTTAATTGTTGTTTATTTTAATAAATTATTACTTCAGTGGTTGCTTTGTATGTAAATCCTGTGGTAATGCATCATTTCATTGTCATGGTAGATTCTTAGGCATGTTATTATTTGTATGTGTGAGAAGTGTCCGATACAACTGTGGAATTATCAGACTTTTATCCCATACCTTGACCTTAAACCATGGTTCCCTAGACTTGAACACTCCTGGCATCACTGAGGCCCATTACTACCCTGTGTGCCTGTTGTAACGTCACTTGTTACAATGATAAAGCCGTCAAGGTGATGTTTCAACGGTGCAGTGGTAGTTGGGCATAATAGTTATGCTGTTAGAAAAGTTTGTATGTGTTACGAATATGGTTAGCGGCCAGTGTCATACTTTAAACAAAGCCTAAGAATCTTTGAACAAAGGGCTCAGGAATGGAAACATAGGGGTGGTCAGGTCATTGATATTACACCAACACATCTATTTCTGAAAAATAATTCAGCATTGAACTCTTGTCTCCCAAGCGTGCAAGTGTGTGCAGAGTCACCGAGCTAAAATTAATGGCTCGTTTAAGATCACCGTCTCGTCAAGACTCTAAAGAAAGGGCAAAATTTAATGGGCTCGTGGCTTAACACCCGGTTCGCAGGGGCAGTTTTCACACTCGCCGATTAAATTTCCAAAGTTGGTTCTGGCAGGAAATTCATAGCATGCTGGCTTGCTGCGTGCGTGTCCTGCGTGCAGTTTGTGTGCATAGCGCAGAAGGACTACTGCCGCATCCTGAACAAGGTGGAGCGCAATATGCAGAAGGTGGAGGAGGAGGGCGAGATCGTCATGGTGAAGGAACACCGCGAGCTGGACCGCACCGGCACGCGCAAGGGCCACATCGTCATCAAGGTTCGTGACCATCCTCGCCTTGGCTTCTAAAGCGATTGGGTCAGAGCCAACTTTCTCGTCGCTAGAAATTCATTTCTAATCAATATTACTTCCGTGACTATCAATTTATTCTGCAACATGGTTGTTTACTTACGTAAGTAAAAATATTATAATTGGTTGTGCGCCTTTTGGCGTCATCTGGTCCAACACCATGTGAGACTAGGCTCTAAGGAAAGCTGTCTCGGGTGTGGACCAATCAACTTCTTCAAGGACAGTGCATACATTATCAGAGTTATGTTTTTTGTTTGCATTATGACTGCAGCTATTGTGGTCTATGCATACATGACTCCTTGTAAAAAAGGTGTCAGTTTTGTTGCCAGATAGAAGGGTAAAAAAGCAATTATCACATTTTTTACTGGCAAATGAGGTTCCAATGGTGGTAAAAATATTACTTTATCGTTGGGTTGATGTGATCTTCCGAGCATCACATTTTCAACGGCGAAATACCTACCGCTCGTTCAATGAAAGTCCCCCAGCGAAGTGCTTGCTTCGGCACGCACACCCACAGACTTGTGCGTGCGTGCGACCCGTTCCGTGACGGACCGAGCCTGACCCGCGTGACTCCGCGCAGGGCACCCCCGAGAGACTCATCAACCACCTGGTGGAGGAGCACTCGGTGGTGGACCCCACCTATGTGGAGGACTTCCTGCTCACCTACCGCACGTTCCAGCCCCACGGCCTCGACATCGGCAAGCGTCTGCTGCAGTGGTTCAACGACTCCAGCCTACGAGACAAGGTGTGGGCACGTCTACCGTGCGTCAACCGACAGCTCACGCTTAGCCACGTTTGCCTTTTTTAAATGAATGAAGTGGGCTGCTTGTTTGGTACTGCATAGCTCGTCCCTGCCATATTGCGATGTGCATGTCTGTATGTGTGTGCGTGCGTGGCAAATGGAAACCGAAATAGCTGTGGAAGCATGTGGCTGAGCGTGCGTGCTTGCGTGTGTGGGGTAGGTGACCCGGGTGGTGCTGCTCTGGGTGAACAACCACTTCAACGACTTCGAGTCCGACCCTGACCTCATGCAGTTCTTGGAGAACTTTGAGAGCTGTCTGGAGAGAGAGGTACAACGCGAGAATGTGGCTTGCACCAGCGCACGCTAGGGTGCACATGAATAAAGTCTCCGATTCAAAAGCAACTATTGCGCATGTTAAGCTCTTACCTGCGTCTTTAATACGTTGAAGGATTCAAATAATCGTCACAATGCGCGCCGACGCCTACTTTATCGAGGGGCGATATTGGCACGTAAAAATATAGATCGATTGATGACTGATTGATTGACCGGGTGACCTCCTGCTGCAGAAGATGCACGGCCACCTGCGGCTGCTGAACATCGCGTGCGCGGCCAAGGCGCGCGTGCGCCACGTGACGGTGCGACGGGCGTCACGCGAGTCCCCGCTGGGCTTCAAGCTCGACGGAGGGCAGGACCGCGGCTTCCCACTCTACGTCTCTTCCCTGGACCTGCAGAGCAAGGCCAGCGAGAGCGGCCTCAAGCGTGGAGACCAGGTGCGGCCGTCGTGCCTTCCCCTCCCCCCTCCACCCCCCCTCATCGTCAATGCCCGCTACTGACTGTGCTTATGTCGAATCTGCAATGGAAACCCAGCGCGACAGAAACGTCAACGCAAGCCGGAGAAACAATCAGAATTCACATCACACGCGGGTGTGCAGCATCGCACGGACAACAGCTTTTTCCAGACCACCAGCTCAAACGAACTGAACTTGTGTGGCCGTTTTGTCGTTTAGACCACTGACTAAAACTGTGGCTGTCCCAACAACAGGCAGCAGGGAAGCAGACACAGCTGTATGCTGGTTTCCATTCTCATTGGGACTCATCAGTACAGTACGGTCATCAATGTTTGCTGCTGTCATGAGCCTCTTGGGAATTGCTAATCTGACCTACACTGGCCACACCTTCAGTTCTTTTGAGCTGGTAGTCTGGACAAGGCTGAGAGATGTTGTACCTACAGTGCGATGCCGTTAAATCTACCGTCCTTACGGTTGGAGTATTAGCATTTAGTTGGTGCTCATCTCCTGCTTACAGCCCTGAGCCACTGGTGGAAGTTCCACACTCCTATGGCAGGGGCAAGTCTACTCATAGGACAGCCACTGTTGACTTGTAGAGTCGCTCGCTCGTCCGCTGGGCCTCTAGCTGAGTCTGATGGCCATGTTAGGCTTGGCAAAGGGTGATAGACGTGACGTGTACGTTGTGTGGGGGTGTACTGACGAGAATGTGTTCTCACCTTGGTTTGTTCACCTCCCAGATTCTGGAGGTGAACGGTCAGAACTTTGACAATGTGCTGTTGTCACAAGCCATGGACATCATGAAGAAGAGCACCCACCTCTCCATCACCGTCAAGAACAACCTTCTCAGTGAGTCCAACGCACACACTCGCTCCCAGGGAGAGGCCCCCCGCTCGAGACGGCAGCCCGCAAAACAAAGTGGACGGTCTCCTCTTGTTTTGGTCGTTTATCACATTCGACACACCGGGTTGCGTGCGCCCCTCTCGCGGAGTGCTTTCCGGCTTGAAGAAACAATCCGATGGGGTTTCCCTTGGCACCCGGCCCCGGCTCCAGGTTACAAGGAGATCTGCCACCGTCTGGAGGAGGAGCAGACGAGCGGCGTGCAGCACAAGCCCCGCATCGCCGACAAGCGCTACTCCATCCCCGACCTCACGGTGCAGCTCGAGCTGCCGCCCGGCCACGAGCGCTCCAAGGACAAGAAGGGCAACTCTATGGGCAAGAGCAAGCTCAAGAAACTCATGACCAAGTCCAAGATCAATCTCCTGCCCACCAAACCGTCCAGGTGGGAAGCCCAGCCACTTGGCGTGCTTGCGTTCATCTCGGTGCGATGGCCGGGAAGATTGGCCAGATGATAACATTTGAATGATTCGGCGGGTGTGCCTTGGTGTGCGCAATCCACGTATACAGGTCTCCCTGGATGGGGAGGTGCTGTTGTTCCTCAGTGTCCTGGCCGCAGGCAATCACGTGGGTCTCTTGGCTCGTGGCATCGCAGTGCTTGTGATAGTATCTGATGCAGAATCTTGTCATTTATATCATCTTGTGCGGTATCTTGTCATTGTATTGATATCTTGCGCAGTATCTTGTATTATTTATATAATATTGTGCCACCGGAACTAGTGCGGGAGAGTGAAGCGATTGTAGTTGGCCTCATCGGCAGACGCGCACCAAATTAAAATTCGGCAGATTGATGAGTTAACGGGGTAATAGAGCGCACCATCAAACCTGGCCAATAATGATATCCACTGTTAAAAAAAGAATGGCTTTTGTGCTTTAAAAATCACATATCATGACATATTTCTGCACTTTCTTGGTAATGAGCTTTCATGACAGTTTAACAAGTGAAAGTTTTGGAAATGAGTTTTAAAATTTTAGTTTCACTTCGTTCTTTTTAAATTAGTGCCCTATATTATGAGGCCGTTTCCATTCACGTGCTCTTGAAATGTATATATCTGAGCGCCGGTTTGACGCACGTGTTTCTTTGCACCCGTTTTGCCTATATAGAACACTTGCCTGTTTGTGTGTGTTTTGCAGCTCTGCGCACTTGTGCCGGCACGCGTGTCCACGAGGTTCGCGAAAATCCGCTAACCGTCAGATGTCTCCCTTCACCCCCCCCCCCCACCGTGGCATGCTGCGGCGCAGCGAGGTGGCGGTCACCCAGGACGACATCGTGCTGGGCGTTAAGGCCCCGCGGCCGTGCCTCGCACCGCTGCCCACACCCGCCAGCCTGTCCTCCTCGAACCCCGACCTGGTGCAGTGCCACGGAACGGCGGAGCTCGGCACCGCACCAGGTACTCCTGCCGCGGTGCAGCGGCCCACGCGAGCGGCTGGCGCTCTGACCTGCAGACACGAGCGCATCGGATCCAACACGGATTCTCCCTCTAGCCGGAGGGGGAAATTCTGGAAAGAACTTTTTTTTACGTCCTATATAATGGCAGAGCGAGTTTAATCTTAGTTTGCTGTCTACCCAGCCAACGAACTAATTTGGCCGATGCTTCATTGCGAGCTTGGCCAGCAGGAGGCATCTTGGCAATTGTTAATTCCCTCTGCCCTGCAGCAAAATCACAAACAAGGCCTCTGATAAGGATCCACTGCAAACCCCGCTTGTTACCACTTCAGCAACAGCCTCGCTTGTAATGAGGCTCTCTTATCTACGGCCCGCGTGTAAAAAAATAAAAATACACCACTGGGAAACATTTCCCAATTCCTACTCGTATTTAGGCTAATGCAGATTGTTCTTACTCTACGTATATTTCAGTTTTTTTTCCCACGACTCTTTTAATTGGAAGTATTCTTGGAGGGCTTTGATAGTGTCAGTAAAATGTACGAACAAGTCGTGGGCTAGATATGTAATGACCGAGCAAATTCTATGCAGCGCTGCACTGAACGGGGACCGTTGCCGTGTGTGCTGCTGCTGTGCACAGTTAGAAAGGCAGAGAACACCTTGCGCCCACGAAACCAGAAGATGCTTGAGAGGAAGTCTCTCGCCCAAAACATGTCCACGCACCTTGTTTTCAAAGAACTGCCTGGCGTGTATGCGTGCGTCTCTTTCGGTAAACCCCTTGCACCTTAATTATGAGAACCCTTGCGTGCTTCTGGTTCCTGTCACACGCAAGAAGCACCTGGCGTGTATGTCTCATGAAACCACTGTTGTGGTTGATGTGCAGCTGTCTCGACCCGATTAGACCCATGAGATCGAAATGTCTCCTCGTTAATTGTTGCATTAAACGTGTTTAAAGGTCGGGGCATGAATATCCTTGCACGCGTGTCATGTGAAGTGTCGCATTTGTTAAACCTCAAAACAGGAAAGATATTATCTTTACAAGTCTGCATTCGTGACCCATGTCATGGGTTAGGTGTTTATTGGTTTGTTATGGTTAAAGCACGGTGTGTTGTCCAATGTTTTTGTTGGCAGTGCGCGAAGTGTTGCTGTGTATTTGTCGTTTCTCTGCTCCCCTGAGCCACGAAATCGTTCTTAATCAGAGGCAGATTCAGTTCATTGCATTGCAAAACAATCGCACCACCACCAAGTCAGATTTGTCTTCTACACCACTGATTGGCAATTTCAAACTCACGGTGTCTTCACGAGGGCTGCTGTGCAACTGTGGGCAATTTTTACAGGGAAATTTACTATTTGGTTCGTTTGTAAATGATCACAGTTTGACCACTGCTTTGTAAGTGCTGTCTGCTTGAAAGGCACCATCTGCTCTACGCTTTTGATGTTGTGTTCCAGTTTTGTCTGTGCGCACTGAGTGAAGCAGTGTGGGAGAGCTCTGCTGTTGGAAACTGCTTCTTAGGCCCCGTCTGCCTCTGCTCAGTTGCCCATTTGGTTCACGTAGACTCCCACATTGCTATAAATCTAGAGAGAGTCTGATGTACAAGTCACGTGCGAATCTCAATACATTCTGCTCCCTTCCATTCCCACTCTCCGCCACCCCACGTGCCCACTCCAACCGGCCTGTGCCAATCCCAGACGGAATTCCTGTCAGTGAGTATCCATCCACATGTGCCCTGGCTCACAGCATGTGTCACGTGTATCTAGTGTACAGCATGTGTCACGTGTATCTAGTGTACAGCATGTGTCACGTGTATCTAGTGTACAGCATGTGTCACGTGTACCTAGTGTACAGCGTGTGTCACGTGTACCCTAGTGTACAGCATGTGTCGCGTGTGTCCTAGTGTACAGCATGTGTCACGTGTACCCTAGTGTGCATCATGTGTCACGTGTACCCTAGTGTACAGCATGTGTCACGTGTAACCTAGTGTACAGCGTGTGTCACGTGTACCCTAGTGTACAGCATGTGTCACGTGTGCCCTAGTGTACAGCATGTGTCACGTGTACCCTAGTGTACAGCGTGTGTCACGTGTACCCTAGCTCACAGCATGTGTCACGTGTACCCTAGTGTACAGCATGTGTCACGTGTGTCCTAGTGTACAGCATGTGTCACGTGTACCCTAGTGTACAGCATGTGTCACGTGTACCCTAGCTCACAGCATGTGTCACGTGTACCCTAGCTCACAGCATGTGTCACGTGTACCCGAGTGTACAGCATGTGTCACGTGTACCCTAGTGTACAGCATGTGTCACGTGTGCCCTAGTGTACAGCATGTGTCACGTGTACCCTAGTGCACAGAATGTGTCACGTGTACCCTAGTGTACAGCATGTGTCACGTGTACCCTAGTGTACAGCATGCGTCACGTGTACCCTAGTGTACAGCATGCGTCACGTGTACCTTAGTGTACAGCATGTGTCACGTGTACCCTAGTGTACAGCATGTGTCACGTGTACCCTAGTGTACAGCATGCATCACGTGTACCCTAGTGTACAGCATGTGTCACGTGTACCATAGTGTACAGCATGTGTCACGTGTACCCTAGTGTACAGCATGTGTCACGTGTACCCTAGTGTGTATCATGTGTCACGTGTGCCCTAGTGTACAGCATGTGTCACGTGTACCCTAGTGTACAGCGTGTGTCACGTGTACCCTAGTGTACAGCGTGTGTCACGTGTACCCTAGTGTACAGCGTGTGTCACGTGTACCCTAGTGTACAGCGTGTGTCACGTGTACCCTAGTTCTCACAGCATGTGTCACAAGTGTCCTGGCCCTTTTGCCATCGGGGCTGGTATTATTAAAGTTTGCATCAAGTTAGGATTTATTTACACAGCTACAGAAGCTATGCCAGTCTATTAAATCAATGATAAGAAGTCTGTTCTACGAGGGGTTAAGCAACGGGAGCAAGTCAACTCCCTGTTTACGCACCTGTGTTCAGAATCTCCTCGGTGAAAAATTCAGCATTTGTGCCTGGCGCCTCACGCTCTCTAGTGGTCCCAGAGTACTTTCTGTTCTGGCTGTTGCCATCCCCTGAGAGTCGTCAGGCTTTCCTCTGCAATTGCTCTCACCATCGACACATCCTGTGAAAGCCAGGTTTTTTTTACGGAAGTCTTTGTGTTCAGAATTTTATGGAACAGGCAGTAGAATTTAATACGATTATTTAACCGTACAAAGCTACATTTTTTTTAAACATCAAGATCAAAACGTCATCTTGGCTACAGCCGTTGAGGCCACCACTCCTCGCCGCCAGCGCTCCCTACCCTCCACCAGATCCCGCAGCTGCTACACAGTCGACACTCTGCGACCGCCGGGCTCTGCCCTGACGGCTCCCACAATCTTCTGTTAGGTCTTCCCCCTTGGCCGCCAGACTTGTGTAGACCACTGTTCTAAAAATGCCTAATGTGAACTGTGATTGAATTCGATAACGCGGTGAATGGGCCTTTCACAAAGGTAAACAAATTATTTGGCGATGCTGCGTCGGCAGTTGGTGCACTAGCACAATTAACCCAAAAAACTGAACACATCCATCAATTACACTGCCTTAAAAGACGAGTACATAATGGGTGACGTTTCGCGCGAAGGCCCATCCTCATGGCAATTATACAAAGGTGGATCTCTTGGGTTTTGTTTCTCTCACGGTGCACATGCCTGCACCTCCGATTGGTACGGTTGGTTACGTACGGTGCAAAAGAAGTTTAACATACATACGTACGTAGATGCCTGAGCAGCCCTCCTGAAGTCCCTCATGTCTCACCGCCTGTCCAAGCTCGGGCCCGAGGCCTAAAGACTTCTTCCATCTAGCTGGAGGCCACAGTCTTCCTAATCCTGCCTCTGCACTCCGCACTTTCTGAGCTAAATAGTCACCACACGGCACAAGGCCCACGTGTGGTTGTTTATGCGCTCAACGTGGTTTATGCCACGTCCTGAATGGTGCTTTATCGTGAACAGATATTGCGAGTTGAAATGAAAGTTTGTGGTGTGTAATGCTTATTGATCCATGATTACATTAATGCAGGGATAAAAATACATTCATATAGGAATGTGGTTTGTCAGGAAGCTCTGTTTAAGCATCAAGGTTTTTTTGTATTCGTTTACTTATTTAAATGTCTCCTTGTATGCAAGAGTGTTGTTGTTACTACCATTATGGGGGGGAGGGGTGTATCCCTGGGAAGATGCTCTGCCAGAATTACATTCAGATCTTCTTGTTATTGTTCCCCATTGGAGTCCACGCTTGTTCTTTGCTTTGTTGTTCATGGCTTCACTGTGTTCTGTAAACTCTCCGCCAACCCAGCTATTGCCATTCCTCTATGCGTCTCTCTACACGCTACGAGAGACTACCCTGACCCAAGCCTTGATATGTTCACCTACCATGTCTATTTAGCTATGTAAAAATGAACACATGACATGGTGTTTTCGATGATATCTCATTTTTTATTTGGACTTTTTAAATAACTTATGGAGGGCTGTCACTTAAAATATTCGTTTTATTTTTCTGATATATATAGGTCAGACATTTCATCTTATGATGGGCATGAGTGTTACGGTCTAGCTTGATCTCTGTCTAGCAGCACAGCTGAGTGCATTTCAATTCCTTGGGTGAGTGTAGGCTGTCAGCAGTTGCAAGGTTGAGTGACGGGCACTGGGCCACCCGTGTGATCACGCTGTACAGGACAAAGATACTCTTTATAGCCTTTAGAGACTTTTGGGGCAACTGCTGGCAGCGAGCACCTATGAAGGCCAGCTCCACGCCCGACCATCTTTATCTCCCCAGTCCTGATGTTTTACACGCCACACGAGGTAAGGCTGAGTAAACCTATGGGAGGCCCAGGACCCGTTCAGATTATCGTCACTGGTGTTGTCCGTGAGCGTAAATCCCCGGGTTTGCAGCGCAGCGTGCTAACCACCACGCCACCGCTCCCCACCAATACCAGTACCTGCCATTAGCCACTAAGTGACGGTGACATCACCACGGCGCCCGTACCAGGCCACACACGCACGCACACGAGCGCGCCACACGAGCCCCGCACGGTGTATATTTTGTCTTAGGTGCATTGTTGTGTGCTCCTCCCACGAGACATCCCAGACCAGGTGGTGAAGGTGTATCGGGCGGACCAGAGCAGCCGCTACGTGATGGTGAGCCGCGAGAGCAGCGCCCGCGAGGTGGTGGTGGCAGCCCTGCGCGAGTTCCAGGTGTGCGAGGCGGCCGAGGCCTGCTCGCTGTGCGAGGTGTCCGTCAGCCCTGAGGGCTTCATCAAGCAGCGGCGGCTGCCCGACCACCTCAACAAGCTGGCGGAGAGCATCCAGCTGAACGCACGGTGCGTTTCCCTCCCGGCCGCCCCCGCACGCACGCACGCACGCACGCACAAGGGGCGCGCGAACTCAGTGGATGTGAACGTTAAAAGCCACGTCCCGCTTGCGTGAGCGGTGAGGCGGTGCTCGTCTCCGGTTTACAGCCCTGAGCCGTCCGTTGAAAGTCCACATTGCTATGGCGGGGGAGAGTTTAGCTATGGGACAACCGCTCTTGGCTTCACCGCAACGCGGTACTGATTTTATCCACCCCAGAGAGATGATAGGCTGAGCCGAACCCCCAACAAGGATTTGAACTCGGTACCTTCCGATAGCGAGCCGCTCGCTCTACCGCTGGCATGCAAATTGACGACCTAAACTCTGATGGTGCTCAATGTCCATCGGTGCTCTCGGCTCGCGGTGCGTGCCACCGACCGGTGTCTGTTGTTTCTCCGGAGATCCATGCGCGTAAAGGCTGTGCGTGTCCTCTCCCCGCAGCTACTACCTGAAGAACAACTCCCAGACGGAGCCACTGTGCTCCGACGAGCACGCCCAGGAGCTGCTCAAGGAGAGCCAGATATCGCTGCTCCAACTGAGCACGCTTGAGGTGGCCACGCAGATCTCCATCCGCGACTTCCAGATCTTCCGCAGCATCGAGCCCACGGAGTACGTGGCCAACCTGTTCCGCCTGGGCGGCGCGGCCGCCTGCGAGCACCTGCAGGCCTTCGAGGAGACCCTCAACCGCGAGACCTTCTGGGTGCCGTCGGAGGTGTTGCGCGAGACGGGCCTGCTCAAGCGAGTGAAGCTCATCAAGCATTATCTCAAAATCGCACTCAACTGCCGGGACAGCCGCAACTTCAACTCCATGTTCGCCATCATCAGGTGATGCTGCTGCAGCTGCTGCTCGATTAATCGCATGTCGTGAGTTTTTGTAATTAAAAGCCCGCCCTGTGTGTTCACCATGGAGCTCGCGGGCGGTTGTAACGATGCAAGCGGTGGCTGTGCGCTGAGCGGTGGTCGTGTCCGGCGTCTGTGTCGCAGTGGGCTGAGCCACTCGTCGGTGATGCGCCTGCGCAGCACCTGGGACAAGTTGCCATCCAAGTACGAGAAGCTGTTCTCCGACCTGCAGGACCTGTTTGACCCCTCGCGCAACATGGCCAAGTACCGAAACCTCTTGAGCAGTCCCAGTTTGCAGCCGCCCATCATCCCACTGTTCCCGGTCGTCAAGAAGGATCTGACCTTCCTGCACGATGGTACGCGTCCAGCAAGCACTGTGCATTGTTCTCCCGCTGCAAATCTAACACGCCCAGCTCGTGCTCGCAAATGAAGCTAACCTATGAGTCGCAATTCATTTTTGAAAAACAACTTCGATGCTTGACACTGTGTCTGATCACTAAACCCGCTTGTGAGAATCGTTTTTCAACCTCGTGGTGAGCTGAAACAATAATAATTGGCATGTTGAACTTGAGCCTCGCCCGAACCTCTACCTATATTTCCATCCTAACCCATGACAGACCTAACCCTAAATGCTTATCCGTTGCAGTAACCGTGCATTGCCAACCACGCATCCATCATTTTCACCCATTACGGTGCGTGATCCCTCGTGCTAATGAATTGTTCACAGAAATTCTCTTCCCATGTTGTCGACGTCACCACCATCCCAATCTTCAACCAATCTCACACGTAGGTTTGCCACACACGTAGGGCTCGATTGACGGCATGCTTTGCGTGTGCGCGCGCGCTCGACTCCGTAGGGAACGACTCGCGCGTCGAGGGCCTGGTCAACTTCGAGAAGCTGCGCATGATCGCCAAGGAAGTGCGGCACGTGGGGCGCCTGGCCTCGGCCAACCAAGACCCCGCCGTCATGTTCCGTCACCGGTGAGGACGCACGGGTCACGGAAGGTGCCGGCGGTCGCCACCGCACCGCCCGAGAGACGCCTCTGCTGCTCTGTGGTGCTGCTGCTACTTCATTGGGCCAGTCGCGCGTCCTGTCCCCTGCGCTAATGGGAGTCTCGTTAGAGAGATGGAACGTCAGCCAGACTTTTCTCTTCTGTCAGTTGATGGTGTCATTTTACAGCATGGGTGGTGCGAGTGGTTTTTGGATTGGCATTTGTCTGTTGATTGGGAACCCTGTTTTGGACAGTGCATGAATGCCGTGTAGGTGTTTGTAGTTAGGTGCATGTATGTGGATGTATTCAGAATTGGCAACATTGTTCAATGCCACTAAAAACACCTGGGATCGTATTCAATGGCCGATTGTAGTGCACACGAACGTGAAAGGGCATGCTGATTTGTAGCCTACGCACGCATCCCAAAGGCAAATTCACCTCGGTAAGACAGTGATTGCTGGACAGCCATAGACCAGGAACAGTAGGCAGACGCTTGACATCACACAGTTGTCTCAATTAACTCGTGGCTCTATCTGGTCACCGGTTACTTTTTAACCAAGTATTTTGCGCGACGTCTTTGTGTGTTACTAAACACAGATTACACTTGTTCATGTGTGCTTCCTGTTGTTTTAATTCTTGTGTTGTACGTCGTCTTCACGTTGAAGCTTTGTGCTCTTGATTTTCACCACTTGACGCTATTGGACATTAGCCCAAGGGTTGGAAACCGATGGTATGGGTCGCCTTAATCTTGAGATGTTCACCGCCGCCGCCGCCGCACAGCACGGCGCGATGCTGCAGTCCCTCGTTCGTGCTCAGAATTGATCCGTAAAATGTGCATTTTGCAACAATTAGGATCGTCAATAAAACTTGTCTTTGGCAGAACGTGAATCCCATCGGTTTAAAACCCGGCAGGCCTCGCTCCAGTCCCTGTCATGAAGCTCTCCCTCGTGTGGGCGTGCGATGTAACCGGTGCGACTGCCGTGTTTCTATCTCTTCCCTATGGCGCTCTTTGCCCTCCTTTTCACACATGTCTGAATAACAGCAAGAGGAAGTGGAAGAGGCTGGGGTAAGTCGTCGGTCTTTCACGCCACCAACACTAACCACCTTTGCTCGTCCTCACTCGCCGTCTGCCTCTGAACACTAACCAACCCCATGGTTTGCGTCGGATTCGTGAGGCCTGCTTACTGGACGCAGACCAGGCTGGTGGCATTGTTAGCGCTGCTGGAGAGGTTTTTTTTTTTTTTTGCCAGGGGGGGAAAGCGTTGAATCCCATTTGGGGGCACAGTCCCGTCTGCTCTGGGAATGTTCCGTCACCCCCTTGCCTCGGGCGGGGCCTCGCACGTCTCATTTGGCCAACGTGACGCCAGGGGGGTGAAACTTTTGGCCAGAGCGACGCTGCTGTCCCCCAAACGGGTGGCAGTCCCCCTCGGCGGTGCCGGGATTGCCCCCCCCCCCTCCCCCATCCCCCCCCCATCGCTTGCCATGCGTTCGGAGCGGTGGTGTTTCCTGCACGAGACTCCGGTGCACAATGGCGACGCTGGCACTGCGTTGTAGACGCGTGGGGTGTCGCCGCAGACGAGTATTGTTAAGCGAGTGTCACTCTGAGAAGTTGACGACCGTTGTACTATGATGTGTGCATCTTTTAAAAACTTGCATTTATATCGGAGCATTATTTCGTCTTTTCAAGGTACCAAAATAACCAATTCACTTGATGAGAATCTTATTTTGTTAGAGGCCTGCGTCTGTACACGCAGACCCTACGACATTGCGCGTCCGTACGCGTGTGCGGCCAAGCGACGTCACATCGCGAGATGCCCGAGAGCGTCTCTACGTGTTGCGCTAACCCCTCACTGCATTGTAACCACAGCGGTGAAGTGTGAGCGGGTCGTTGTTATGCGGGGCGTTCGAGAACGCGTCGGATGCACGTACACTTCAGCAGTGCTGCTGTGGCCTAAGTGGCTATAAACCCCAGTGTTTTGTTGTCAGTTGCACGTGTACATTTATTACTGTATTTATATCGAGACGAGAGAAACACCCCCTTTTCCACCTTGGAAAATTGTTTGGATAAGTGCCGTTAGTGAGCGCCTATTTAGGTTAGGCTGGCACAAGACAAGCCATTCAAGGAATCGCTGGTACTAGAGACCATACGTACTCTGTATGGTCCGTACTGTGTTCAGCCACCACACCGCAGGAAACGACCCTTCTCTTTCTGATTCCTCCCTCGCACTGCTCCACTTTGGAATCCCCTCCTCCTATCTTCTCTTTTCCCAGAGCTGTTATAATGTAAATTTTAATAGCTTTTAACGTGATGAAATAACATGCGCGCGAGCGCTGCTTTTAGGGATGGTGTGGCAGCAGTGGCGGCTCTGCCAAAGCACTTTTTAATTCCACTGCGATTGAGTCGCATTGACTCCCAGGTGCATTCATAGTCGGTGCTGTGTTCAAGGCCTTGATTCATGAGGCCAGAGTTGGGGACTGAGACTCACAGGGATGAAGCCGGATAGTCCGTGGTGCTGCTGCTGCTGCTTAACTGCTGCTGTTGCTATCCTTGGACTATGGGGTCTGAAGTATATGTTGACAGTATTTTCCACCGTTGGCATTCGCAAACGCCGCTTTTAAATAAATATAAAGACACAACAAGTTTATATTCATTCACTGGTCCTGCTGGAGATGCTGTGGGTGGTGCGACATCTGACGGCCTTTGGCGGTGTTTCGTGCGTGCGCCATCCTGCAGGTCGCTGAGCCAGGGCAGCACCGGCTCGGCACTGGAGGCCGCGCAGGCCAGCGGCCACAAGAAGCGTCAGCGACGCAGCTCCTTCCTCAACGCCAAGAAGCTGTACGAGGAGGCGCAGATGGCGCGGCGCGTGCGCCAGTACCTGGCGTGCCTCGTGGTGGAGCGCGACGAGGACCAGCTGCAGATCATGTCGCTGCAATGCGAGCCCGCAAGCAGCACCCGTGAGTCGCGCGCTGCACGCACGTACGGCAGCACGCTACGTCGCGTTCGCTCGCATTTCCGTACAATTTAGCGTCAGCTGAGAGCTTCCCGGAACGTAAACTGCGCACGTACCCCGATGCGCAAATCGTCCGGAATTCGCCCGCTCTTGAAAGATCCCCAGAAGCAAAGGGAGGGCTGTCATATACGGTTGCTACGACAGAACACCTGCAGCAGCAAGTGCGTTACTACAGCAGTAGAATAACGGTGGCTTAATATTATAATTTTAAATGTTGCAACGTTGAGACTGAGTTGAAATCACCGGGGCGAGTCTTCGGTGATGTCACCGTGCGCGCTGTGTATGACGCGACGGGTTGCGCCGGTGCCCTTTGACAGCCAAGCGTGCGTGTTTGCTGTGCATGTCCGTGCAGTGCCGAGAGCGGCCGACAAAAAGGTAGCGAAGACCGAGTCGTCCCCGGGCAGCTCGCGCTCCGCCCCTGCCAAGCAGCAGGCCGTGCCGGCCGTCACGCTGCACCCGTCGGGCCGCGCCGTGCCCGTCAGCTCGCTGCCGCCCTTCGGTAAACACGCGCACACGCACTGGCACGTGCGCGCACACGCACGGTTCCTGCACAGTCACGCACTCATCATGATCATACGCTCAGGTCCACCGCCGATTAACAGGTTGGCACCTCTTAACACCTTGTGCCGCACGGGGACAGCTGCCATTGGGGGTGCCCTTGGAATGTTTTAGATGCGTTGCGATGTAAGGCGCTTTGAGTTGCCCCGAGGCGTTTAAACGAGTGCCCAGGATGTGCAAAGATTGTTGTTGTTGTTATTATTGTTACGAGCTCTCGCGCGTGTGCAGCGATACGGACGTAGCACATTCTCGACCTTCTCGTTCTGTGCAGGGATCACTTCGCATCAGTCACTGCAGAAGATCCTTTCACTGTCGGAGGAGGCGAACCAGGACAAGCACAAGCACAAGTCGGAGGATTCCCTGTCCATCACCTCCTCGCAGTCCGACCCCTCGGCGTCGCCGCACAACTCGCCCCGCAGAGGTCAGCATCCCCCTCCGCCGCTGCCTCGGCACTGTGGGTCCCCAAGGCGCGGGACTGCCGCCTCTCTACGTCGCTGTCCAAGCTGCGTCTTTCCTCTCGAAGGGGACTTTGAATGCCTCGCGCCACCCTCCGTCTCCATCCCTTTCCAGTTTTCTCTCAGGCTCCTCGAGCACCCGTGCCTACACTGCTTTCTGCCAGCGATTTACGCGGCATGTCCACGCGGCGTTGCTTTCCAACGTGTGACCCCTTTTCTGTACGACGCCTCATTTCTAATGCACTGCTCTCGTTTTTTTAACACCAAACTCTCGAGCGCGTTTCTGATCCGACGTCGGCGAACCTTGTGTTGTAGGTCCTGCCTGATGGGAATGAGAGTGAGTGCGCGGTTTCACGCGATGGGCGTCGATGTCGTGGCGTCCCCGGCTGCAGTGTCCGGGAGCCTTCGGTGTGCAGGCCGTGCTTGCGAATGCCCCGAGCCGCCACGAGTGCCCGACTGCCTGCTCACTCATTTCACCCAATGGCGCTGCTCGCGTGAATGTTGCGCCTGATGTCTTGTGGTGTTGCGTTACCCGAGATCGAGCGTTAAGAATGACGTGGAGGTTGTGGGCCCTTTGCAAGAGTGGGCCGTAGAGTTTGACGTTATTCCCTTTGTGAACGTTGCCGCTTTGTTTTCTATGATTTCATACGGAGGTGCTAATTGGTAATCGCAGCACGCTCGCTAGTGTCTACATGGGGCCAGCCAAAACCAAGTATTTTGACGCTCCTCCTTCCCATATGGGCACACTAAATACAATTCTAACTCCCAGTAGCAACCAAAGGCAACAATACATATTTTTCGATTCAAAGCTTTCGTGACTGCAGGGATTCATCTTCTTGGTTCTTTCGGTAAAGTCACGTAGAATGGAAATAATAAAATAATAAAAATAAAACATTATAAAATACAATTCTCACGACGTTTCGGCCACAATGCAAGCAGTCGTCCTCAGATGAAGAACAGGTCTGTCAGAAAGACAGCGTCTGAATGAACACCACCAGGCTTGGCAGCGTATATTTAAGCTGGGTTGCAAATTCCTTTGTCAAGGCACTCTTCCCCCTCCAACCCAGCTTAAATATACGCTTCCAAGCCTGGTGGTGTTCATTCAGACGCTGTCTTTCTGACAGCCCTGTTCTTCACCTGAGGACGGATGCTTGCGTTGTGGCTGAAACGTCGTGAGAATTATTTTATTATGTTTTATTTTTATTATTTTATTATTTCCATTCTACGTGACTTTACCGAAAGAACCAAGAAGATCAACAATAAATACTAAATTATAATATTATTATTTTTACGGTTGTTTACCCGGGAAAGCCTCACTGGGTCTCGTGACTTTTTTCATAAGTTTTTGCAGTAGGGGGTGATGTTTGCTATGTACTGTATGTATGTATGTTGAACTTATTTTGCGCACTATACGTAGCCAATCATGCTAATCGAAGGTGCGGGGGAAGGACAACAAACCAAACACAACAATCAGTTATTAAGAATTGAGTTTTAAATCCAGATTTAAAAGTGCATCGTACTGTATTTTATTAACTTATTTGCAGCTCATTTTCAAATTTGCCAAATTTGGGCCGTGACGCCGGCCTACTCTTGCGAATGATGTCACGGGAATCCTTGCGTTACTCTCGGAGTGACACCGTGATAATGTCACTGTGATTTAATCGTAACATCTTGAAAAGTCCAAAGATACTCGTGAATCTACCGGACACAATTTTACATGAATACGAATCTTAATACAAAAAACTGTGCCATGACGTTATTGCTATAATTTTAAAGGTCCCCTATGTACAGAATAAAGTAATAAACAATAATTTGACTTTAATAATGAAACGTGATTATACTTGAGTGTGTTGACGCTGTATACAGGCTTGGCATTGCTCGGTCGTTATGCCGCTGGGTCTAATAGTGACTTTAAAAGGGTTTTTAGCCATGTTCGAATTCCCATTCAGTTGGCCACTGCCAATATAATTGATTCCGCGTGGGACAATGTGCCTGCCGTTTGGGAGCCAGTGTGGGAAGGGGCTCGTGACTTGGGGCTGCACGTGCCTGCCCCGAGAGCCGCGTATGTTACTGTCGAGGACTGCGTGCGGCACTGCGTGCGCCGCGCACCGCAGCACTCGCAGCGTCCGCCACGTTCGCCGCGCTTGGCTCCGCGTGCTGCGCGCCGCCGTTTGAACGCTGCCCGTGTCTTCCCCCCCATCGGTGCAGTGGCCATTCGGCTCAAGAGGCAGGGCTCGCACCACTCTGACATGGGCCCCAGCTCCTCCATGGCCAGTGAGAACAGCAACCGCAACAACAACGCCGCCCGCGCTAACAGCTTCGGTCTGTACCGCGAGCGCACAGCACCGCTGCCTGTCGGCTCGGGGCTGCTTCTTGCACCACGGGCGTCTCTAGGCCCGTCCTGCGTGGGCAGCCTTTCTTTGAACATCATGGGCACTCGACGCCCCTTTCCTCAAGCCTGCTGCGGCCTTTAATCACCACTCGTGCGTCGCACACGGTCATCTCGGAGCGCAGTCTCGAGGAGTGTGGTACCTGATAGCCAACTTCGGCACGGGCGCTGCGCATGTGTAACCTGACAACGACTCGGGAAATAAACAATGTGGCGATTTGTAAATGTAGGTTAATTTTCCTAAATTACCAAAGACGACGGTGACACTCAATGACTTGGTCTTGTTAACAGTGTCATAGAATATTGGGGGGCATTGTGTCCAAGTGGTACACGTGCCAGGTAGCATCCCTGCTGAGATCCTATTTTAACCAGAGAAACGCGAACGGACAGTCCAAAACATTAACCATTGTACTTTAAACCACATCATGTTCAACGGAATCTCAGATATTTTTCATTTATTTTTTTATTAGTTGGCTTTTCTCGTCTTTGGTGATTTCAGGCAAATGATTGCACGTTATGGATAATGTCGATCCACGATTTTCCCCAATGTGGCCAGCTGGTGCGGGCTACTTGTTTGGTGTCCCTGCCTTGGGCTGTGGGGGCTGCTTGGTGCATGGTTCCGTGCCCTTGTCCACGCTCTCGCTGCCGCCAACATCTCTGCTGCCTGGACTTCGAGCCTCACTAATAACTGCGAGACAATGAACCTAACCGCTTGCCGCTGACGTTAATGCATCTGTCCTTGAGTTTCAGCGGCTCTTTCCAGACTCTGCTCGTTTTCCCGGGTGCCGTTCTTCCTCGTTTGTTTGCGGTGTTTGCATCTCAGATTCTGAACACTGTTGCCATCTGCACTGCGGTCTGTCTCAACATCTGGTGTTTGCTCGCATCTTCATTGATCCTCCTGGGAGAGAAATAACATTTCTTTAATCTCATGTTTCCTACACACAGGTGCTCAAATGTTCTCGTGGCGGCTGCTGTAATGTCTCTCTTGTCCGTGTTTTATGGCTTAATATTATAATTTTAAATGTTGCAACGTTGAGACGGAGTTGAAATCACCGGGACGACTCTTCGGTGATGTCACCGTGCATGCCGTGTATGACGCGGCGGGTTGCGACGGTTCTCTTTGACAGCCAAGCGTGCGTGTTTGCTGTGCATGTCCCACGTGTACGTGCGTGTGAACATTCGTGCTTGCGCCACCTGCACGTGTTTGACCCCCTGCGCGCGCTGTCTTTCAGGCTGCGTGAACTCCACCCAGACGGAGATGACCGGAGACCCGGGGGCGAACCTGATGTCGGACCGCAGCAGCCTGCACAGCTACACGCTCTGCTCACAGTGCCAGCAGGGCGTGTGCCTGCGACACCCCGCGTCACGGTATGTATCTCACACTCTCCCCCGCTGGTGATGCTGCTGCTGCTAAAATTTTGAAATGCATACAAGATACGTAGTGGCTCCCATTGCATCTCCCGTATCTGTCAACCCGAGCGTTAAACAATATGTGTCCATACGGGCCTCCCGCCATTTTTAAATGCTCCATATCTTTATTTATAACCGTGTTGCACCGCATCCCAACACCACTGATTTGATCAGCATGATCCACTACGTGTGTTGCCAATGCTTGCTGATTTCTTGAATCAAGTGGTGGTGGTTGCATTACCATTCTCAGTGAGGTTGACATCCTTTGTCAGTTCTCGCCCAGAAACAGCACATGTAGGATGCTGTGCATACTGTATATGGTGTAGTAGGCTGGCTGATGCACTAATCCATGTGAAAGCAAGAAATAAATTAATATAATAATAAATTAACGCACTGAATAAACGCGCCCCTGGCAAAACTTGCGAGCGCCGAGCTGAAACGTTGACTAAAGTGGCCGACGACGACCGGTGTCCGTGCAGGGAGTGTGCGGACCGCGTGTCGGTGGCGCCGATGCTGGACAGCGGACGCAGCAGCTGGACGTCGTGCTCCAGCGGCTCCAACGACAACATTCAGGTCGTTCAGCGCAAGAAGTCGTGGGATGACCACGCGGGCTCCCTCCCCGAGAACTCCGAGTCCCCCCCCGGCTCGCGCGTCACGCACCTCCACGCCGACGTGGCGGCCTCCAAGCCGCCGGCCCCGCACGCCGGCCGAGCCCCGGGCAGCTCCCTCGCCGCCAAGCCGCCCGCGAGCGCCCCGGCGCCGGCGGAGGGGAGGGCCGCCGCGCCGGCCGCGTGCGGCGAGCGGGACGCGTCGGCATCCCCGGAACATACGAGGAGAGCCAAAAAGCACCCGGAGGCCACGCAGAGCTCCGCGCGGCCGCTGGTCTACAGCGGGAAGGCGGCGGAGCAGGTGCTGAAGATCCGGCAGCTCAAGCAGCACAGCCACGACGTGCTCATGCCGATGCACCACAGGCGGGTGCCGTCCGAAGACGTCCAAGCGGCGGAGGTCGCGGACCGGGCCCTGGACGTTAACGGGGGAGAGAGGGGAGGTGGGAGCCTGGAGAGGCGAGGACCCAGGGACGGGAACGGGGCGTGTCGCTCCTCGCCGGTCGTGCGCAGCAAGTCGGTGGACTCGAGCGGCGCTCGCGACGCCTCGCCCGCCCCCCCTGCGCCCGAGGGAGCCCCGCAACCCCGCGGCGCCGGTCAGTGTGCGCTCACGTCGGCTGCTCGACTTCGCCGTTGTCGTTTTTATTCAACACGTAGGCTTTCGCGTCCAGTGCTAATGTTCTTATTTGATAATTGGGTCAGATCGCGTTAGTAAAAGGACAGCATTTTCTAAAATAAAAATCGGTGCATTTGATCACCTGACAACTTTATTTATTTGGTTTTGTCAGGTGGCGGAGGGTATATGACACACATTGGCATTTTATTCACGCAATCTTAACCAAAATATCAATCATTAATCAGTATTGTTTTTATAATGCTCCGTCACGGAGGAGGATTCCGGATAACATGTTACGAGACGGGAATGTCTCTCCCTGTGCTGAAGGTCCACAGGCTAATGGACTAATAAAACCGTTTTGCTGTAAATTTGAGCCAAGCAATCTAATATGTGGGTGAAAAAGGCTCTGTACAAGATTATAATTGGCTCCGTCCGGTATCAACCAACGTGTAAATGTAGAACAGCGCTCACATTCTGCGCATCCGATGACCCGCCTTGCGCGCGTTTGCCTTGTGGCGCGGGACCGGCCGTCGTTGGCGCGCGCAGCCTGCGGTCCGCGTGGTGCTCACCGGTTGTGCCGCGTGCTTCGGCGCGTCCAGGTGTGGGAGACGCGCGCAAGAGGGTGCCGCCGCCGGCGCCCCCGGGCTACGTGGCCTCGCAGGGCGAGCGCCGGCCCCCGGACTACAGCGTGGCCGTGCAGCGCTCACGCCTCGTCAACTGTAGCGCCGACTCCCCGCTGGGGCAGCGCCCGCGCAGCACCCTGCCCCCCGAGCACCCCCTGCTCACGTCCGGCCGCGCCTCGGCGCTGTCCAGCCCCCAGCGCGCCTCCCCCGTGCACGGGCAGCACACGTCGGTGACGGCGCGACCGCTGTCGTACCAGCCGCTCCCGCCGCCGGCAGGTCAGCCGCCGCCCGCCCTCCCCCCGTCTCAGCACGGTCCATCTCCCGCCTCCTCCTCCTCCTCCACAGCGGCCGGCGTCGCGCCGGACTTCGGATCCCCTACCCATCACCACCACTTGTACCACCGCCCCCAGCCCGGTGCCGCTCCCACGCTGCCCCAGAGGCAGGCCCGGGAGAGTCACCCCCCCGGCTTGCCCCCCACCATCCCCCCAGCCCACCGGCAGGGGGCCGCTACGCCCACCGGGGGGCGCCAGCGCGGCGTGCCGGTGCTGCCCCCCACCGCCGGGCCGCGCCGCGCTGCCCCGGCGCTCTCCCACACCACCCCTTACCCCTCCCCGCTCCTCTACCCTGCGCGCTACTGCCAGGACAATGAACCCGACGGTAAGAGGCAGTCAGCTCTGGACCCAATGCTGTGGGTGTCTTGTTGCAAAGCATTTCTTCTCTATTTGGATTACCCCCCCCCACCCCCAACATTTGCGATCGGCGTCACGAGACGTAGTGTCCCTTGGGATCACTCGCAGACCAGTGCGAGCCTCCTTGCTAGAGAACAGCCCGCGGAAGAGGATTTCACAGAACTACCTCTGCGGTCCCATCTTCAAGTTGACCTCTGGACCACACACTGTAGAGAGCAGCACTTCCCACTCGCATATTTCGGCTCGGAGAGTGAGATTCGTCACATGGCAATAAATAGCGAGACGGACATTGCTAGTCCATTTGAACGATGCAAGAATCGCTTTTGAATCACGTGACCAAAAATCGTGTCAACTCATTGAAATGCCGGGAATGAATCATTACATGCCGAGTAAATGATGTGAAACCCAATGCGGTTAAATATCACCATTGACAGAGAAGATATTTGGAGTACTTGTGAAGTCCTTTAGCTATATTTTGCAGAACGTTTGCCAAGTGTTATACTGCATCAGTTTTTGAAGGTCTGAGTTTGATCACTGCAGCGGTGACCCTTCACCCTTCACTGGTGGGCAACAGGTGTTCACTTTTTACTGCCTAGAGTTGGCCAGATCACATGCCAAGGATCAAACCTAAGACTCCAGCATTGCAGAAGAGGCAACTCTCAGACTCTGGACGTTTAACATTGATATTTTTTTTTATATAGCGCAGTACGATTTGTATATATGAATTGTCTGAATGTGATCTCAGCTCAAGGCACTTGGACGTATGTTGATCATTCGAACAGGAGGGATTTGTGATTGTTTTAATTTCCTTAGAAGGAAATGAGGCGTATGTAGGAATCTGCAGAGCAGAGAGGGAGATGAGTCGAGAGTAGTGCAGGTACAATCCAAGATGCTTCATAGAGAGATTAACACGCAGGAGAGTTCATTAAAGTGCTGCATTGGATGAGCTGTATGAAAGCGCACTACGAACCTGGCAACACGAGTTTCGATTCCCAGTTACAGCCCCGTCGCTACGCCACAACAGGAGGATGGTAGCAGTGCAGACGACCAGAGCCCAGGGCACTACCTCACTGTTTATTTGTTGCTGTTATTGTCGTGTTTGGCTGCCTGACTGACGAGGAACCATTTTGTGTTGCAGACGAGGAGCAGGTTTCAGCCGTTTGAAGCCAGGAGAGATGCAAGCGTGGGTGGAGAAGAGTGGGCCCTCTCCGGGACACACGTACACAACCCCCACCCCCGTGCCTCCTCCCTCCGTGACTGTCCCCCTGAGCGAGGCACCACTGCTTCGCGGACCCGCGTTCCTGTGAAGCCTAGTGGCTTCTGAAGGGGAGACGCTTGCTCCACATTATTGAACTTCGATCCTTCATTGCCCTACCAACTTCTCGACTGACCTCCACCAAGCATAAAGCATTTCAACTTCCGTCGACCGACATGAAGCAGTGCTCAAAAATGGGAATCAAAAAAACCTGCCTGAAGGCTCGGCCATTGCTCACACTCGTGTTTTGGCCCGTGAGCACGATTAGAAAGAGGGGGGAAAGAGGACAACACTACCGATGTAGTCAGTACAATGAAGCAACCATTTCAACATATAGTCTTGTTATTTACCATACGCGAGAGGCTCACTCAAGTACATTTATGAAGAGCTGGGACTAAACTATTTGCATGCACAGTGCACAGTGCAGAGTTGCTCACAGCCATGCCGTGCGCTGTGTTGTGGTGTCCCCGTAAGCCGTGCGCGTGGCCGCAGCGGTCGCCCATCGTGTCGTTGGAGGCGTCTCGATGGCCAGGCACACCCCGAGCACGCGAGGGGGCCACCGTGTCCACATCACCGCCGTTCATATGTAAAGCTTATTGGCTGCGAGTGACAAAACGCTCCTTGGTGTGTAAGTGTAACGTGCGTTGTAGGGTGGCCGTTGTGTTGACGTCGTCATCGTGTGTTTGGAATATACATACATGAACTGGCAACTGAAAAGCAGCGAACAAACTCGCCCATAACAGAGCACCGCTATGGCTCCCACCAGAGTGCGATTTCTGTCGGTGATGGTACTCGTGTAGCTCCGTGACATCAATAGGTGATATTAGACTGTAGAGTGATGTGAGTGGTGCTATAATTCTGTAGCTTGCTCCTGTCGCTGCCAGTGGGCCTCTGATGCGTGTATGTGGACTGATGAGCGCGAATGAAAATCCCACGTGGCAGACTCACGAATTCATCGTACGCCGGTGCCCGTTCAGGCTCCCTTCAAGCCAGAAACCCAATAGCGCCAGCCTCTGCCCTCTTTTTAATCTACCCAAAACACCCGCGCTCTGGAGAGCGATATTTTGGCTTTTTAGGATCCTTGGCAGTAATCACCGATGAAGATTTCCTCACTGTTACAAGGCGCTTTTGGTAACGGTCGTAAAGTTTTTAAACTAATATTCCCTGTCCAGCATCGCTCAGAGAGGCCCCCCCGCGAGAGCCACGGGCAGGCCTCCTGTGGCTGCTCGCTCGGCCGATGGCGGGCGAGGTTACCCTCCCCCCTCCCCCCTGTCACTACCCTGCACCAATTCACCCCGTGGGCCGCAAGGAGCCCCCCGATTCCCATCGTGGCTGGGAGATGGTGGGTGAGCGAGCGAGCGAGCAGTCGGATTGGCGTTTGTCGGGACGGTTTGTGACGCACTGCTGGAATGACTGTCTCCGTGCCGCGGACACGACTAGCAGCACGCCGGTGAGATGGCCCCGCTGTGGCAGGGACTCGCGGCCCATTTGCACGTCCCCTGCGTCGCAGTGGCACAAAGTCAAGAGTTGGGGAGGTTCTGCAATCAAAAAACAACGTTTTGCGAAATGAAAATAGCACAGTCAAAAGAATATTTAATCCGCAGGTCATGTTTATGTGTCTTAACTGTATCAGTGCTAGAAGTGTTTCAATCGTTGCACAGATAACATATTTTCGCATTTTCTAATCATGCACATTTGTAGCGAAAGTGTTTTAAGCAGCTGACTCCCATGTGATGCGCGATCGAGTTGTAAATGAGATTTTGTATGATAATCATTTTGTCATCACAACTGATCATATTGATTGGTTTGAAGGGATTTTAGGAGTTTTAAGGAAATGATGTCGCTTGGCATTAACACACTAATGGTATAAACCTTTTTGTAACACTAAATTCCCACCTATATTTTGCCAGTTAATAAAATGTACAATGTGTAGTCTTATAACCTTGCTGTCTGTGAAGCTCGTTACTGTGTAATTTACACTCATGTACAATATTAGGTTGATTAAACAGTGCATTGATACATAAAATGTCGTGTTCGTTTGGAATATTTGACGTAGGTGCTCTATTACCAAACAGATGAAAATATAATGACAAAATCTGTAACCTTTATCTTTTGGTCGGTAGTGGTTGTGAATGTTAATTCTTCAATAACGAATGCCTGTCTTGGGGGTCGGTGGCTTTTTTACGTGGAAAGGGATTTCACGCAGGCAATGTGCAGGATTTTGTTGTTGCAAGACCATTACTGGCCGGGCGAGCACAGCACTCCCAAGGATGTTCGTGGGGAACGATGAGACGAGCAGCGGACGAACCTTGTGCCATCCACACAGAGGGTGGCGTTCAGTGCAATGCGTTCTCACGAGCGTGGTAGGGTGAACGCTCAATGATGAACACACGAACACACACTCCGCACCTCTGCAACCATGCAGAATGCATCGGCATCACACTACATGCGTGGTCATCAATGTATTTTTTTTTTATCCGAAGTCGAATGTTTTGAGCACAGCGTTTTGGGGTAACCCAACTACGTGGCCCACAGTTGTGGCGTAGCGACGGGGCTGTAACTGGGAATCGGAACTCGTGTTGCCAGGTTCGTAGTGCGCTTTCATACAGCTCCTCCAATGCAGCACTTTAATGAACAGTACAGTCGATTATAAATGCGTAATGAATGAAAACGCAGCGTTTGCAATGGCTTCGGAAAAGCACAGAGAGAGAGGCACGTGTTTCAATGGTAAGTTTATTATTCAATTGGGCAATTAGTGAGGAATGTTTACAGTATACAATTTCCATCTACATCATTACCGAAAATCTTTCAACGTATCTGTTCTGGCAATTCATATTGCGAAAAAACAAGTCAACACAAACGACATCATTACATCTACTGCGTGACAATCCCATACCTGTCAACCCATACGGGTTTACCTGTCAACCCATACGGCTTACCTGTTAACCCATACAGGTTTACCTGTATTCTTGTACAGGGAAATTGCGTTTTCAGGTCCATACGGCGTACAGCCGTTTCAATACGGGCAAAAAAATTTATTCGTTTGTGTTTCTCCCTTGTGATGGGACTTTGTAGGATGAATGTTGAGATTTATAAGGGCACGGGGTGACCAATAATGTCTGAATTGGTCTGTAATAAGGTAGGCACGGATAAGGGGTTGACAGGTATGCAGTCCTTTCTCCCATCCATAATCACTTTTGCTGTAACCCATGAGTAATGCTAGTTTGTAAAAACAATGAAACGGTTCTTGCTATCGATTCCAACTTACAACTCGCTTTACCGGCCTTGATTACAACGACCGACTACAACTTACAACTCGCTTACCCAGCCTCGTGGCCTCTTTAATGAAAAAACCTCTCGCGTGTGCCAGCGCCGTCACACGACGATGGGTATCTGGACGCGTCGGAAGTGCACGGAGGTGCGCTTGAGCGAGTAGTCGGATCCGCGGTACGTGGCCCACACCACACCGTTCTCCACCTCGTAGGGGGGCTTCTCGCGGGGGTCGTACGGCCCCCCCTGGTAGTACACGCCGTTGAGGTTGGCGGCTTGGCATGCGTTGTACCACCAGCCGCCGCCGTACCACTCGGCGCACGAGCCGTCGCTCCACTTGTCGGTGTCGCGGTCGAAGGTGCTGAACGTCATCCCCCCGTGGGAGGTCAGCTCGGGGTCATCGGCCACCCCGGAGACGAGCGCGTTCCCCGCCGTGCCGCGGTAGTCCGAGACCTGCGCGACAGCGAGCGCGGGGTGGCCGTGGCCAGTTCAGTGGGGGGGGGACGGGGGTGGTACGGGGGGGGGTTTGCTGCCCCCTTGCTGTGCGGGTGGACAAGCGGTCAATGAAGGAAGGGATCACAGCGCGAGATCCGTGATATTCCGCTCTGCGAGCGATCCGAGCGGATCCTCTCGCCTCGTGACGTGGCACCCGTGGCAGAATTTCGGATGGAATCACACACCAATGTTGGTATCCCACTGTGTACTGGCCTCTTTCGTTTCAACAACACTCAATGCAGTCTCTAAATTAGACCTGGCTCCTAGTAGATGGTGGGTGGGGGGGGGGGCAGCATAATAACTGCTACACCACCGCTAAGGAGGAGAGTGAACTCGGGTGGTAGGGGGACACAGGGACATGAGGTGGCACACGGCCTGATCTTTCGCACCTGGAGCGCGTAGCCCTCGCTGTCGTCCCGGAGGGTGACCGTGTACTCGGCGTGGGCGCCCGCGCCGTCCCAGCCCTGAAGCTCCACCCGCATGGTGGAGTCCTCGTGGGCGAGCAGGTACATGGCCTCCAGACCGAGCCACAGCTCCCCGTGGCCCGAGCCGTCGACTGTTCCGAAGCCCTCTCGGTAGGCCGAGAACGAGCGGTTGAAGTTCAAGGAGCCGTCCTCCGAGAGAAAAACAAAGGCGGGTAGGGTATGCAGCAGGGTTCTTCACTAATATTCAGAGGGGGTGATGGGTGGGGGCGCTTTAGCCGAAAAGACATCATCAGTGTGAGGGCCGCCACACATTTGAAACCATTGGGAGTTTGACAGCACGATGATGATTGAGGTGTTTTCACGTTCGTGTATTGTCGGGGGGCCTACTAATAGTCAGGGAGCTTTGGGCCAGATTTTGATGAAATGTGGATAAAAGAATATTTTTTTTAGATGATCTTCATCGGACATATTTAACATTGTTGCTAGGATCCACGAAAAAAAGTCATTGTAACAGTTTTTTACGAGCCAAGATGGAATTTTTTTTTCATTCCGCACTGGGAAATTCTCAAAAACACGTGTTTTGGTCAAAAACATTAACATGAAACTGATGAAAGGAAACAACAACAGAGCATTGCAAATATTACCACACGATGGTCATGGCCACAAATGTAAGCAAAACAATTGCAAACATGATTTTGTATCTATAAAATGACTGAAATACCTAACATTGTACTTTGTACTTGTTCAGATATTGACTGAAGATACAGAATGGATTGGACAACATGCGTGATAGGTCGGCAGGCTACTATTGAAAGGCTGAAGTGTCCATTAAATGCTCCAGAATGTGGAGATAAATCTGAATCATACAGATATTTTCTGAAAAGTGTCTGCATTTAGAGCATTAAAACAACTACCAGTGACACTCAGCTTTGAAGAGAACGTTACCGCTGATGATTGTATTGAACACCACGCTCGGTGGCACAAATCTTTGCTGTGGAAAATTTAGCAAGAGCAAACTGGAAAGAACAGAGAGAAAGAAAGAACTAGATGATGTGGAGACGTCCGCTGCTGCTGTCGAGGAGAAGTGACGCAGAGATCACCACTCTGGCAAAGAACATCTGTATTTTCTGCACAAAGGAGGATGGCCATCTTCATGAGTTTAGGACAATATATGCAGATGAGAATGTAAAACGCATGGCAAATGACCTACAGGACACTGTATTATTGGCAAGGATTGCAGGTGGGGACCTTGTCGGATTTGAAGCAAAATACCACCTTACTTGCTTAGCTGGACTCAGAAATCGCCACCGCTCACAAACGAAAAATAGTCAGGGATCCTGTGAAGGCCAAACCGAGGAGAAGAAGATCTAGGCAAGACCATTTATGGAGCTGATCACTTCTGTATAAAAACTCAGTTGAAGATGGAATCTTCTACTTCCGATGTTTTGAGCTGCGTAAGCATTATGAAAAAGATTTTGTTTCGATTTAAAGCTATCGTGACTGCAGGAATTCGTCTTCTTGGTTCTTTCGGTAAAGTCACGTAGAAGGAAAATAATAAAAAATAAAATAAGATAATTCTCACGACGTTTCGGCCACAACGCCAGCAGCCGTTCTTCACCTGAGGACGGCTGCTTGCGTTGTGGCCGAAACGTCGTGAGAATTATTTTATTATGTTTTATTTTTATTATTTTATTATTTTCCTTCTACGTGGCTTTACCGAAAGAACCAAGAAATAGATTTTGATTGCTACAGAGAGGGCGGGGGGTGGGTGACCTCGGCTAATCCATTTACTTGCAAATTCCATCCCTAGTCCCGCCTACTTGCCCTTGGGTTGTACCCACAACACATGTCTATAACCTTTGGTTGCAGTAGCTCTCTCGCTACATCTCCTCCTCAGCAGTTCGCCTGCTGTATTGTTTCACCTGAAGACAATGGCTTGTGTTGCTATCGAAAGGTCGTGATTTATTAGTTCTTTTTTCTATCTACGTAACTTTACCGAAAGAACCAAAAGGTATGAATTCCTGCAGTCACGAAAGCTTCAAATCAAAATCTATTACGTTAGAGTTTTTTTTTCTAACCGCGCAAATCAAAACATTGAAAATGTCACATGATAGCATCCAAGCGCTCAAATCTGCTGGATCCTCGCAAAAAAGTTCACCAGTTAGGACCTAAACAAGTAACTCGCAAAGGTTAGTGCTTTTATCCTAGTCTGTCCCCTTTCTTTTGGTGTAAGCTGCCGGACTAGACAGGGCACCAAGGGGGCCGTCAGTGGCCCCGCGGGCCGAGCAAATGAAGAAACACTGGGATACAGCATCGGGGACAGGGTGCCATCGTGCCGCGTTCGAGACACATCGGGCGGACTCGCCGCTCGGGCTCGTCGCGGGGAACTGTTAAGGATCCTTTAGACCAATTCAAAGGCTTCGAGAAAGGTCCTTTTCCTCGGGGTCGTGGACAGGGGAGGAACGACGGGGATTGTGCGGTGGACGAGCGAGGCGTCGTGACCAGGGCGCGTTACCTCCAGTGCCGGATTAAGCTAGTGCGGGGCCTGTAGCATATGTGTTATGAAGGGGCCCTAAATAAAATAAAAACCACACAAATGTTAAAACTCACATTTTTTACTTCCATAGTAAAGTAATTGTATTTTTAAATTTGCTTTATACAGCCAGATAATACCACAAATCGCTAACCTTAAACACGTAGTCGTTCATAAAAGTTGAAGGCAGTATGGTACTATAGTAATAGAGCAAGTGCAGAATCACTGAATCGGAATTAATAGCTTGAAAGCGCGGGGCCCTTAAAATTGGGGGGGGGCTTGAAAGTGCGGGGGGGCCTTGAAAATGTAGGGGGGGGGTGGGTCCTTGAAATTGGGCGGGGGGGCCTTGGAACTGTGGGGGGCCTTGAAAGTGCTCCTGGGATAACCCGTCACTGGTTTACCTCTCGCTGCTGCACGAGGGTCCATCCGCCGCCGTCTTTGTCCTGCTCGCAGTAGACGGTCATGGGGCGCTTGGCCCCGCGCGGACGCACCTCGTACAGACCGCTCGCCTTGCCACCCGCACGCCTCTGCAGCACGTCCAGGCAGTCTTGCAGAGGGGGAACAAGAGGGCATGAACAGCGGGTCACCGGCTCCGCCGATTAGAGAATGTGTCAGCGTTGTTTGTTTGATTGTTAATTGTTTTTTTTTTGCATTATGACTGCAGGTATTGTGGTCTATGCAAACATGACTCCTTGTAAAAAAGGTGTCAGTTTTGTTGCAGATAGAAGGGTAAAAAAACCAATTGTATTTTTTACTGGAAAATGAGGTTCCAATGGTGTTTTTTTATCCGTTTATCTGGCAACAAAACTGACACCTTTTTTTACAAGGAGTCAAGTTTGCATTTACCACAATACCTGCGGTCGGAATGCAAACAAAAAACACAACTTTGATAATGTATGCAATATCCTTGAAATTGATTGGTCCACACTCGAGACAGCTTTTCTTAGAGCCTAGTCTCACATGGTGTTGGACCAGATGACGCCATCATATTTTGCTACTGGCAAAGGAGGTTCCAATGGTGTTTGATTGTTGTTGTCGTCGTCGTCATCGTTACAATCTTTCAAACGAGTGCCTTGCGTGTGCGCCAGATCGTCATCACGACAGCAAGGCAAATAAGCATCATTGTCGGAGTTTGACTTCTATATTGGGGGGTCACGGGTTCGCTTTGTCCCTCACATTCGGAATCGCGGGTGCATATAATTGATTTATTTTTCATCTTAATTGTAAACTACTGAAAATAAATTAATAAAAGTACCCAGTTTTTTTTGGGGGGGGGGGGTAATTGCCCCCCCCCCCCGCCGTGCCCCCCGTGCCCCCCCCCAAAAAAAACTGCGTTCATGATCGGCATGTGACCACTCCTCTCCACTATTCTTTGGGTCTTTCGGTAAAGTCACGTAGATAGGTTCAAAGAAAATAACAAAAAATAATAAATAAAAAACTACGACGTTTCGATCGCAACGCAAGCGGTCGTTATCAGGAGGAAACAAGAGAGGAAAGCTGCTGAAGCAGGCTGTTTTAAATGTTTGAAATGGGTGTAGCGGCTAGCCCAAGGGTCATAAACGAAGCTATTGATGTTAATTAACACCAATTGCCCCGCCCGCTTGCGTTGCGATCGAAACGTCGTAGTTTATTTGTTATTTTTTGTTATTTTCTTTGAACCTATCTACGTGACTTTACCGAAAGACCCAAACAATATTAATCCCTGCAGTCATGAAAGCTTTTAAGTCAAGATTCCTCTCCACTAATTCAATGAATCGCCACGGCTCGTGGGCGTTCGTCCGTTGTGGAGTGGCCGCCCTGGTTAATACCGCGTTTTTTTTATTGAGGGTGCTCACCCGAACCCCATTACGTGACCACATTTCTCCGGTTCACTTATCATTACACTCGCTTCTGGTCTTGAAACGAGTAAAGTTTAAGAACCTTCTACGAGTTTTTTTTTAAGCCTTGCATGGGCTGCCACTACCATATATTCACGAGCTAATCCATCCGTACACCCCCTCAAGGTCGTTAAGTTCTGCAGACTCAGCCCTTCCGTGCGTACCTCGATCTCGGCTGCGTTCCTGGGGTGAGCGGGCATTTGCTGTGTCTGCGTGCCACGGTTGTGGAATTCCCTACGGCTGGAAATTCGTTTAACCGATAATGTGGATACTTTTATCTCTCCTCTTAAAACACATCTTCTAAGTCAGTTTATTCTAATTAGCTTCTCTGTCTCTCTTGGCATTTCCTTATTCTTACAAGGCATCTTGAAACATCAGTGGAAGGCGCCTTACAAATAAACGATATTATAAACCATACAAATACGATGCGCCGTCTGCTTTGTAGTGGATGTTAAGAGTCTATGACGTAATTCGCAAAAGACGGCTGCTGTAGGCCAGTGAGACGGTTCAAGCTTGCCAAATTTGAAAAATTATCTGTAAATTACTCAATTTGAATCTACATTGCAATCACCACCCCGTACTCAAATACTTGGCAGGACCCTCCTGAATATAGTGACGGGTATATGTGTAATAATACTCAAGGTAATAATTCTAGGATATAATTTTTTTCTGCCACTGTGGTGCATGTGGAACCTATCGTGGCTGCATAATTCCCAAGAGCTGGCAAAGTTGCAGTGACCCAATGACATTCGGAGTATTGTTTGTGAAAGGTAAAATCGCAGTTCTGCAATTGCTTGGCCACACCCACTGCGCATTCTTCCTGTAGCACCACTACACGAGCTGGAACATCCGTAGTGACTGAAAGGAGTCTACGCTTGTGATAAAAGTCATGGGTAGAGATTTGAGGCCTTGCACCTATATATTCGGACAAGTTGGTCCTGTGGCTCCGCGCTTGGAAGTCTGGTTCGTCGTCACTTGCGGTGCCAAAATCCGAATTCCATTGCAGGTTGGGTTGATTCCACGCGCCATCCGCGCCCGTGTCCCTCACAAAGCCCTCCTCTGTTTGTGCGGCTGTTTGGACGGCGTCCCACTGCCAGAGCGACATGACACAGTGAGGCAAACACACACTTAACGCTTCACTGCCGGTGATTAACATGGGCACAGTTTATACGTCTTAAGAACGGTCAGGAAACGAAGGCATTACACTTTATAAACCCTGGTACAGCAGTCTTGAACAGATGCTCAGTGTAATTCATGTCTTGGATAAACCTGAGCGGCAAATCTTGTGTCATCAGCATGAAGTATAAATGTTTGTGGATACAGTATTACCAATAATAACCACTCAAGCAGCTATGACCACTCAATATGATGGCGTGTATTCATGTCCTAAAATCCAGCCTTAGCAATGGAGACTATTCAAACTTGATCGTTCATGGCCAGTCACAACGGAAATATAAAACATTTCCACGTGTAAATAGAAATTTTGTTAATTTTAACGACTGTCCTTTATTAGTGAAAACAGTCACTTCCCACCGTTCATTAATCGTTGAAAAAACCAAAGCAGTCATGGGTCATGTACATGACTGACTTCACAGAGGCAGCCTCACCTGGAAGTCATCTGTCTCTTTTCCAGCCACTGCAGCTGTACTCACAGAAACCTTTTTAAAAGAGAGCTCTTCTGTTTTCTGCGTTGACGATGTTGTTGACGACGTTGACGAGGATGACGACGACGACGACGATGATGATGATGATGACACTGAAGAAGTGGATGCTACATTCACGTCTTTTTCCACTTTGGACTTCTCATCAACATTTTCAAACGCGTTGGAACTGTTGGCGTGCGACACGCCCGGGTCCGTTGCGTCTGATCGGAAGCCTTTGGCCTGGCTGGCCGTGCCGTCGTCATCGCGTGGCTCCGTGCGGGCCGCATCGCTGGCGGGGCCACCGCTGTAGGGATGCAGGCTGCGCGCATGCTCGCGCTCCACAGAGAAGCTCTCGTGCACTATCTCCTCGAACAGCGCGAGGTTGATGCCGCTCAGGTAGCTGTTGGCCTTTTCCAGCTGGAGGTTCATCTCCTTGTCCACGCGGTACCTCGTTTGGCGCGCGCACGCGCCCTTGCAGGTGCGCAGCGCGATGTCGATGTCCAACTGTGGAGGGAAACGCGCGGAGCGTGAAGGTCGCGACGTGGATGATGCGGCGCGCATGCCACTTTTTAAATCCTTTATATTAAGTTCACTTGCTTGCTTGCGCGCTTACGACCATGCAAATCTTTCGGTCGTTTTTTAACCCACTTCCTCTGATCCAATCGAGCTGACATTTTGCACACAGACTCGTTGTGCGTGACAATTTATTTTCGTGAAAAAAATTACAAAATTTGACACTTTTTAGGAAAAAATAAATTATATTTAATTATCAATTGCTTAATGGTGGCAGGCAATTATCTGACCCATAGGTGGCAGCCATCTCAAGCCAGAGGACGAGAGGACTCTAGCCGCCACGCATATAAAGGATTTATAGTGAAAAACTTTGTTTTTACGGGTTAATTTTTTAGCTTCTGAGTTCTGACAGGGTTGGGCACCATCCAGGTGATTTGGTTGGGCTGCCATGATGGCGAGATGTAATCTCCCCTAGCCTGGTACGCAGGATATCGTGGGTTCGATTCCAACCCTGACGCCTGTATATGCGGAGCCTGCGTGATCTTTCCCCGTGGTCGCGTGGATTTTCCTCCAAGTCCCTCTGCATTTGCCCTCCACATTTAGAAACTTGCATTTAGATTATTTGGATACGACTATAAATGGCCACGTGTTACGATATAAGCCACTTCTATGAGTTATCATCATGTGTGGCCACGTCACCTCTGAAAAATAGCTAATAGCTCGGTGGGCTTTACCAGGTGAATATTTTAATACCTCCTCGATGAAATATGGTCAATTCTAACTAAAGTGAAACTCTATGACATACGATGGTCAACACACGTGAAAGAAGATCGCCTGCTAACTGCTTGCAATGCTAACGATTGGTTACATTGTGAACCCCTATGGTATTATTACTTCGGTGCTGACTAAATGACACAATCCTCACCTCCAATTGCAGGATCGTAGATGTTTGCTGAGCAATTCCATTTCGGAGCTGAGACAGCAGCGTGAATTGGCCGTTGACGCGTCTCTGCAGGTAGATGATTTTCCTCTCCAGGTCGGTAAGCAAAGCTAAGAAGCGCGCCTCTGTGTCTGTGTGCACACACACAGGTAACAACACGGTAGAGGGGGATATCAGCAGTCGTGCCAGTCGTGAATGAACACTCACAGCACAGGCGAATAAAGCAGAATTAACGCAACCCCTGTGATCACTGAGGCCAAAGCATGATTGCTCTTCTATCGGCACGACCATGGTGACTGTTCCCGTGAACATCACTCGCTGATTCTTCCACCCGTGTTAAGGACTCGGTCTATCAGACGCTGACTGTGTTCACCAACACCAAACAACACTGCAAGTCACAACAACACACCCAGCCACTCACACGCACTCGTTCACTCACCCACTCACTCACCCAATCACTCAAACAGATCCCCCGTATAGCCTTAGACTGTTGGGGCAAGCGCTGTTAGTGAGTACCTATGAAGACCGGCATGGCACACGAGGGGGTGGGTGGCCAACATCACGCCCGGCCGCCTTTGTCTCCCTTTTCACTCACACACCCAATCACTCACACACTCATTCACCAACCAACACGCTCATACACTCAGAACACTGCAGGTGACAACACTTCTTTCTCTGCTTCTTCAATTGCATCGTGTGTTTCCCAAGCTCATACTACCTTGTTCTTGTATATATGTGTATGTTGAACTGATGTCGCATGGTACGTCGCCAACCGTGCTAATCGGAGGTGTGTGTTACACTCATTCATTACAACTTTTTGAGTGCTGTTTGTCGCTGGCCGCTTGACACTTCGGGGACCTGTGATCAGCAACTGTGTTTTTTAAAAATTGAATGCCTCTTCTTGGTTCTTTCGGTTATTATTTTATTATTTCCATTCGACGTGACTTTACCGAAAGAACCAAGAAGATGAATCCCTGCAATCACGAAATCTTTAAATCGAAAAATGTAATGCCTCGATACATTTTGTTTTATTACGCCGCAGACAGCGGTCGACATCTGCGTGCGTCCGTGCCACCTTCGCCACCAAAGAGGCATCTGTGCCACGCACGACTCCGTTACCCTCTCTGTCGGTCACCACTTGGTTGGAGACGTCGCTGACGGAGCGGTAGTACGTGTGGATCTCCGTGTGCAGCTGGATCATGCGCGCCAGCCTTTTCGTGAGCTCGTCCACACGGCGCGTGCTGTCCTTCTCTGTGCGGCTCAGCATGCTCAGCATACGGCACCCACCCGGGCACTTGCGCCCCTATGGGAGGAGGAGGCACGACCAGTGACGGACTAAGACAAAAAATCACCCCAAGAATTTGTAAACGCACTGGCTCGAATTCGGGCTATGGAGTAGCTAGATTTGCGATGTGACGACGAAGTATGGGGATTTTGCCGCGCGATCGTATTGATCCATTTGGGCTGGTTAAAAAAAAAACATAAATGGCCCATATTCTTTGGGACTTCAGGTAAAGCCACGTAGATAGAAAAAATAATAATAATAACAATAATAACAATATCACGACGTTTCGATCGCAACACAAGCATTCGTCTTCAGGTGTGATATTGTTATTATTTTGATTATTTTTTCTATCCACGTGGCTTTACCGAAAGACCCAACGAATATGAATTCCTGCAGTCACGAGAGCTTTAAGTCACAAATGGGCCAGTGAGGAAGAATCTTTGGGGCTGCTGCATTTGGGACTCATTGCCAACTGAGAACAAAAATAAGCAATGAAGCATAGATAATAGAGGCAATTTTTTTTTGACTCTGATCACATTGCCAATTTCCTCACACAGACCGGCCCACCAACCCTCCGAATGGACTGGCCCCCCGGGTATATTGCCCTATTACGGACTGCTGCCCTATGGACAATCCGGGCCTGGGTGCACAACACGGGGACACGGAGGTCTTCCTCAAGAATGCCAAGCGGGGCATGCAATGGTCTCACCGTCCTTCAAGCAAGACAGGGACATTTCGCTTTCGAGGTGGCAGTGGCGGATCTCACCTTTGAGAGCCCCCCCCCCCCGACAAAAAACGGCATTGTGTTGATATTCACCAGAGGAAATACCGAGAATTTAATTTTCATTAACGTAAGGCCTTTTTTATAGTTTGACATTTCAGAACCGCCCCCTCCTTGGGAAGATTCTTTCGAGTATTTGGCTGCTATAAATGTCAACATGATAAGCCACTTCGTTCAGCTATCATTTGTGGCCAGGTCACTTCTGAAAAATAAGCTAATCGCTCAGTGGGCCTTACCTGCTAAGAAAAAACAAAGTTAAGTTTTAGTTGCATATTTTTTGTGATTTGCTTATCTTTCTTATACTATGCACTCCTATAGTGTTTTTCTACAGTGTTTTGTGGTAACGTTCTGACCCGCCCCAACTGGACATCTGTGAAAAAGAGCTGTTTCGCTAATCGGATTCCTCCAGTATAAATTCTAATTCTGAGCCGCCTTGGCCAAGATAGACCTCAAGGGGCAATCATAAAAGTGTTACTTTGAATCTCATGTGCCCGAGGCCTTGTGTTATGGGGTGTAAAAGCCATGGGCCTGCTCGCTGCTGCTGCTGCCACCGTTGAAACACGTGGGAGAGCCACCGTGGCCTGGCATCGGCGGTGGCTTCTTTGTGCGGGTGGCACCGTGCCCACCATCTCCTTGTCATGGGCCCGAGGCCACGTACCCAGGTCCCCTCCACACACAAGTCTGTGGTCTGCTGGGTGCTGCAGGAGTCCCGGGCTTGAGAGGGCACCACGAGGCGTGGGCCACGGATGTCGATGCTGGAGTCGTCGCCCGAGGACCATGCCTGGTGGGCAAACGAGGGGACACATTCGTGTGTTTGAGTTTCTCAACGTGAAGACGACCAAAGCTATACGGATGCCGCGGCTGCCCACCCCCTCCACTGCTAGATGCCACAGCTGCTGCAACAGTGGACAGGCAGCGACCTCCTAAGGTCAGCACGGTTGGCTACGTACGGTGCGAAAGAAGTTCAACATGCCTCGCCCTGACGGTCTCCCACCAACTATGAACAGGAATCATCAACTACCGTATCAACCTTTCTGGGTAAGACTCGCATTGAATATGACAATTATAATCGAATGGTCATTGAAAATTAACACATTTCACAGTCATGCATCTGCATGTCAACGCCACGGACGTGAGTTTGCACACAACTATTATGCTTCAGCACAATCATAACATACGCATGGTACTTTGATTTCATTTTAAGTCAAATATAATCTGTTTTGTTTTACTATGATGTTGAGGTCGTAAATATTCCCTCTGTTTTATTTTTGCTGTCGCTTCCAGTGCACTGTCCAGTAATATGATGCGGTCTCATTATCGAAGTGGTGACATCCAGTTCACCATTGTACTCCAGATAGTAATCTGTTGATTAAAATCAGTCTGAATTCCCGCATCTCCCGTGATATCTCTTTGATGGAACCCGTCCGGTCCATGCCCGTAATTAGCTTCGTCCTCTCTTCGACGATGGTGGCTCTCGTTGCACGAGCAATGCAGACGCAGAGAACTCGTGACCGAAAGTTATCCGAGACCACAACACGCACGGTGAAGAAAAATGGAGATGTGGCAAAAAGGGGCAAAGAGAACTAACAAAACGTAGAATGGAGAGAGATCCGTAAAACCGTTCCGAAAGGAATAAGGTGAGAAAGCAGAGACCACAACAGAAGCATGCCTCGAGATGTCATAGCGTGCAGCAGGTGCGTGAAATGATCGACAATGAAGTTGATGATTGGTAAATCACAAATACTGTAGTCGCCTTCAGAGAGCAAGATGGACGTATTACACGTGATTTTAACATAATCGTACAATTAGGGAAGGAATTACGCGCAGAACTTTACAGAAAATAAAAATGTGTCAGCCGAGGAGGAATGTGTTCTGATATTAGGAAGCAACTGGAGCCATGAACTTTTAAATCTATGTTGAAAAGTCATTTCTTTAGAACTGATTTTGTGTTTAGTTTGCTGTCCTTCCCACGCACATCAGATTCGCACGGTTGACTGCGAAAGAAGTTCAACGTATAAACACGTGAAGTTGTACTACATGCAGAGCCTCGCAGCGCGAACACAGGAAGAACTCCACAGCAGCTGGAGTGGTTGGGCCAGTTGTTGAATCGAAACGTGGGACGTATTTACCAAATCGCTACGCAGAAACTAAACGCCTGGATTGTGAAATGGGAGCGCATTCATTTATTTGGTCACAACGGGAGGAAACGTCGCTTAGAAGAATAACAGGGCCATTCGCCTCGTATGACGCACATAAACTGCTCTCTATTTTTTTGTTAAATGAATTCTCAAACAGACAAATGATGATCGATTACCAGTGGAAACCTATATTATGAAAGGCAGATGAAACGGCATTGAATTAAATGGAAATTGATGCAGTCATCGAGGCTCTTACAAACCAATCCCCTTCAGTATATAATAGATATGATGAAAACCAATTATACATACTGTAGAGATGATGAAACCCAATTAGAAAGATAAAACAGCTGCACTAAATATGGACAAAGGAAAAAAAAATCACATCTAGGCGATGAGATCCGGCTATTCACAGCGACCGGAGAAGACATTTTCGAAACTTTTGTTTGGAAAGATAAAGGCATAAGAATAAATGGTGAATATATTGACCGTCCTAGATTCGCTCACCACGTTTACTATAAGCAACCAACGGGCAAATGAACTCCGTGAAATGAGAACAGCTCTCCAAAATATCAATAATTTTATATCTGTGGTGATTATTGAAGGCAGACCAGGATCGAAGTTTTGAAGAAACCAGGTGAGTGAGAGCTGAATCGAGTGCTTGTGGAAAATTCATTTTGTTCATGAAAAGTGACATGACTCATGAACATAGCGATGGGCCCAATGCAGAAAGTCTGAGTCGGTGGCTCCTGTCGGTAGCAAAGGGAAGACTACAGCCATAGTCTAGGCCTATTACATATACAAGGTTATGGCTCAACGTAGCTTAGGGTGAAGTAAATACTCATGAGAGCAATCCGATAACATTTAAAATCATAAATATGGGATTGCCTAGCAATTCCTCTGAATCCTTGAGTAATCAGTTATCTGAGACTTTTCAAAAGTATCCCCGTAAATGGTTATGTCTGTGCGAGGTATCTCTGCTCTTCACACGATACCGTTATCACCAAAGGTATTTACAAATTTAGAACAGAATGTATCAGTGAACCTTCCAATTGCATATTCTTGGTTCTTTCGGTAAAGTCACGTAGATATAAAATAAAAAATAAAAATAAAATTGAAAAATTCAAAATTAATGCAAAAAAACCCACTTCCAATTGCAATGTCTTGAATAGGACATGGGCAATGCAATTGTATTTAATGAATACACATGGAATTTCGTTTTTAATCAAGGACATATATATGCCCATTACCATTACAAATAAAGAAAAGACGATTGCATTTATTTAATTCGCTAAAACAAGCTGTCATAAAGTTTCAGTTGTAATTTAAAGCCAACCATTTGAATAAATATTTAGCCTCAGAACTCTCAAGATAATTATAGCAACTCCTCGACACCCTCAAATAGCATGCATCCTGGAGCTTACCAGAGTCCTGGGAATCCACAACCACCTCAGCATCTAACGGTCATTCAGTTATTTATGAAATAGTGAAGAGATGTCGCAGAAATACCTTTGACACCAGAAGACACCCCATGAGGACCATGAAAACTCCACGTAACGTCATGGCAGCTCTTTGCAGGAAAACAAATAAATTAAATAAACCAAATATAATAAAACAAGAATAAAGCCAAGCAGTAAAATCAGTTTTTCATTTCAACCACAGAGAGGCATGAGATCTTCAGTTTGTGAAGGCTGGTGCGACTCTGCCTAGCGTGGCGCCGTCTCTTCTTCGCTTGGCTCAGTCAATGACTGATCTTTTTTGTGTTGATAAAGATTGGCCAGAGATGCCCTTGTGCTGCGCCTTCTGCAGGGGTTGACCTGCGCCCTCCACACAGTGACAGAGCTGTGCCGTGTGCTGCAGTGCAACGCCACCAGAGCGCAGCAGAGGGGCTCTAAAACTTAACTTTGTTCAACTAAAAACTATTTTAATGTTAAATTTCGATTTAAAGCTTTCGTGACTGCAGGGATTCATCTTCTTGGTTCTTTCGGTAAGACCCACTGAGCTATATAGCCCTTTGTTTAGAAGCGACCTGGCCACAAATGGCAGCTCAACAACGTTGCTTATCAGGTGGAAATGTATCGCTGCCAAACAGTCTAAACGCATGTTGAATCTAAATGTGGAGGGAAAAACTGGAGGACCTAGAGGAAAATCCACACGACCACGGGGAGAACACGCAAACTCCAAATATACAGGCGTCAGGGTCGTGGTCGAACCCACGACCTCCTGTATACCTGGCAAGGTAGTGAACATCTCGTTTTCTCGTAGGCCCAGATCACCTGATCTGGCGGGAATGGTGATTGTTAAACAGCTTTGAGTCATTCTTGTAAAACATTTCACGGCTGAATGTTTCTTACCAACGTCAACAAATATGAAACAAATCAAGATCCCACTGGCACATTTTACTCACCATGAAAATTTCTATGAACTTGCAGGTGTCAAGGCCAAGAAAATATTGTATGATACAATCAAAGTGGAAAGTAAGAACACTTCGTGGAAACTCCTCTTATCCACGCTATCGCACGAAAAATAAGATGAATGACCTCTTCCTGGTCAATTTCAGTCAGGTAGAAACCATGGATATGCACAGATAATATGATGAATATGCCACTAACTTCGAGGTTACGCTTATCCATGAGAAAGTATGGATAAGATTAATTTAGCCAACTTCTGGATGACCCATTTCCTTGTTCATCATCATTGTCACCGTCTCTGCCCGCCTGGGCCACCCAACGCCATCATCACCACCCCCATCACCATCAGTGCTTTTGTGCAGATTAAACAACTAATTTGCCGCCACGTTTGGCTTACTCCTCTAGTTCTTGCGTAACCGCGTATCATTTGTACAGATCGATCTGTGACCGCAGAAGGCCATGTGGCCGTTGGGATATGTAAAATGTTTTTTTTTTTATGCAGAGGGACAGATATGGAAAGGAGTATTGTCTTATTTAGTTTGATACAAGCTCGTGATTCACCCGGTGCTTAGCTGGCAAACTCCAAAACCCAAATGTAATTTTGTGTTTTTAGTAAGTGGGGACAAGGTGGAGGCAATTTAATCCGCTACAGAGGATGTGCTGATATTTTGGGTAGTACCACGACCCAGAATTTGAAAATGATTGCGGCTATCAACAGGTGCAGGTTCACTCTGCCAGTGACACAAGCACAATGAGGGATGGGCAGCGCCCACCCACATCGGAGTTTTCCTCTTTGATGTGCCTTTGAGTTTGTCCTCCAAAAACAAATATTGGACAACGGGAAGAAATTATCTTTGAAAAACATTTGCCCGGTTGAATGATTAACGTGTGTGTGCACACACGCGCTTGCAGCTATTGCACATAAAACGAACATCACAGGCTGTTTTCACCATGCCAACTCTGAACGTAAGTTCTAAACATTCATGAAAAATTACAGAACATGGTTTTAATGTGAAACAAAGTCAAAGCGCCTGTGCACTCGACCACGAGTCGTGGTAGAATTAATCATTTCCATGTGCGTTGTTGACCTGCCACAAATTAGGAAAACGAGCGGCGTTTGTCCTCCATACCTCCGTCTCGACACAAATGATAAAGGCATTTATTTCACAACCTATCAGCCGCACGGCCTTCTGGGAGTCCATAACCCCAGCAGAAGCGATTAATAAGTAAACATTTTTTTAAACTTTTTTTTTTAAACACGCTTTTATGAAATGTACTTGTAATGAAAGAACTCCACGATTCCAGGAAGTGGCCCCGAAGCTTTCCATAACCTAACGGACCCTGGCCAATTACAGCCAACGTCAGTTTACCGTGGACAATTAGAGCCAGACCGAAAAATAACATATAAAAAGATTGTTTAGAAATATATGCTTTTTTATTTTTTATGATAGATTATAGTATTGTCATTAGTATGACATAAATATACCAAGTTTGCAGTCGATACCACATTGGGAAGTGGGTAAAAATTTTGTTACAAAATTTGAGGATACAACAACAACAACAGATACAGTGAGTTAAATAAAAGCGTGTAAAATAATAATAATAATAAAATACAATCACACCCTGGGGCCAGCCTCGACACACATTGTCTCACCAGGACAGCCCGGCCCGGCAGAGCCAACGCCGGTGAACGGCTGATCTTTCAGCCAAGGTCTCTGGTCCGAGTTCGACACAAAATCACGTAACACAACTCAAAGTAATCACCTCCTCAGCTGACTTTTTACCTTCCCCATGTCATCTCAGTGTAGCCGGTACATTTATAAAAAACAAATTAAACAAGGCCTTGATTTGTGAGAGCCTGGGTGACTGCATTTTTTTTCTGCGGAATCGTAGTCGGCACAAGTCAGACATCATCGCACTTTATAATCACTTGTAATTTCTAGACTCTCACGCTTGTGTGTACTGTTACTGTAGTATAATTGAAATGCAGCTTGCAACCATAGTTGGTTGGCCTCAACACTGTCCGGTAGGTTTCCTGTGATCTTCATGGGCAGTGTATTTATGTGACCGGCTAGTGCAGTGGTCGGCAAACCAAAATAAGAGACTTTTTTTTCGAATTTCGGTTTTAAAAAAACCTCAGTATTCCAAGAGCCTCAATGCACGTGGTGAAAACGTCGAGACGGTGGTGCTTAATAAATAGCGTCACGACGCAGTCCGTCAAGAGCTGCATGCGGCTTTAGTAGCCGCAGGTTGCCGACACCTGGGCTCATGGATCTGTGAGGGTTGGGATCAGTGTCGTCTCCTTTCATGAACACATTTGTCACTGGAGCAATAGATGTGATTGCAATATTAGGTAGTAGGTGTGTGTGTGTGGTGCTGTAATTGTGGTTGTGATTGCACTATTGCAGTTTTATATACAACTACATCTGACGTGGCAGAATTAGTTTTTGTACTGTTGAACATTATTGCAGACTAACAGTGCACAGTTTTGGTAGACTTGGGGTGCCAGAAATGTCTGGGTTTGGTCTACGGATGAAAAGATTGGCGACCGTATTCAAACCCGATGCATGATGAGACCTTTTTTTTTTTCACAGACCTCCCGGTCCAGTTTGTCTCAAATCCTGTGACCGTCAAAGGTGGCAAAATTTGTGGCAGCGATTCGTGTTCACTCTTCCTCAGACCCTGGCTCCCTTCTTGCATTGTGTGACTTTTACATCGCCCTCGGGACCCGTGGTCTCGAGGGGAAGCAGGGTCCCTTGCCTTGTGGACGTCTGGCAGTCACCAGCATGGGTCAAGTAAGTTGCTGATGAGGCGCTGAGTGTTGGTTGCCAACGTTGAACCGATCAATGCTGCTGAAATTACGCACTCGTGTGGCTGACGGGATGTGTATCAACAGCAGTCAGGTGCGGTGAGGTCAATGGCTTGGGGAGGCACTGGCTCGTGTCAGAGCCAGATTCACACACTGAGGGGGGCGTGGTCTCACTGAGGGGGCGTGTCCTCACTGAGGGGGGCGTGTTAGACACGTCCCCCTCAGTGAGGCAGATGTGATAGCTGCCTCCCCTGGTGCTTTTTCATTGCAGTTTCATGACAAGACCGGCGACACTAAATATATTTTTACACATACGTGAAATAAGTTACCTGGAGTATGGAAGGCGAGGACATGAATACAGGGGTCTACAAACATTAAATTGGTGACATACTGAGATAGTAACAGGCACGCGCTTATTGCCCGCGCTCTATCCAATTACTGAGGGGTTGCGCAATCAGAGGGGAGGCTGAGCTCGTCGCTGCCTCACCTCTCGTCTCTTCCTGTATTTGCAGCGGAGCTCCGCAAATTTGGCGATTTTGACTATAAAAATGATTTGAATCGTACAGAAATGACATTTAGAACACAGATCAGTGGAAAAATCTTCATATTTATTTTATTTGATTATTCTTTTTTTTACTTTTCGTAACAGATATTTTCATTGGAGCATGACAGATGAGGCTCTTCCCCCCCCCCCCTGCCTCGCCTGACCGCACGTCCCTGGTTACCAATGTTACGTGGAGTAACAGCTCCGTGTGAAGGTGTGGTGTCTGATTGATTTATTTTGCCCTACATTTTAGAGCAGTAACATGCGTGAGCGCCTAATACAGAGATGTCCGAGTGTCTTAACTCTCGTAGCAAGTGCATATAAAGCCCTCGTGGCGATCCACTACTGGATGAGAAACCCCCTCGCACGTGCCCTGTGGCTCATGGGGATCATTTCACCTCCTTTATTGTTAAATTTTAATCAAAGTTCCTATGATTGTATTTTATAGCTTTATTTTGGCGATTTCAAAAAAACATATGGTTAAGCCATGTTTCTTGCGGAAGTGCAGAGTTGGCCTGATAACTTTAATCTAAATTGTCTTGTGGTCTTGATTTAAAGCTTTCGTGATGATGTTGCAGTCGAAACGTGGTGAGAATTGTATTGTTTTAAATTTTTGTTCTTTTATTTTTTCCCTTCTACGTGACTTCACCGAAAGAACCAAGAATAAGAATACGTCTTATGGTTGTTATTGTTTGACTTGCATCACACTGGGATTTTTGCACACAGCGTTGTAATACGGTGGGTTTTTTTTCTGGAAGATTTGCTGGTTTATTTAGGATGTTTCTGTTGCGCGTCGTCGCGTTAAGATGTTCTCTGTTCATATTTTGTTTGTTGCGGTTGCACCCGACTCAAGAGCCGCATGGCTCACAGGGCTACACCTACTGAATACAACTTTCTGGTGGTCAGTGCCGGTCGGTGGCGGGGAACATTTACGTTGGAGCGGAGGAGAGTGCAATGGATTGTGCTGCACTGCCCTCTACTGACGATGTATGTATAATAACACGCTGGCTAAATCGGAAATAACACCTTCATTACTAAACATACATATTCGAATATGCTCAAAATGTTCCCCCCAATATATTGGTATAAAATAAATTTCTGTTTATATGATTGTCCTTTATTAATCCCTAATCTCTGCCATTACATACAATGAAACAAGAAAAGGTAAAAAAGAAAAAACAGAGCAATGTAATACAATACACTATTAGACATTATTGTAAAAAACTAAGAAAAATCCATCCTATGTGTTAGTGAATTTTTTTATATTTTAGGCAGGAAATGGCAGGAAATTCTTTTCAAATTTAGATTTTCTTCTCGGGGGGGGGGGGGGGGGGGGAAACCCCACACCCCCTGGAAGATTTGGTCCCCCCAATGTTGACTCCATGGCTACGGCCTTGCTGTATACCAGGGGTCGGGAACCTTTTTGACTGGGAGAGCCATAAAAGCCAAATATTTCTAAATATATTTCATTGAGAGCCATATAGTATTTTTAACGTATAATAAATTAAATATGTCTTACTTTTAATGCGACTTCTGGTGCTGCATGGTTTTGCTGATGGCCTTGTAGTCTGGTTCATACGTGGTGAGGTTGAGCTTCATGCAGGCGTGACTCGTGAAATTTATCTTCAAAACTAATTTCTGTTTACTTTAAAATGACACAGTATTATTGAGCAATATTACAAGTATTTTAAAATCAGTTCCAAACTGATTTTTTTTTCAACTCTAAATTGTCTTTGAGCCATATGCCGTCACTGGAAGAGCCATATATGGCTCGCGAGCCATAGGTTCCCGACCGCTGCTGTATACCGTACTCTGGACACGAATTAATCGCGCCATTTATTGGTACAAGTTATTACTTGTGAATGTTTGAGTTCTTAGTCGGGGATTTGTACTTGCCATCAGCCCGAACGAGAATTGCCTGCTTATGATGTCATTGTCCTGATTTGTCCTGAGATGTACAACAAATGTGTTGTGATCCACAATCCACGTATTGGCCGCCGCTGTTGTGAAGAAGATCAGTAACACAGATCCGTAAGGGATGTCTCCTTCCTATATCTAGTATACATCCCGTCAGCCACGCTTGCTTCTGTTCTGGCAGGGAATCATTTCACCAGCATTGGCTCAATACGAACACAACTCTAAACCGGTTGCAAAAGTTTCGATTTAAAGCTTTCGTGACTGCAGGGATTCATCTTCTTGGTTCTTTCGGTAAAGTCACGTAGAATGTAAATAATAAAAGAATAAAAATAAAAATTATGCTTTTTATTATTTTATTATTAAGTTGTATTTTTATTATTTTATTATTTCCATTCTACGTGACTTTACCGAAAGAACCAAGAAGACGGTTGCAAATGGTTCCTCCGTTAAAACACAGGAACGTTGGGCGAGCACTCGGCTAACGGTTCCAACCACGTGTCAACATTGGACCGACGTTGCATGTGTTGAGTAGTTCCGACGGACGTACTCGTAGACGGAGGTAAGTTAAGGGCTTCTGCCAGGGTTTATTAAAGCTTATCAATATTACACAGCAGGGTACACAACTCCCAAGGGCTAGGGGTCCTACTCTGAGTCCGGGTCCCTGCTGGCTAGCTCCGGTTTCTCTCTCGTGTCGGATCGTGAACTCTGCCGACTCCACCGAGCGGAGAGAGAAGCACCTCTATGGCTACCACCGGCTTCTCCCCACACTCCCTATTCGATCCCTCTCTCTACCCCTGGTTCCCTCTTCACCCTGTTTACTCTACCCGTTCCCACAGTGACCCCGCCTACGTCACGGGGTATCCTTTAAGTACCCTAGGAGACGTGACGTCATCGCACTGAACGGCACACCTGACGTCACGTCCCCATTTTACTCCTCTACACATGTTTACTGGGCACTTAGTAGACAACGATGGCCTTGAGGGACAGGAGTTTTTAAACTATCTAAAAACTTCAACATAAACTGTGTTTTATTTTACTAGGTAAGGCCCACTGAGCTATATAGCTCTTTAACAAAAGCTACCTGGCCACTAATGAAAGTTCAACAAAGTGGCCTATCATGTGGAATTGTATAGGCAGCCAAATAATCTAAACGCATGATTTTAAACGTGGAGGGAAAAAACGGAGGACGTGGAGAAAAATCCACGCGACCACGTGGTGAACTTCCAAACTCCAAACAGACAGGCATTATGATCAGGATCGAACCCACGACCTCCTGAATACCAGGCGAGGTAGATAACATCTTGCCACGGTGGCGCCTAACACATTCCTGCGGAGGGAGCTGGTAGGAACGTTGGGTTTCTCGGTCAATGGCCAGGGTCAACGGCGGCGTGGTGTATTCCGCAAATATGCCCGACTGTGAGGGTGGGCACAAGCCGGCGTGAGTAGGTTAAACATTGAGTTTTATAAGGGCACCACGGGGTGACCAGCCCCTCCCCACCCAGCCCCACCCCTCCCACCCCCCACCCAGCTCCACCCAGCCCCTCCCCCCCACCCAGCCCCTCCCCACCCTCCCCACCCAGCCCCTCCCCACCCCACCCAACCCCTCCTTCTCCACCCAGCCCCTCCCTGCACGACGGACGGACGGACACAATCCCCTGTGGGCTGGTGGAACCAGTGGGTTCCTACCAGTATGATGCACAGCCTGGAGTCACAGCCAACGTGAGCGGAGCCATCATCTCTTGGTAACGTCCCCAATCCTGCAGGGGCTCATAGGCGCGAAGGGTTCGCAGCAATCGTGATCACATTGTCCATAGCCTTTCTTTCGATCTCACCTGGGGTGAACTTCCAAAGCCCAGGTTACCCACGCTCAGGCTGTTGGCCGATGTATACTCACATGTGCAGAATATTAAAGAATGACATTCCAACACACAGCAGCTCCCATTGTGAGAGAGATATTCCTAAGCGTGGTCTCCCACTCAAACAATACTAACGGATTCAAATGCGTAAATGCGGGAAATTTTCTTTATTGGATTCACAGCCAGCGAACAGTAGACAGTCGACTGCTGATGAAATATATATTTTTTATGTTTCCATTATTTCTGGCAAACTGCAAAGCTTGTTATTATTAATCCATCTGCTTTAGTGTACTTCTTCAAAACACGTCTCTTATTCAGTTGGTGCAACACAGATAACATTCCTCGAAATAGGCATTACAAGAAAATACAACCTTCAATTCTCCAACATGTTACGTAACGCACCAGGTGTTATTGTGTTGCGTGCAGTCACTTTGGGCTGCACGAATGTGAGGAACGCATTCTCACAACCACGACTGCCTCAATGCATCGCGAGCCAAGGTAACATTTTCAGATTTTGTGATTGCCTGCACAAGAGTACCAAAGTGTTCTTCTCTAGTCGTGCCACGTTCTCAACAGGTCACATTTCACAACGTGTTTTCGCATGCTGTTTTTGAAGACATATTTTTTGCACGAATTTAGATTGAAGAATTGTTAACCGTATAAAGCAAGTAGCTTAGTAAAGTGTACTTTTCAATTGTGTTTAAATTTAGGAAGCCACGGACAACGAAGCCTTTGCAGTTGATCACAGTTGGATGGCAGAACTAATCGGGATGAAAGCGATGATCATGTCAAGGTCGTGTAGCCTTGGCTCTTCGTCTCTGTAACACAGTGATAAAAAAAGCACACACATCTCATTTGTTTCAATCATATTCAGTGAAACTTAAAAATGCAATTGACCAATACCGAATCATCATCGACTGCTGGTGACTGTGGGCCGGTCCAGATAACGCTCGCCACTGATGTTAGCCGTGCTCATGAGTCGGGACTCTAGCACACTCCTGCTAACCACCGCCCCTCCACTCCCCTCTCGCGTACAACAAAATAAGTTCAATACAGTATATGCGGGTGTATAGTTGACGTAACATGCAAACACAGGATAATTTGTCATTTTGTGTGAGTTCGCAAACGCTCAATATCTGAGCAATGTAAGCTAGCGTACATCTGCTTAACTGTGATATGCTGAATATTAAGACACGTGCACAATGAGGAAGGTGCAATGAGTGTGTGGGATAAAGGAGGGCAGGTTTGCGATTGTTCTCAGGACCAACACGTTGGCTGCGATATAACGAGGAGCCAGGACAGCCGAACGTGATGAGAGGAAGCAGGAACGGCAGAAGTTTTGCGTTTCTGTGCATGTGGTGCTTGAGAATCTGCTCTCTCAGTCCACTGCAAGCAATCGACATGGACTATTAATGCACCTTTAACGTTTGTGTACGTGGTTGAGATGATGCAAATTAAATGAACAGAAGTTGTTGTTGTTGTGCATAACCGACACTTGTCCCACAGGCGATTGGCGTTCACCTAACCGCACCTCCGATTTGCACGGTTGGCTACGTACGGTGCGAGAGAAGTTCAATGTACATACATACAACACAACCGGTCCCACGCCCGACGTCAACGCCTCTGTACAAAGCAGGCCGTGTGAGAGCCAGTCGGGCCGCGCGCCGCCGCACGCGTGCATGCGTGCATGCGTCGCCCAGGTCAGTGTGTCCGTGCGCCACGTACCCGTGCTGCCCTGGTCTTTCTCCCCGCGAGCAGCGGGGACACGCCGTCGTTGGCGACGCCCGTTCCGTCGGACGTGGACACGTGCTTGGTGTGGTGCGTGATGGTCGTGCCGTTGCTCAGAACTTTGGTGACCACCGACTCGGTGACGGTCTTCCCTCCTGGAGGGAGCACACCCGCACGGTGAGCTTCAGGGGCACGGAACACATTGAGCAGGAGAAACGTACTTTCGGGTTTAAATGTGATTTCGTTTCTCCAGAATACAACGAGTTGAGTCTGATGTGGCCTGGATTGAGTGCTCATGTCAGGATAATGGGAAAGACATTGGCATGGGTCAGCTAGTCTCTGAGTCTTGAAAACTGACATGCATTCAAAGGTCCTGTTATAGATGCAGTATATATTACGCCAGGGAACAGTACGGTCACCACGTTTCCCACAGGCCAAAACTCGAGGCATATTTCTCAGGCGAGGTCTATTCATGTAAACCATACCGATAGAGTAGAATAATATAATACTATATTGAGATTTAATATCGATAAATAAGTACTTGCAGGTCATTAGTCACACGTTAATATCTTAAATTATTATCACAAACAGCACAAATATGCATAAAACAACCGTCATTGAAAACTAAATCGTCATTCCTCACCTGATGTGGATGACGTACTTCTTGAGGACGACGACAACGAAGATGATGACCTGCTGGCCCCAGGCAACATGCTTCGGAACTCTTCGTGGAATTCAGGCCCAAAATCAGTTTTGAATAAACTACCAAACCTACTTCCTCCATCACCACCACCACCACTAGCAGCAGCACCGGCGTGGCCACCGCCACTGCTGGATGACGTCGTGGAGGATGTGGACACACGGCGCCTACTGAATATGTCTGAGTGATCTGGCATATCCCACGTGCCAAAGTCTGGAAGGGCTGGGAGCATATCTAGGCTGCTCGTGCCTCCACTAGCACTGTGAGCACTGTGTGTGCTTGTGCTCCCACTCCCCGTTTGCGCACCCGTTCCTCCGGCGGCGTAACCGCCACCGCCCTGCGCACTGCCCGTGTTGGTCGCTGTACTCCCACCTATACCCCAGCCACCGCCCTGCGCACTGCCCGTATTGGGTTCTGTTCTTCCACCTGTACTCCAGCTACCGCCCTGCGCACTGCCCGTGTTAGGTCGCTGTACTTCCACCTGTACCCCAGCCTACCGCCCTGCGCACTGCCCGTGTTAGGTCTCTGTACTTACCACCTGTACTCCAGCTACCGCCCTGCGCACTGCCTGTGTTGGGTTCTGTTCTTACACCTGTACTCCAGCTACCGCCCTGCTGCACTGCCTGTGTTGGGTTCTGTTCTTACACCTGTACTCCAGCTACCGCCCTGCGCACTGCCTGTATTGGGTTCTGTTCTTACACCTGTACTCCAGCCACCACCCTGCGCATTGCCCGTATTGGGTTCTGTTCTTCCACCTGTACTCCAGCTACCGCCCTGCGCACTGCCTGTATTGGGTTCTGTTCTTACACCTGTACTCCAGCCACCACCCTGCGCACTGCCCGTATTGGGTTCTGTTCTTCCACCTGTACTCCAGCTACCGCCCTGCGCACTGCCCGTGTTGGTCGTGGTCTTGGAGCCCCCGCCTGTACCCGTGTTGGATGAACTTCCGTCCATCATGCTCCCACCAGTGCGAACCCCACTATTATAAGTGACCCCCAATGGCGCCACATCCTTTCCACTCGTGCCAGAGGAGAACGAGGTGGTGGAGGTGGCTGTGTGGTGGGAAGTAGTGCTGGGACTGTGGGCGCTCGACGAGGCAGCAGCTTCGTCACGTGGACCGTTCCCCGTTGTGCTTTCATCGTGGAAATTGAAGTCCCATTCGCTGGCACCAGTGTTGGATCCTGGCAAAAAAGGGACGGAAGAGAGAGCACGTACAGTACGGGAAAAGCAGGACAAACTCAACTCCACGTGCCGAAGCGCACGTTTATCAACAGAGCTAAGTGATTGATAATTGGCAACAACCGTGTTTCAAAATACATTGGTGACACACAAATGCACACATACGTACACAGTATGATGATGGCGTCTAGAGCAAGACTTTGTGTTCTGCTGGAGCGATGATTGTACTGAATATTCTAGGCATAGTGATAGGGTTTTACCCTTTCAACTGGTACAAAAACTGACACCTTTATACAAGGTATCATGTTTGCAATAACCACAACACAAGAAAACATGATGCCTTGTATAAAGGTGTCAGTTTTTGTACCAGTTGAAAGGGTAAAAACCTATCACTATATTTTGCCACTGGTAAAGGAGGTCTCATAGTGTAAATGCTTACCCCGAGCTCTCAATACTCTGATAGTGCGCTGTTTTTGAGTTGTATGTCTTTTGGCGTCATCTGGTCCAACACCAATGGAGACTAGGCTCTACCAAAAAGCTGTCTCGGGTGTGGACCAATCAACTTCAAGGACAGTGCATATCATTATCAGAGTTGTTTCTTTTTGTTTGCATTTTGACTGCTTGTGTTGTGCTTATTGCAAACATGATGCCTTGTAAAAAGGTGTCAGTTTTTGTACCAGTTGAAAGGGTAAAAACCTATCACTATATTTTGCCAATGGTAAGGGAGGTCTCATAGTGTAAATATTCTAGGCATGTTACTAAGCAGAACGATGTTCTTTCCAGTTTGGCTTGCTGTGGTAAGAATGAAGCGGTGTGGGTTAACGACACAATTAAACTGAACACGAATAAGCTAATAGCTGTAATAAGCACAATTAATGTGGTCAATGTTCGTAAAAAATTAAATCGAGCAGTTTACAAGGCTTCATGTTTCCTGTCTCTGGCATTGCCTGGGATTTGTGTTGTTCTCTGATATAAAAAAACATTTTTAGTACACTAGGTAATCGCGCCATTCTCATAGACTAATAGAGCAAGACTATCGCAAAGGTGCAATGTTTCGCAGACGTCGTCTGCAGCAGGATGTCAGCGTGGGGTGATGTTGCTCTGTGCTAATCCCAATTGAGTAATTTGCAGAGTCTTGATAGAGTTTGGCAAATGTGGACAATGAAGCTGGTACACGAGGAGCCTCCTCATTTCTAATGACGTCAGGGGGATCTATAACGTCCACTGTGAACGCAACGGTGCGTAATTTATCGTAAATACACAACGCAGTAATAACCAGAGCGGCTGGCCCGCTCCGAACCGTAAACCTCTGCAACGAGCAGGGGACGCGCTACCGCTGGACAAACCGCATCACCGCCTCGATGATGGTGATGATGATGACTTTATTGACGATGCTGAATGTGGCAGTGCGGAATGTCCTACCAGGAAGTGGAAACGCCGAATCGGGCGACACCGGCTGTGAAGAGGAGGATGAGGACGACGTGTGTGTGGAGGAGGAGGAGGAGGAAGCCGAGTGGGCCACTTCGTTTGGATTGCTAAGCCGACCGTGATCCACGTACGTAGGTTCCCTGTGGAGCACAAAACGTGGGATGACATCACAATTGCGATCGCATTTAACATCGGAAACTTTTGCTGTGAAACACAGGGTGGGTGGGGGGTGAAAGTGTGTTCTATAATCCGGAGAATACGGTTGATAGTATAATGCACACGGGAAGGGCTGGGGCATCATCACGTGTGTATTCTATGCCGTGGCCTGTGCTGAGAGCGTGTCACGGCTGTGTGAGCTTGCGAAGGATCCGAGGAATGTCTGCTTGGTGCTGCCACAAGGTGTCACCGGAGGGACCACTTGTCACGGGAATGGGGAGGAGGAGGGGTTGGTGGTGGTGGTGGGGATTTCTGACCCCTTGGCGCGTGGCGTGTTGCGTGTGTTAAGTGACTCGGCATCAGGGAAGCGCGAACGGCGGTAGGTCGTTTGGGCCCATAACTGCACTTGGCATGCATATGTGAGTGTGTGAAGGTGACCTATTGTATGAATCACATCCACCGTGCGCATGCCTTGGCATTCCTGGCGTTCATCTGTGTGTGTGGGTGCGGTAGTGTGGCGATTAGCACGCTGTGCTACCCGAGTTCAATTCCCGCTCACGGCCAACATCGGTGACGATTATCTGAACCGGTCATGGGCCTCCCCTAGGTCGACTCAGTCTCAAATGAGTACCTGGTGTGGTACATATAAAAAAACATCGCCACGAGGGAGACAAATGAGTCTGGGCGTGGTGCTGGCCACCCAACCCCCTCGTGAGCCGGTCTGGCCATCATAGGTGCTCGCTAACAGTACTTGCCGGAACAGTCTGTTAAGGCTATACGGGGGATCTTTGTCTTTTTTGTGTGTACGCGTGACCTACACATTCGTCCGTGCAGATTTTTTATCGCGTTTTGTTTCACCTGCGAGGACCAACGTTCGACGGCGTTGGCTGGAATGTGTGGCTTGATGTTTCAACCCTCCTGTTGAGTGTCTCTTCCACCACAACTTCCTCGAAGCGGTCAAATTTGAGGTTGGCAATGTAGCTGGCGGCCTTCTCCAGCTGAAGGTTTTTCTCCTTGTCCAAGCGATACTCCATATACCGCGCGCATGATCCCTTACACGTGCGCAGGGCAACGTCTATGTCCAGCTGTCCGGGCACACACATTCCAGTGAACATATTCGCATTAAAATAATTAATACAGAAAACACATCCGTTCTAGCTGGGGTTGTACCTCACGAAAATAACGTTACCAAAAACCATAAGTCATTGAAGGTGAAGTTGTTTTCTTACTCAAGCAAGCAGGCGGCAGTTTATTTAGGATCCTGGCTGTAAAATAACGATCTCATGGTGGTGGTGGTCAGCCTTCCGATCTCATCTGCTAGCTCGAACCCATTATACAGTTATTATGGTCGTGCAGGGTGTGTGCAGTTTATCCAGCACCTGAAACAGCGGTGGCTTGTGAGGGTGAGGTGTATATGGGTTACGTGCCCCTGGTTCTGGATCAGTGCCCTTCCTCGGTGAAAAAATTGGCCCTGCCCATATCACCTCACAAACAGACGTGCGATTTGTAATTATTCCCTCCCTGTAGACGATTCTAAAGGAATAGCAAATAATCCCCGCCCTTCCCCTCCCTCCTCACCCCCTGTCATCGGCTCTGTAACCCATTCTTTCTTTACATTTTTAAACAATTACTTTGAATCACCATGTATGAAGCACTCTGCAACGGCCTGATGTGAATTACTAAAATGAAGCTAAACTTTTTATTTTACCAGGAAAGGCACACTGATCTATATAGCTATTTTCAGGAGCGACCTGGCCACAAATAATAGCTCAACAAAACTGCTTATCACGTGGAATATATAGCAGCCAATAACGCACGTTTTCTGAATGAGGAGAGAAAAACCAGAGGACCCGGAGAAAAATCCATGCGACCACGGGGAGAACATGCAAACTCCAAATATGCAGGCGTCAGGGTTGGGATCGAACCCGGGCGAGGTAGTTAACGTCTCGCCACCGTGGCGTCCTTTGCACTCTTTTGCACTCTATCAACACACATTATTATGAATCTCCTTACCTCCACTCGAAGGATCTGTGAGACCTGGGTCTTGATGTTGTGCTGCAGCAGGGTGAGCTGTTGAAGCTGCATGTTGATGCGCCTCTGCAGATGAATGATTCTTCTCTCCAGTTCCCTGAGCACCTCCGAGTAGCGTACCTCGAGTTCTGAGGGACAAGCACAAATAACACTCTGTCATGCCCATGCAACATTCGGAATCGGAATACATTTTTACGCTTAGTATTTAAATCATAAGAACATAGATCAACTGGTTTTGGGTTTTTTTTTTCACGGTCACATTTTATTCATATATCTCATCACTGTCGCAGCATAACACTTTCATTTTTTTCTCAAAGAGTTCATGGGCTACCCTTGAATTCATTATGAACACCTCATTACGCGCCCGAGCAGTTGACCTCCCAACGTGTCTCAGTTTGTCCTCCGCCGCCTCACAAGGCAGAAGAGGGGGAAATGTTTCCCTGCGTCGTCGTACCGTTGTGCTCGTTCAGCGTTTGTCCGGAGGTGTCGCTCACGGCGCGGAAGTCCGTGTGCACCTGCGTGTACAGGCGTCCCAACCGCGCGAGCCTCTCGGTGAGGTCCCCGATGCGCTTTCCAATGTCCGTCTCTGTGCGGGTCATCAGGCCTTGCATTCGGCATCCACTCGGGCACTTGCGACCCTAAGGAAGACAAGAGATATTATTGCTCCCAAAAAAAATGTACACTTTTAATTTCAAATTGTCTCATCATTTTGCAGATAAAAAAAAATCTATCATTAGCAATGGTGAATGGTGTTTTTCCAAGGCTAACTAAAGAAAATGTAAAGTTTAAGATATCTACTCTTGGTTCTTTCGGTAAAGTCACGTAGAAGGGAAATAATAAAATAATATAAATATAAAACATTCTTATATTACTTTATTTTTTCCCTTCTACGTGACTTTACCGAAAGAACCAAGAATATGAATCCATGCAGTCACGAAAGCTTTAAATCTAAATTTAAGATATATGTTAGTATAAAGCTCAGTAACATGGCAAGCCATTCCTAGTGCAGCCACAAAACTAAAAATAAACATCTGTAATTGGAGGATATATGGATGTAATTCAGAATACATTACTTCATGAAAAAATTACTAGATGCTAATCCATTTTGTTAATTGAGTCTCATTACCATTTAAATGCAACCTGAACTTGACACGATGCTCATTCCTGTAGTTCACTCGTAAAAATGTTTTGCTGTAGATCCATATTAGTGGTTGTATTGCAGCAGCATCACAGGAGCAGTGACACTGCACGCACCTGATGTTTGATAATCACAGAACTCTCCACTCTGGGGGGCCTGAGCACTGGCACTTGATATATAACATTAAATATATTTGTCTTATTCGTTCAAATACATATATTGCAACACATTAATGCACTTTAAACTGGTAATCAGCGAGCCTCAATTTTTTTTTATTAAAATAAAATGCTTTTGTTTTCATGTTACAATGATTAAACCAGTTGTGGCTATAATAGTAGCCAATACATACCTTTTCATGGATATTAATAAATGTGTATTTTCGTACGTGGGATTGACATCAAAATGCTCATATCCTAACATGAATACCTGCGCATATGTCAAGACTATGTGAACAATGGCATTCGATGATCCATCACGACATCGTCAAGTTTGCTTGCTTGAAATGTGTCCACTGCTATGCTTTTACCAATGTGTGTCATAGCTCGTGCTGCTCCTGCAGGCACTGATGAAGCCACTAGTGAAAGGAAACATCAGTCGGAGTGAACCGATTGGAACGAGCCAGATCTTGGAACACGTGTTTCATTGTTCCACATTCGCAACTTACCCAGTCGCCGTGCACGCAGAGGTCAGCTGTCGCCGATGCACACGATCCTTGCCCGGCCGCTCGCTGTTCCGTCAAACGAGGGCCTCGCAAACTGATCTCTTCAGCAATGCACACCTAGAGCACGGGGACGTGCGGCACGGCCGGTAAGCATCGATCGAGAGCACGAACCGCACTTGTTGACATTCCTGTCAATCCATTATCAGTGCCTACCTTATTACAGACCAACTCAGACCTTCTTCTTGGTTCTTTCGGTAAAGTCACGTAGAAGGGAAGTAATAAAATAATTAAAAATAAAACATAATAAAATAATTCTCACGACGTTTCGGCCACAACGCAAGCAGCCGTCCTCAGGTGAAAACCAGGTCTGTCGAGGCTTGCGTTGTGGCCGAAACGTTGTGGCCGAAACGTCGTGAGAATTATTTTATTATGTTTATTTTTATTATTTTATTACTTCCCTTCTACGTGACTTTACCGAAAGAACCAAGAAGATGAATCCCTGCAGTCACGAAAGCTTTAAATCGAAACTCAGACCTTATCAATCTCAACGTTCATCCTACAAAGTCACATCACAAAGGAGAAACACAAACAAAGAGACGTAGTTTTTTTTGACCGTATTGAAACGGCTGTACGCTGTATAATTTCCTTGTACAACATTACGGGTAAACCGTATGGGTTGACACGTATGAAGCCTCATCTTTGCCATCAATCGGTGTGATGTTGACTCCCCCCCAACCCCTGCACAGGTTTAACATTGAATTATCTACAGGCATAAGAACAATCCCATAACAACAAGTTTCTGTGTAACAAATTGCCAATTAGAGTCAACTATACACATCGTCGGATATATGTACCCTTCAATTGCTGCCAGCTGCATAAATTGTCCTCGACGTTATCGTGTTTACATATCTGTGAGTGGAAAGTGACTTTCCTTGCATTTATATAAATATAAGAATTTACAGCCCTTTGCCAATCCGCTGCTGGATGAATGGCATGATACTGTACTGTATAGTCGGAAGCAATCGCACTAAAGGACAGCATTTGTTGACTTCCCACTAAGTGATAATTAGATATAAATTGTCTGTAAATGTAACTCAGGTAGTACAAGCATGTGCCCATTTCTAGGCAGTATACATTGATACATTACCATATAAACCAGTGAAATGCGTGGTTATTACAGCAGATTTGTTATATTTGAATCGTTCCACAAAACGATAGTTTATAACAAGAAAACCATGCGCTCCTACACTAGCTCTCAAATAATGCAGATTTAAATTTACCCAAAAACTAGAATGTTGTGAATTTCAGATGACAGGTTATAATCTCCACCACCATTTACCAGCAGCTGAAGTTATCAACATAATTCTGCAAATTATCCACGGAGGTTTTGTCAATATCACAATTTCTCTAAATCGCACATTGGCAGGAACATACAGGACATTATACTTGATTACAGTACTTTCTATGGAGTACTGCAGTACATACATAGGCATACAGTATATGTAACATCTACTCATTGTGCTGTTTACACTTGATTTATTGAAAGCTTAACACACTCACGTGCCCAACTCCAATGCTTTGGTGAAATTCAAACATTGAGCAGATACAAATTGTGCAAAATTGGCAGCCGTTTTCAAAGTAGAGCGTCAGTTATTGAATGTTGTAGCATTTCTGTGACACTGAACTAACCATCGTCACGGACAAATGGCTCAAACGTGTCACGGAAAAATGTTCTGAAAGTGTAAGGACAAAGCACCACTGACCTGGATGATGGGCAGGAGAATGACTAAGGAGGCCAGCACCTTGGATGACATGGCCATCTCGGTAAGGTGTGCGCAGACACACACACACCACGTTGAGAGTTAAAAACAAAACCAGCGGCAAACTATTTGAGTAGATCCTGCGCGTTTCGTTTCGTGAGCATGCTGCCTTTATATAGCGATATTGACTATGCGGGGGAGGGTGGAAGGGAGGCACTAGACGGGAAATGTGACGAGCATTTTTGATGCGAGGGATGCGGAGGGGGGGTTGAAGTGGGTGAACTGTGACTTGTGCAATTCGATCTCAGAGATATCATTTTTTGTTACTGCAGAATTCAGCCCATGGTTTCAGCGAAAACCCACGCGGATATGATCTACATTGTCATTTTATGTATGGCCAGGTAAGTGTGAAACTCAAATAAATACTACAACCGCCGTTCGCCAATAAGTGGCGGTGACGTCACAACGGCGTCTGTGCCAGGCTGGGTGCACTTTGCGGCCACGTGAAGTGTCGAAGGCCCACTGGTAGTTCGCAGGACAGACCCAGGTGGTACCATGGATTGATTGAGATGGCTGGAAGATGCAACAACCGTGCTTCCCCCACTGTGCCAACTTTCAGCGTTTTATCAGCCCTGCCTGTGTTCCGCTCGTTGTTGTGAGCGTCGCTCCTCTGCCCTCCGCTGTAATTGGAGGGCGACTGCCTCCAACTCCAAATAAATACAGTATATCTAATGACAGAGAGTACATCATAGCAGCTATAATAATGCAATTTATAACGCATTTCTGTATATGGTGTAGTACGGTCAAATATCTTCGACCAACACGGCGTTGGGAGGCTTTGAACAGTCGATTGACAAAGAATTGTAAATCAATAATTATAAGCAAAGGCTCTAAAATATCGTTTTAAGGACTATAACATAATTAATACACAACGTTGTGGTAGGGGATGAGGTGATCGGTAATGATGTTAAAGTTTGGTAATGGATTTAAAATTCAGTAGAAACTTCCTTATCTCCGAATCATCATTAAAAAAACCCTGCGGCAATGTCACTTGGTTATTTTATTATTTGGATTATACCACAAACTACACTGCAAGTTTTATATAAACTTTAAGTGCGCTCATAAAATAATGTCTACATATACACTTTGTATATTTGTCTATGTACATTTAGTTTCATATAAACATTAGAAGTATATGTGCCAAGGCCGTAATTATAATATTCAAATATGCTCAAAATGTCCCCCCCAATATATTGCGAAAAAATAGATTTCTGTTTATATGATTGTGGTTATGGTTGTACTTTATTAATCCCTAATCTCTGCCATTACATACAATGAAACAAGAAAAGGTAAAAAAATAAAAAAAAAACAGAGCAATGTAATACTATTAGACATTATTGTAAAAAATAAAGAAAAAGTCCATCCTATGTGTTAGTGAATTTAAAAATATTTTAGGCAGGAAATGGCAGAAAATTAGTTTTCAAATTTTGATCTTTTTTTCTGTGGGGGGGGGGGGGCAGACCCCCTGAAAGATTTGATCCCCCCCAATGTTGACTCCATGGCTACAGTCCTTGATATGTGCACGTGTGCCGGGGTTATGGTGTTTGATGTTCCCCGAGTGGCATACTCTGACCTTGCCATGTTTGTCCCCAAATGCTGAGCTTGCAGAGATAACAGCTTATCATCCCGTCACAATTTGTGTTTCATGTAATGTTTAAAGAATTAGAACATATTTCATGTTTATTTTCCTTGCAACGTTTTTGCTTTGCTTGAAATGAGCAGCTGGGTCATCATGCAGTGACACATCTAAGGGCCCAGGATAAATAACCATCGTCCTCATCATCAACTGATGGTTTCTCAATCGAATTGCAATTGTGACGACGTATTTTGTTGTTTTTTGACCATTAAAATGATCGAAAAATTAATACACTATATTTAGGAGTACGTACTTTTTTTTTTACAAATACTGTACCATAAAAATGTCTAGAACTGGATGCTACTCTTGAGGAAGGGATATTGCTCAAAACTAGCGTTGGTAAATGATCGTCAGAGTAAACAGGTTACCTTTTTCAGAATTTATTGCCGGTTTACAAAGTCAGGAACCGGTAACCGTTTCCAGTGGAATGTTTGGAATGAACGTGCCGATTGACACCCACCAACGTACAAACCCCATGACGATCTAAGTCACCGGTTGATCCATTTGCCTTCGTTTTAATAACGTGTGCATCATCTTCGAAACGGATTGGCCTTGACCAGAGAGAGCCTCCTTGATGGCCATGTCTCACCAGTGTTAGACCAGAGAACGCCACAAGTCGAAAAGCACGAAGGCAATGCAACTGTCAAAGCATTGATAGCTCGGGTTAAGCAATTATTGTAAGTTTGCATAACACATATTCTTGGTTCTTTCGGTAAAGTCACAGCAAGAAAATTTGCTGTGGATTTCACACCTGATGATGATTGCTTGTGTTGCAGTCGAAACGTCGTGATAATTTTTATTGTTTTATATTTATATTATTTTATTCTCTCCCTTCTACGTGACTTTACCGAAAGAACCAAGAATATGAATCCCTGCAGTCACGAAAGCTTTAACTCAAAATTTGCATAACACGTTTGCATGTTTTACCACACGGTTGCATGTTTTATCCACTGTGTTCACATGTGCATACTGCAGAATTGATGCCTTGTAATTGGTGTCTATTTGGTGTTTTAACATTGTAACACCTCCTGTATTATTGCCTCTTCGTTTTTCATCACTTGTCCCATTGTTGCAATGCCTGCGCAAGGAGGTGGAATCGAACTGGCGACCTCTGGATTTCAGGTCCAGTGCGCTGCTAACTGTTACACCGTGGCAGCTGTCCGAAGCAGCTGTCCGAAGCGCCAAGCCTGGAGGATCCCTCGGCAAATCGCACCATTCAAGAGTGCCCTCCCAAGAGGCAGCAATGATATTCTGGCCACCCCACAGAGCCCAGCAGCAGTTTAGAAGTGGGCGTGGAGCAGAGGTCGCAAACGGGTTTTGATTCCTTACCCGTACCCGTACCCGGCCGCACCAGGGTCGCAAACAGCTACCCGTACCCGGCCGGGTACGGGTAGCCGGGTATCGGGTAGGGTACGGGTATCGGGTACCCGGTTGCGACCTCTGGCGTGGAGGTGATGGGCACGGAGGCGAAGCACGAGGCGAGTTGGCCACGCGCATTCCGCCACCTCGTGGTGGAATGCCGCCACAAACACACCCCTCCTGCCTGGCCCTCCCTGGAAAGAGGCCACTATGTATGGCACATACATTCGTTCCTTCCCAGCTGAATGGACATGTTCACGGGTCGGCAAACTGCGGCTCTAGAGCCGCATGCGGCGCTTTAAGAACTGCTTCGTGACGTTATTTATTAAGAACCGTCTTATATTCACATGCATTGCGGCTCTTAAAATATTGAGGGTTTTTTACCGAATTGCCGACCCCTGGACATGTTCGAACGGCAGACAGGTCTGTCCCATTATTGACACATTTGTTTTGGCAATGGTGAATCCATCCCTCGAAGCCCACAACTATACATATCACCACGGCACTTGTGGTGAACCACGTGCACATTGGGGCAAGATGAAGGCCTTGTGGACAATAAGTAATGGGATAGACCCACGTGACATAGGTTGACTAACGGGCAGATGCACCACCTGCACTCCCTACTGTGTCAAATCGCTGTTTTAGCTGCCAGACATTTTTAAAGTAGTTCATACACTCAGCTACAAGTACTAAATCAGTCCAACTCTTCTGCCACCTGATTCATATCCGTTTAGTCTCCCATTTCTGGCTAAATATGAGCTCCTTGGACATGTGAGCCACACTTGATTGGGTGACCCAAGAAAGTGTCAGTATTGTCTATCCACTGTGTTCACATACAACGATGCTTGTGTGCTAAAAGTGGTCAAGTGTTGTATGTTGCAGTCGCAGTCGCATTCTGTGAAGCGTGGACACCGAATTCTAGGCAGCGGTGTATTGTTTTATGTGCGGAGAGACATTGTGTTCTGTGTTAGGGGCATCATGTTTCACGCGGTGGGTATCAGAGCCATAGCTATAGATATTATTGGCACCTGGGACAAGGTGTCATCCTCAGCGAAAAAAACATTGCAATGACAAAGACAAGGTTGTAATGAGTGGGACGCATGTGCAGGATAGAAAAAGGGCAGAATACCCTTTGTGCTCTGGGTGTTTATACAACATTGTGCAATGGGAAGGATGATACAAGAATAAAATAGGCTTTACCCTTTCCGGAAATAACGGATGCTTTGTGATAGGCATCCCTATCACAAAGCATCAAGTCTGCGTGAACCACACATGTTTGTGGCAAAACATACACACAAACATGCTTTCATAATGTATGCATTGTCCTTGAAACTGATAGGCCTACACCATAGACTCGTCTACTTTATGGGTTTGTCTCACCAGTGTTCGATCAAAGAACACCAAAAAGCGAATAGCACAAAACAATTGAAATATCAGAGCATTACTAGCTTGGGTGGAGCAGTTACATCTGTGGGACACTCTTTGCCAATATGGTATAAACACAAAAAAGATAACAGCTCATCATGATGCCTTGTAATAGATGTCTATTTGGTGTTTTGACATCTTAATACCTGTATTCTTGCCGAAGAGGTTAAAGCCTATTCTTTTTTTTATCATCTTGATATTGGCAAGATTTAACCAGGAAGGATCTTTGTGTCTCCGTTTCTCTGCACGTGTCGCACTTCCCTCGGCTAGTTTGTTACGTTTGATTTCCCCCGCCATATCATCGGTGCTCTTATCAAACTTGATTTGAAGCTTTCGTGACCGCAGGAATTACTCTTTGGTTCTTTCGGTAAAGTCGCGTAGAAAGACTTTACCGAAAGAACCAAAGAGTATGTGCTCTTATCGTTCACTCCTCAAGATAGGGCTGCCAATATGGGCATTGAAATGTGTACCCAGGAGTTGGAGACAAAGAGAAACGCCTCAAGCCAGAGGTGTAATCATGTAATGCAGCCTGCTACTCCTCTACAAACTCTGCGAAACAATATTTCCCACATTTACTTATATTTTATTTACATTGAGGAATACTTTTTGTAATGGACTCTATTGCCCAGTTGTCCTTTTTGGGTCCTGTCACCACTGGAGTATGTTTATCCAGTACTAGCAGAAGTACCCGGCGTTGCCCGGGTGAAAAATATATTTCTTAATAACCTTACATATATACACAGATGGGCTGCTACCCCTGCCCCCCCCCCAGCCACGATCTCCTCGGCCGCTGTGCAGTAATATGTACGGCCTATAGTGTGGTGGGGTGTTGAGGCCTAGTACCGTGCAGAGCCTCCGGCCTCGCCTAAATTTCCCACCCGGCTGAGGCTGGGTACTGGGGCCGTTAACCCCCCCCCCCGCGCTACAATAATACTGTCTAATCGCTATAATTTTATTATCTACCGACCCTATAATAGTAATTGCACACATTGGGGTGGGGGGGGGGGGGAGTGAAGAGGACGTGAAACTTTGATGAATTTACCTCAGAGTCGCGTGTTAATGCGTGCGCATATTTTTAACGGAAATTAAAAATGGCGTCCACCCCGCAGCAAATGCGTCGCTACCCGTTGCCAGGGGCAACTGCCGTGGAAAACCAAACGGACCAATCGCGTCTCGCAAATCCCTCACATTTCGTCCAATGAAACTGCGTATGGTCCGGCGACACACAGACAAACAGACACACACACAGACAGATTTGCGATTTTATATATATAGATTGGGGCATTGCCAGATTCGTCGCCTATTATATATTTACTTAATTTAGGGCCACAGTGTTCATTACGGGTGCACTGAGTTGTTTTGCTAAATGGGAGATTTACAGTAACTCCTGGAAATCCCCTTTATAAAGTTTGTTTTTTGTTCGATCGCGTAAATATAAATGTGTCGTTAACCCACCACCACACAACGCAGCCAATTGGTAAAGTTTGTCACGTAACAAAAACGTGCTAATTTGTTACTATTTCAGAACACCGGTGTGTTGGAGAGTAAACCCACAACATTAACCATTTGAGTACGACGTTTCGCTGGTTATTACAACTCGCGTTATCAGGCGATTTGACAGAATTGAAAAAACCACTCCCCTCACTCATCCCCACCTCTCCACACTCACTCAACCTCACCTCCACATTCCTAACCTGGATATATTTCTCAGTCAGACGAGGTCTATCCGAACTGTGCAGTATTCTGCAATAAACTTCAACGCAAAGGCAGCAGACCTCGGCACAAATGAAACCCCTGCTATCCGAACACAAATTCCAACCTCCGAATTGTTCCGACTTAAACCCCGGACAGGTGGAAACCCATCCACCCCAACAACAACCGCCATTCGCCCCTAAGTGGCGGTGACGTCACCACAACGCTTGTGCCAGGCTATGTGCACCTTGAGGCCACGTGAATTGTCGAACGCCCGCTGGCAGGAGGTCACGGGCCAGACCCAGGTGCCACGGGTCGACTGAGACTGAGACGAGATGACCCCCACCTCCCCGCACGTGCGTCATGCCCCCCGCACCCCTCCCCCTCAGCCCCTCCCCCTTCCCCCGCACCACCTCCCCCTCACGCCCCTCCCCCTTCCACCCCCACCCTCCTCCCGCCCCCACACGGAAGCGTCTCGCATCTAACCCCCCCTCCCCCCACCGCCGTTCCTCCTCATTGGCTGTAGCGACACACGTGGGGGGGGGGGTGTTCACGGAGTAGCGTCGCTATTGGACGAGGTGCGCACGCCCCACGACCAATAGAGTTGTGAGGAGGGGGTGACGCGCGCGAGGCGGGGGCGGGGGTGGGGGAAGCTCGTTGGGCGGGGCTTGAATGGGGCGGAATAGGAGGGGCGGGGCTCACGAGTTGGGGGGTTTTGGGGGGGAGGGGCTTTACCCGCGCGCATGCGCACTGGCGGGGTTGTGAGGGAGGCCCGCTCGGCGCCACCCGCACGGCAGAGGTAGGGTTCGTGGCGCGTCTCCTCCGCGCTCCCCTCCTCAGTGTCCGGCTCCGTCTGTCCGCCCGCGTCGAGGCGGCGCTTGCTAAGCCGCGCTCGAGCCGAGCTTGCGTCGCCACCGTGAGCGGGGAGTTCGCGTCGCTTCTCCCTACCACCCCCTACCTCCCCCCGCGTCGTTACCAAGCTGCGCGCCGCGATGGAGCCGCGATGTCGGATCCGCGGCTCTTGTCTCTCTCTCTCGAAGCAGCAGCAGCAGCAGCATCATCATCATCCATCTCGTCGCTCCCGGATTGTTCTCTGTAACGAGTTTCAATTAAAAGTCCGGGGTAAAGTTTGGTCGATATCGTGGTGTGTGTGTACAGAGAGTCGTGTGTGACGTCGTCACCAGGTCGCCAAAATGACGCACCATGAGCCGAACTTTACCAAAAGTGGCGGCGTCTCCGTCCTCTTCGGACGAGGATGATGATGAGGAGAGGGCACTCGCCTCGTGTGAGCACCACAACCAGAGAGAGAGAGACACCGCCACGAACATCGCCTGCCACTCGTCCGCCGTGTTTATAGCGACTGCTGCTGCTGCTGACCGAGTCTGTGTCGTCTTACTGCGCGTGTTGTTATTGTGGTGTTTGTTGGCACAGGTGGCGAATCTGCCAATAATCTCGGTCAACTCCTAAAAAGTCTGGGTTATGTCCTATGTCCCTACCAGCAGAGAACCTTCCCACACTTCCACGTGATGGCCTCAAGGTGCACCTAGCCTGGCACAAACTCTGTGGTGACGTTTGTTGTGTAATCTCGCTTGTCACTGGATTATACTTTGCGGTTGGGCTTTGCTTGAGTCATCATACCCGCCCTTCTCTCTCTACAATGATACACCACGTCCTATAAGCGGCGTAGGGTCTATAGGTGTTCACCGCCTCGCAAAGTTTCCGAGACGAGGGGACACGGAGTCCCGACCTAGACGCAGTGGACACCGCGGTCCAGCCATGTGCGTGATGGGGTTGCAGACTTTTGAAGTCTTGTCATCACGTCCCCAACACCACACAACATCGTCTACCCCCCACACCCCACACCACCACCACCCACCCCCCAGACAGGGTTGTGCAAGCCGGTGAGGTGGCGCGGTGCACATCGATAGCCCGGGCTGGCAAACCCCACGCAACAATTGACTCCGTAGACCCATGGGTGGAAAAAAAATCTGATTTTTCCAGCGGCAGGCATCGGGTTTTTTTATTTAATACAATTAAACCCGATTTCGGGGAATTTAAACCTGGTTTAATGAATATGAAACTCTTGATAAGCTTAGGCTGCTTCCTCGTCGGTGCTGCTATCGTACTCGGGGGGCCGTCGGGCACGGGGTAGTCGTAGAATGCGGCGGGCAGGTTGGTCTTGATGAACACGAGGAGCTTCTCCTCCACAATCGTGGGCGCCAGTGAGTTCCTTAGCTTGGAATGGATGAAGCCCATCATCGTTGAGAAGTTGGCGAAGTGCGGTTCTGCAATTAGAACCAATTAAACCGGATTTCTCCCAATCGCAGATGATCGGGTTTAATATAAAAACACAATTAAACCCGATTGTAAAAAACCCGACTGTGCCACCCTTGCGTAGAACAGAGTGGTCCTTTGTTAATCCACTGCTGGCTGAAAGCGTCCCCACGCATATGTCATGAAACCTAATACTCACACAATGCGAGTATACATCTGAGCAATGGCGTGGCCAAACTTGGACGCGCCTTTTATAACGCACAAGTAGTTTCCAATCGGTGATGGTGCGTGCACATGCCAGGAGGCTGTGCGCATCACTGGCGATGAGAAGAATCGGGATGGTATGGGGGGGGGGGCGTGCAGTCTCCTCCGGTGAACGTGTGGCATTGGTGGCCGTGTGGGCACCCCACACAGAGGAGTGTTGATTTCCGCACCCACACGCGGCGTTTATGGAAACTCTTCCGATCGGTGGGGGCCCAATTTCGCGAGTGGCGCCACACAGCGGAGAAGGGGCTGCTCGCCGTGAAACCACAAAGGTTAGTTAAACAAAACCCAACTCGTTGCTGCGGTTGTGTTTACACGTACAGCAAGCAGCCCTTCGGAACCTGTCCCATAACTATCAACCCATACGATTTACCCGTGTTCTTGTACAGGAAATTTGAGTGTTTAGGGCCATACGGCGTACGGCCGTTTCAATACGGGCAGAAAAATTGTCTATTTGTTTGTGTTTCTCCCTTGTGATGGGACTTTGTAGGATGAATGTTGAGATGTATAAGGGCGCGCGATGACCAATAAGGTTTGAATTGGTCTAATAAGGTAGGGCACGGATAAGGGTTTGACAGGTATGCAGTGTTCACTGCTGGATCGGTGAACTTGTTGGGGTTATTCGTACCTCGCTGGTAAAGAGCCCATGGGTAGCGCATATTGATAGGTACATTACAATGGATGATGCTTTCACTACCCTCTTATGCCCATAACGCGGCACCATCCCTGTGGAAACCTTGCGAACGTTCATCATGGTGGTGGTGGCCTGTCGACGTACTCTCCAGGCTGCAAACTTGCTTAGCTTTCGATGTGTGATGATATCGGGCGCATTTCTGGGGATCTGTGTTTGGTTGTACGGAATTCATATTAACATCGCGTTTGATTTCAACATGTAACTATTTGCACGACGGTGTTAAGTGGTTTAAAGTGACAGGTCTGTGAATTACTTTTAGTTTGGAGATCGTCAATGCGTGCCTGTGGTGACACGATACTTTAAATGGCTTTTAAGTGGACTCTGAGGCCGTCAGTGGCGTCACTAACGTCGTACTGTTTGACCTCCCCCATTGAAGAGCACACGACAAAGTTTAAAGCCTCGTCTTCTTCCTCCGGTGTGTTTTGTCTTCCTTCCGGCATGCCGCCGGACGTTTCCCGAAGAAGCCGGGAACTTATTGAGGAACTCACGGCAATTCTCAGTTCGTGAAGAAGCTGAAGGATTTCGAGGTGCGTTGAGCAAAACTTCGGGCATTTTGCCATCGAAGCAGCGTGTTGTACAACACGTTGAAAAGATGGAGAAAGCAAAACGGCCAATGACTGTACTAGCAGTCTTTCTCTCTCAGTAGCTAAGATTTAATCTGGTGTGGGACAGGCCGCGCGCGACACGCATGGGAAAGATAAGAGCCCCTGTGTATGCAGGCAGCAGCCGCAACTGCACCTCGGATTTGGCAGCACGGTTGGCTTTTCCGTACGGTGCGAAAGAAGTTCAACATTCAACTGCGTCGTAACAGCGAGAGTGCAGCAGCATCAGCATCAATAGTGCTGCTGGGGTAAACAATCGACCGCCATGCAGCCCGAGGCTCCCTCGGGATGAGGAGGAGGAGGAGGCGGCCACGGGGCTTTGCCGGATGCGCCCGCATCACGCGTGCGGGTTCACAGCAGTGCACGGGCTCGGCAAACACGGGGTGCGAGCCAGATCCAACCATCTGCAAGTGCATAACGACGACGATTTCCGTTCAAGTTTGTAGGGATACGTTTTTTTTTATTTTCGTCTCGGGCGTCGCCAACGTGCGGCTCTTTAAGGACTGCTTCGTGACGTTTTGTATTCAGGACCGCCGCCTCGTATTTGCATTGCATTGACGACTCTTTAAATATTTAGTTTCCTGCCGAACTTTAAAAACAAGAATTGCTTGTATTGTTATTTTGGTTGCCGACTCCTTGGTCTATGTTATACCACTGTACTGACTCGTATTCTCATGCCTGTGATCAAATCACCCGGACATTCGCCCAATTTCGGAAGCTAATTGGGGTTTTGTCCCTGGATGGTGCGTGGATGGATGCCCACTGCTCGCAATCGGGTACCCGATACCCGTACCCTACCCGGCCGGGTACGGGTAGCCGGGTACCCGTTTGCGACCCTGGTGCGGCCGGGTACGGGTACGTGTAGGCCGTGAGTCACTGGTGAGTAGCCGTTTGTCACTCGTTTCCCAACGTCTTGTCTCTTCTCACAATTCAAGTTCCTAGAATCAACCCACCCGCGCCTGCAACATGGCTTCATCCCAGAGGTCCCAAACGGGTACCCGTACCCTACCCGATACCCGGCCGGGTACGGGTAGCCGGGTATCGTGTAGGGTACGGGGTACCCGTTTGCGACCCTGGTGCGGCCGGGTACGGGTAAGGAATCAAAACCCGTTTGCAACCTCTGCTACACACCCAACCTGCGCTCTCGGCTGTTGTGGGCCTACTTTGTCAGCAGAGGGCAGTGCGGCGAAATACATTGTTGTACTGCACTATGCTCAAACGATTGTGATGTGCCTTCTATTACGGTCCGTTATATTAGCCTAAAGTTAAAATATGAATTTCATAAATGGTCGTTGATTTGCATACATGATTGATTGCCCTATAGTCAAGATGTAAAGGCGCTTTTAAAAAAACATAGTTCCGATTGGTTGCCCCAGTCAACATGACTTCCATAATGGCTTGATTTGGTTTTAAGCCCACCCAACCAGCTGGTATTCCCATGAGGAAGCAAAGTCGATTTTAGCAAAGCTGGTTTTACTTCCATAAAAGGAGCTAACCCAACCAGTTCTCTTGCGCTGCTCACCCGTCTCTGCTGACACGAGTAGCAGATAAACTCGTCGACTTGACGAGTCCAGGCAAGCGTGCGCCCCAGCACCAAAACAATTATTCTTATTAATGCACGTGTTATTTTCAAGTACTTCTTGCAAAACAATATTGCACCATTAAAAATGCCATTCAAATAATGTCAATAATTCAGCCAATCTGCCATTTATGTTGTGGCTAATTTTGACACTGGTGGTTTTGAAAACAACAAAGTGATGATCGCCCCTTGAGAGTAATATCGCAGGATCTTTTAAACTGCACAAATGGCGCTGAGCTGTTTATATACCCGTCGGGCAGAAGGCAGCAGCCGCCTGTGGGCGCAATTGGTCCCCACCGTGACACGTGATGCCCTTGAACATCACACAGTTAATACGAGGCTCTAAATGATGTATGAAGCAAGTGGACCTAAAGGGCAACCACCCATTTATTTTCAATATTTTCATGCAGGTGTTTATTGTGTGCCTACTCCACCAGACAAATAGTAATATTAGTAATTGCCAGTGGGCTTTGATTCCTGTTGCTGCTTTTAGCTTCAAACTCCACGTGGGGTGAATTATTCGGTTCACTAACGACGGCGATAATTTTAAAACATTTTTGCGTGCATCGTAGAGCAATTTAGAACATAAATCTCCCAATCAGGACACTCCTGAAAGAGAGGTTCAGTGAAGCTTTCCTCACTGAACAGGCACAAGTTTCCAGGGAAGCCGTAACCAGGAATCCTTTGACTTCGAGAGATATAGAGCACTGCCTGATTTAAAACTGAAAAAATAACTGTTTTACAATTTTATTCAGAATTATTTACTGCCATTGTTACTTAAAACTTATGCATACAATTTAGACAAACTTGTAGGCATAAAGAATGCGGTTACATTTTTTAAAGAATGTTATCGGCACCTATAGTCAATATAGGCAGACAGTGGTGGCTATACATGCCTGTAATCCAGCACTGTGGAAGCGAGGTGGTGGATCACAAGAAAATGTGTTGCCCCCTTCACACATGTGGGTTTTCTCCGGGTGCTCTGGTTTCCTCCCATTTGTTTAAATACTCATGAATTGGCTGAAAAAAGTATTTAAATAAAAACCCAATGCAGGACCTTCCTCCGATTCAGTGTGGCTCTTCTGGATAGATAGATAAGGAAGTTATTATTATAGGCATGAGGAATATATATGGATATTTGTTCAAGAGTAACTTCTGTGAGGGTTACATTTTAGGTTCTCTGTGATCTACATTTGCTTCTAGTCAAGTGTTTATATTTGGATAAGTAATGCAAATAAAGCCTTGTTTCTATGGAGAGTTGACATGCTGGCTAAAGGCAATGTTGATGTTCTGTACCCAGACACAGTGAACATGCTCTCACAAGGGGGCCAAGCACTATCTGCGAATGCTGTTATAAGTACGCAAATTCAATGCTAATTATGTCATAGGCTTACGGAGCACCGAATCTGCAGGGTTTGATGTCATTTCTCACCCACAAGCATATAGTGTTTAAAATTTTACAAATGTTGCAATTGAGGCACTGACTTTTTGACTGTAATTTCATTAGCATTGGCCATGGTCTACCCACTGCTGGATGAGGACCGCCTCCCCAAGCCGCCGCCATCTTTCATGGTCTTGTGATACAACAATCCATCCAGCACCTGCACAGAAGCTGATTTCATTGCTGCGTCTCCATGGTGAACATCTTCTTGAGCGCGTCCTCTCCTTTGCCTGCCACTCGGTCGTTAACCTTGACCACTGACCATTATCCCTTCTTGTTGACTTGTCCTGCACAAATCCATTTACAATTTCTTGTCAGATACTATGATATTATATATAACTTTTGTGTGTTTTCCCATCCATATGTAGTTCTGTCTTTCAGTGTAGTAATGAGCATCTACCATCCATGCTCATACGTTCAGCTTTTGTAAAACTGTAATTGTCAGTGCCAAAATTCCTGATCTGTATGTCATCGCAAGTACTCGAGTAGTAAACACCGACTAAATGCTCTCTGGTGTTGTCTAATAGATAAAGCTGTTATTCACATTTTCATGCATTATGTTTGCAAAGTAATTGTAGACCGGTAAGTTAATAAGTTACACTAAAAAAAATACACTAGATTATGTAAGTGTCACTGATTGAATTACTGTGCTGCATGTTTCCATAAGCTATTCAAGTGTCTCTTTCTAAAGCCTTTTTTGAAACGCAACTTAACATTGTGCATTTGTTTTGGCGTAAGGTGCGTGCAGTTTTTCCTAAGTGTGTATTACTTATGCACATGTGTATTTCAGGCCTGGGTGGGCCACTGGGCCTGCCCAATATGGACGTGTCACCAGGGGACGTGGCTCCAGTGAGTCCTGCCTGCAGCCTGGGGGAATCTGTGTGCACAGGTAAAGGCCCTGTTCTCTTTTTGCTGAATTCCAACAAAAACCAGGCTCAAGTCCTTGCATGGAGTTGGCAGCTGACACAATGAGGTTTTACTCGTGATCCACATATCTAGCATCCTAACCAATATGAAAAGTAATGTCACTATTTGATTATAAACTGCAGTGTTATCACTGACCTTGATTGTATACTCTATATAAGTTCGTTATATTCGTGCTGTTGCCAGTAAACTCCCATAAAGGTCCTTCAATAGTTATTCTTTGTATATATCCACAAGTCATTTTACTCCAATATTATACATTATTAGTTGCCACCCACATTGCTTTCTGCAGTGGTTAGTAACTAGTATTGACTGTCTCTTAAAATGTAATTGATTTTGTTTTGTTTTCCAGAATCTCTTGGATCAGATTCTGTCTCCTTCTCTACCCCAGTTGATTCGCCATGTAAACCCAGTCAGGGGGTAGACCTGGATGCTGGTGATGGTGAAATAAGCAGCAATGGCTTGGGCCCAAATGCAGTTGCAGTTGGGCAGGAGGGGTCAGGATTTGGTCTAAAAAGAACATGTCTCATGGAGGAGGGAGCTGCTAATGGACTGGGCTCAGTGCTGCTTCCAATCGAGTGTCGGGTTTGTGGGGACCGGGCCTCGGGCTTCCATTACGGAGTGCACGCCTGTGAGGGATGCAAGGTAGGTCCTTCTTCAAATTCTCCAAGATTGCCAACAGAGCAACGTATCACCCTTACTCTCGCAAAGTAAATATACACCATCCGATATAGCGCACTTGTAATGCATGAATTGCAGAATATCCAGCTGATGTACCACATGTGGCTACCTCTCAAAATATGTTTTTACTACTTTATGTTCTTGGTGTAAATAAAGAGGCCTACTGTAGTAGTAACTAAGTGTACTAAGTGTAGTAGTTCTTATAATGTCCTCTTCCAGGGTCATTTGCTGACAGGGTGGGACACTATTAATGCCATGTGAAAATCTTAAACCACAGTATCAATAGTACAGCTGAAAGGTATTTTGCAAAAAAAAAGTTTTGATCACTTTGATGCATTGTAATTGAGCAGAAGATGTCAAATCTTGAACTGTAACCTTTGGCACCATGCTACCACCTTGATTAAACGAGATCACTGCAGCGTGTGCAGCTTGTATGATTTCCCTGTGCCCTCTTTGGCCCACTTACTCTCAGTCACCTGTATTCACACCTCCTTCCCATCTTTCCACAGGGTTTTTTCCGAAGAACAATTAGGATGAAGCTGGAGTATGAGAAGTGTGACCAACGCTGCAAAATCCAGAAGAAGAGTCGCAACAAGTGTCAGCACTGCCGCTTTCAGAAGTGCCTGGGTGTCGGAATGTCGCATGAAGGTAGATATTCCCAGCCACATTTACATAGGGCCTAAAACACGTATAAATAGGTAATTTCATCATGGTCGGTGTATTTAAACACCTTCACATCGCGGCCTGCACTGTTAGAGCCAGTGGGGGTGGGGGGGGCACATGCCCCCCCAATGATCCAATCGAAATCCCTAATTTCGATCGGATCATTGGGGTTTATTAGTAATAAATAGGCATTTTGCGACCCCCACTACCACTGTGTAGCATATTATTACGTGCAAGGGACTCTATGAGATGATACAGCAATAGTCTTGAGTCCATTATTGGCAATAAGTAACGGCAAAGCAGTTATAAGTGACCTACAGAATTGCGCGCAGTTGCGTATAGAGTACACAACTTCCCTGAAGGCATCATACCTACAGCGAGCGCGATACCGATCACACGCGGTTAGAATTCGACCCTCGATCGATGGCTGCGTCATTGCCGCACACGTGTCAAATAAAAAGCAAGGGACAAGTCCTCACTTACTAACAACTCCTTTATCATTTTTCATTGCTGGCGGGGTTGCCCCCCCCTACCTGAAAGTCCTGGTTCCGCCATTGTATGGAAGTTCCACCACCTCGTACTATAGGAATTCTGAATGGGCACCACCTTGTCTTTATACCCGGTTGAGGTCAGCCAGTATTTGATCGAGTATTTTTTCTGCCATGGCTGTAGTCAGCGTGTGTCCTCCCATGGTAGCTCTACGGGTTGAGGGTACCACAGTGAAACGGTGTCCCGCAGACCGGTTGCCTGATTATACAGAGGCCAGAGCCGATTAGTAGCACTTTGGGAAGGCTGTCTTATCAGCAGGTGCATAACCTGGCTTCATCTGTGGGGCTAATTTGTGACTGGAGGGAGCTCAAAATACATCATTTTTGGGGCACTTGTGAGACCACATTTGGGATTTGAGTTGTCATTGGCTGTAGGTGCTCTGACTGGATGAGAGCATTTCTGAGTGATCATCAGTATCTGTTAGCTGTTATGACTCGTAAATATTTTGTGTTTGGATGATAACATTGTTATAATATTGCTTGCACTCTTTTGAGAGAGTGCATCAGTAGCTTAGTCATCGGTGTCTCATTTGTGGCTTGTCTGTGTGTGTGTAGCAATCCGATTTGGGCGCATGCCTCAGGCAGAAAAGAAGCGTCTGATTGCTGAGGTGTGCGGGGGCAGCCTACGCCCAGACCTTACCGCAGGCTCCGCGACGAAAACCACCGCTGCGACAAGTGTGTCTGTGTGCGGAGGCTGCCAAGGTGGGAGCAGCGTGGCGGGCGAGGGGATGGGGATGGCTGTGAGCGACCTCCGTTCTCTGGCTCGCCTCGTACAAGAGGCCTACCTCCGCATATTCCCACTGTCCAAGGCCAAGGCTCAGGCGATTTTAGCTGGAAAAGTACAAAATAACGCTGTAAGTATGACGCAAAATTCAATAATATGTTTGTATTCTTTCAGAAAATAATTTATCCGTATGATATAAACTATGTTTAAACACGTTCTTTATGGAAATGTGTCGTTGTTTGGGTTTAACCCATAGTTAAAACGTGTAAATAATATCACTGCTGGATTTAGACTGGGCAATTGGATGCAATTACAGGTGTTTTAAAATTCCTAGAATATTAACAGAATAGCCACCAATTGCATTATCCACATGATTAGGTTTATGTGTTGATATAATTGTATCAGAAGGCAAACTGTCACAGCACTCTTGAAATATGTTTCAAAGCATAGACCACATTTCAAGGAGCTGTCAGATGTGAAATTTTGCTTTTTTATTCTCACTGAAAGACACTAATATCCCATTTTTTATATTTAAATTATGTATAGAGCTGTCAAATATGTATTTTTTATATACATTTGACACAACCTGAATATGAAGTACTTTGTCACATTGCATGCTGCATCATATTCAAGCATTGTTCACAGAATATCTTTGTCTACATTTGGTTTCCTCGATGTGTTTGTGACTAATTTGTGTTCTCTAATGCTGAGTCACCATAAATGTCTTAACATTATGATGATGGGTGCACATCTGCCAAAGTAATTACAATTTTCCATTTCAAATAAAAACGTCCTCCTGCAAATGAATCTTTCTTGTAAGCTGAAAGAGATATTAAGACTTTTTTTTAAACCTTTTAGTTTTTTTGGCAGTGATGACCAGTTTTGTCTCAGTTTAGGAATTCAACTATTCATTTGTTTAAAGCAACTCTTTGTCTCTTGATATATGAGCCTAACGTTACACAGCAAACGAGGCATAAACGTACAGAAACATTTAAAAGGAGAACATAAAAGCGTATTTGAATCATGGCTATTGTATTGCTGCGCAGAGAGGCATGGGGGTTGAATCAATGAATGCTTACTCGAGATGCAGCAACGAGGCCTATAGAGTTCTGCTTATGCCTAATAAAGGTAAAACTGTTAAACAATTTACATGTTGCTCTACTGTCACAGCACTCGATTTAATTATGTATTGACACTAATCTCTTAAGCTGCTAAATAGAGGCTGCATTCCAGAGACTGTGAAAGTTATAGTGAGAGCTTCTGAAATGCTGAAACAGCCTTAGTATATTGCACTGTATTTGCACGTTTATTTATGAAGATTTCACTAAGATAGCCACTTTGCTAATATAGCTTGTCTGTCATTGAGCAGGTGGTGATTCATGACCACGAGTCTCTGGCTCAGGCTGAAGACACAATCCTCCAGAAGTCGGGTTACGGCACAATCCACAATCACGGCAGCATCGGTGTGAATATTGCGAGTGTGGGCGGAGGTTGCGGCGGCGCCTGTGGAGGGACGATCTGCGATGGAAGAGGGGGCCCCTGCGACAGCACCACACGCGGGCGAGTGCTGGGCACGGACTGCGTGTTCATCACCGCCAATGGCGTCACCGATACCGAACTCGCAGCCGACGCGGAAGGCAATATGTCTGGTGACCAGGAGGTTACTCCTCCAAGAGGAGCGGCGGAGATCAGGATTTTTAACCGCTGTCATTACCGGTTGGTGGAGGCTGTCCGAGAGGTGACGGAGTTTGCCAAGAGCATCCCCGGTTTCATGATCCTTGATCTAAATGACCAAGTCACTCTACTCAAGGTATGTTTTAAAAATGCGTGTAAAGCCAAAAGGGCACACGCATTAAGTTGTGTGTTCTGGAGCTAAGAATAATAAAAGCCTTTTTATTGTAAACGACAATTGAACATATGCCAAATCGTGTTCGTGAAATTTACATCAAACATCTTAAACACATTTTTAAACATCTCATTGTAGCTATATACATACCTAAGTAATGGTTAACAAGTAAAAAGTATATTCAGCAAAAATCCTATCTTCATATTAGGTATTATGATGCCAAGAGGTGCAAATTTTTCTAAACCCAAAATTCTGGAAATGTAACATACATAAAGTACTGTACTGTACATACCAGATAGAAGCATGCTTTTGGAAGAATTTTGTGTAATGTATGTTTACTTATATAGACGTAGTGCGGGGTTGTTTACAATGAGTGCCCTGGATAGGGTCCAATATAACTCCCCACTGGTATTCCCTGTGGCCAAGAATCAAACTCAGGTTGTTGGGACCATCGCGCAATGTGCGAATATCTACTCCACCGCTCGCCGTCACATTTAACAAAATACATTTGTTGTGTGATTCTGAGTGCGTTATTGGTCAGTGAATGAGCAAAAGCTGTACTGCCATGTCAGTCTGTAAGCCGTCATAGAGATTTACACAGAGTACTCATTCATTAATATTATCAGTCATTGCCTAGCCACTGCTTCCGCATGGCTTTTGCGGTGCCACATTCTGTTGCCTATACATGAACCGATGTAATTGCCCTATCTCTGTGTCAATCCTGATTTGCAATATTCATACGTTGGTGAACACAGCCACGACAAGTGTGGTTTGCAATGGTGAATGTGGCACATGAGTAACTTGGTGTACAAATTTTGACTTAAAACTTTCGTGACTGGTTCTTTCGGTAAAGTCACGTAGATAGAAAATAAAAATAAAATAAACATAATAAAAGCAAAAAACCCACGACGTTTCGATCATAACACAAGCGGTCTTCATCAGGCGGAGGGAAAAAAACGTCGTGGGTTTTTTGCTTTTATTATTTAAAATGTATTATTTTATTTTCTATCTACGTGACTTTACCAAAATAACCAAAAATATAACTTGGTGTACGTGTTGCATTGTCTACGTCACCTGAACACCGTTCCACTTTGTAAACATGGACTGTGACTTTTCTCTCATTATCTGAAGATAATTATAATCAGCAAATTTGCTTCTTTGTAAAAGCAGCCTTCTACACCTTTGCAGATAATGAAATGTAATGTTTTATGAAAGTTGGTAGTTTTTGAGTTTGTAGCTTTTCATGACTACTCCTGAATTGGCAAAGATTAAGCATTGGTGGTGGGTATTATAGTTGTAGTATCTATGCCATATTCACAGTCAATACAGCTACACATTTATTGAGCCATATAACTGCTGGTAATATGGAATAATAGTCGCGTGGGACCACATCTATTCTAATACGATTTATTGGATTTTATCACCATCTAACTTCTCAACTGGAATATATATGATTGTTGCCATAAATCAAATATTTGTTGTCATGTCCATTAGCTTTCATGTCAGTAATGGCAGGTAATTACTGATATTTTTTGGTATTTTTTATCAGAGTAATATTATCAAGAGTACACTTGCATATATGTGTTGATTGCGGTGAATTTGTTTTGGCAGTATATGTCCATCTTAGGATCTTTAACAAGAGTCCCCTAACTCTGCTCCCTTGTGCCAGTACGGTGTGTACGAGGTGATATTCGCGATGTTGGCGGCCCAGATCAACAAGGACGGACTTCTGATCGCTTACGGCTCGGCGTTCATCACGCGTGAATTCCTGCGCTCCCTCCGCTCCCCCTTCTGTCAAATCATGGAGCCCAAGTTTGAGTTCTCCATACGTTTCAACGCACTGTCACTCGACGATACGGACCTCGCCCTGTACATGGCCGCCATCATTTTGTGTGGAGGTGAGGAAATGTGCATGTGCTCGCTGCCACAGTGTAGCTCTTAATTTCGAGTGTTACTAATTTCCAGAGGGGGGGGGGGGCACTTTCATCGATAAGACATCATCTGCGTGAAGCCCCCACCACACATTTGAAACTATTGGGGTTTGACAGCACAATGGTGGCATTTTCACATTTGTGTATTGTTGGGCCGCACGTCAGGGGCTGGACAAAAGGCCACCAGGGGCTGCTGAGTGGCCCACGGGCCTTGCAATGAAGAACATTGCTCTAGTTGAACATCTCCTTAATTTTAGACTCGTTGGAATCCACTGTATGGAGTCAAATAGCATGGGAATTGGGCTTGTTATAGGAGCACCATTTTTAAAATGTGTAATGTATAAACTCATCAGAAATTTACTAAAACATCTTAAAATAAAAATCCATTGTAGCAGGATCCTCCTGAAAAAGAGTCCTACCACTCGGTATGATTTGCCCGTTTTTATTACCTTCAGCATCACAAGTTTAGAAACAAACCTAATATTTATTGAGTTTATGAAATGTATTATATCATTTGCACTTAGCACCCTTCAAAATCTCCACTTTCATAGGGACCTAGTTTCAAAATGTTAAACATTTATCAATTTGTCCCCATTGTTGTGGTGTTCAAAATACATATGTATCTTCATATATTTCTAGTTAAAAGCCTAGACTCAACAATACTTGTGACATATTTCAGCTTTCTAGCCCTTTAAATTTAAATCAGTTACTCACAACCTGTTATTTCTCCCGTAGATCCGATTAGAATGGTTGCCTACGAACGGTGCAAAAGAAGTTCAACATCTATCCATACTATATATTTATTTTATAAGATTTATTCCCTATTAATATACTTTTAAACTACTCATGAATATATATTTGTAAGTGTCTTCACTAAATTACAGTTTCGCCATTTCATGTTTATTTGCATGGCTTGACCATGGCTCGTCCCATTCCTTGTAAATAAAAAATGAGATTGAAAGTTTTACAGTAAGTTATGCAACCACAGAAAGAGCATGTGCATGTGTTTTCACGGCGTGTGGTTGGGGATGGGCTGGTGGGGTCATGGAGTTTGTCCGCTGCTTTTCTGCTGATGTTCTCATTTTGTTGGGTGTGTTGTATCAATTACCAAACAAACAGAATGTCGGATAAACAACTGCAAAGGATTGAATCCCCAAATGTATGGTTTGACCTTGAATGTCCTTCGGTGTGTTTTTCACGGACACGTTGGGTGCCTTATATTTGTTGACACCCTTATACCGATATTCCTGTTCATACAGTTCTATCCTGTCCTTCATGTGTGTACTCACCAAATACACGCACAAATTTAATCCGACTGGCACTGCTTGCAAATGCTACTCACGAGCATGGGCCGCGTCTGCTCCACAGCAATGTAGAGTGCGCGTGTAGTCATGTGAAAATACAACAGTGTATGCACGCATGAAGCTTGTGTATACTGTATGCTTTTATAAAACTGTTCATAGGTGATTTATCAATCACGAGCTGAGACAGGCGCACGTGGTATTTGTGTGCACACACAATCATGCACGCATTAATCATAGTCAATCCAATGGGTAATGCAAATCATCTCCCTTGTTCAGGTAGCCTCTCACACCTTATTAACATTGCAAACAATACCACTGTAACTCTTCATCCCTCTGCTCACCCAGGTTATCAATACTTTCCCTACTTCTCATTTAAATGTTCACATCACCCTTCACCTGCCAGAGAGAATTATTGATAGTGAATTCGTTTTTTGCGTATATGTGTAATCATTTATTAAATCTTGCCCATGGGTTGTGTGAGGCCTCCTTGTGTTAAACAAGCACAATAAAAGTAATGCATAATCCTTAATCCTCTTGAGTTTCATGTTACTTTTCACGTCTCATAAAAATGACCACGCCTGCTCTTGTGTTTTGGCAGACCGCCCTGGCCTGATCAATGTGAATCCGGTGGAGCGCATCCAGGACCGCATCTTACAGGCACTGGACCTTCAGCTGAGGAAAACGCACCCCGAGAGCCCCTTCCTATTCCCCAAACTCCTGCAGAAACTCTCGGACCTTCGGCAACTGGTAACGGAGCACGCGCAAATGGTGCACAATATCCGCAAAACCGAAGCGGACACTGCCTTGCCGCCCCTTCTGCAAGAAATATTTAAGGACATGTATTGAAGAAATCATGTTCCGTGGTGAAATCGCAAAAAGGGACACTTTGAAACGTGTGGGCCAAGAGGATAACCTGATGAACGGCTGAATGGGAAGTGCCTGATAGGCTGTATGACAGTAGTTTTAGCATTACCCCAACATTCAGAAACTTGAGTAAAAACTCGCTTATGGCTGGGTACAAATCTGATGAAGGCGAAACGTCCTTTTGAAAGGTACACCCGAGGGTGCTGTGCGTCGCTGGATCTGCTGTCAGCATTGTCCGCAGTCATGAGCCCAACTCCATTCTTTACAAACCTTCCTTCGTGACCATGTTCGTACTTGCCATGTTTTTTTCAAATGGAGATGTCGTGTCATTAATCACACAATTACATTGCATCTGTCAGCTAATTAGGTCACACGGAACATTTGGTGTTCATGTTTTGCTAAGAACGGGCATCACTATTGTCACGTGATCAGCCAGGTCACTGTGTGATGGGTGGAGTTGCATGTGCGCCAGACTAGCTCTCACCTGTGAGACACTCCGTAGGGATGGGTTGTCTTTATCTTGCAGCAGGCCACCATAATGGTTTCCACCAGGTAGGGCAGTTTTGTAAAGTGAAGCAGAAACATGGAATGTATCTAAAAACTGAAAATAGACAATGCAGGGCACACTCATGCCTATGCCCTCGCGCATTCTCAAACTCAGACACTTTGAAATGAGGTTGCCTCAGTCATCGTTAGGCACCCAGGCTGCTTGGATTAAAGCCTACCGAATATGGAAAATCCTGACTATCCGCCAATATAATTGGGATTACACTCTGGTTTCACACACTTGTGATTTTACTCTGCCCTTTGTTATATTTTCTGGTTTTGAAGATCAGCATGGAGCCTGAGGGCCCATGACTCCCCAACAACCAGAACCCATACACCACAAAACTCCCACTTGTTCATAAGAGGTTTTTTGGGTTAGATTGGGTAAATATATAAATGTGTCGTTAAAACCTGCCACCACCCGACACAGCCAACTAGTAAGGGTTGTCACGTAAACAGAACGTGCCAATTCGTCACTAGTACAGCACACTGGTGTGTTGAAGAGCCAAGCCACAACATTTACAAACAGAGTACGACGTTTCGCCAGTAATTACAACTCGCGCAAAGTTTGGCAGTGGGCTGTTGAGTCGACTGTGTGTCCTTACTGCTGTGGCTACTGCTGGCAGTGCAGCTCGCCACCACCGTGCTGTTGCTGATATCTCCTTTGCCTTCTCTGTGTTGAGGTCGCCTTTTATACACAGCCTTTAGCCATTCCTCGGCAATGCAAGAGCAGCCCCACTCTCAGCCATTTTACCTGGCTGCCTACCTAATTGCTCCAAATCAGTTCTCTGCACACGGTTTCAGACAATCAGCAGCTTGATTTCAAAAGCATGCAAAATTTACCAATGGTAAGAAAGTAATTCATCACCTGCTGTGGAGAGGAGTCCTTCCCGCTCCACACGTACTTGTCCCACCAGTTAGGAACAAGGTGATCACTATACCACTGTGAGTCGTAATTCACTTCGCCACCTGTCCAAGTTAAGCCAATCCAAGCCCAGTCACACCGAACTAACTGCCGTGCATCATGGGTCTCGTAACCGATGGGCGCTCTTGCCTTGACTGCATCCTAAGATATCATCCCATCGTCCGCATGGTCGAGTGACTGTACTCTTGAGTAGTGGCTGCACCACGTCAGTGTAGTCAATTTGAGCCAGTTACCCACCATTCTGGTTTCTATTATCACCTGTTACGCAACAATGCGTCTTGCTGTGATATGCGAGTCATTGATCCTCTTTGAATTAGTGTGTAGTTGTTATGTCATTTAGGTTATTTCAAGCAAAAAAGTTATTCAGATTTCTGCCCAATATAAATTCAAACAATAAGGTTAAAGAAAAATATTTGTGACATATCAGCAGTTAGCTGTTTTTATTCATGAAATGAATATAATTCAGCTCGCAGTGGTGTAGACACTGTCGGCTTACCTGCAATAATGTGGCCCGCAATTTTCAAGCAGTATAGTGTATTTGACGTTCGAGATTATCTTTAAACAAAAATATGACGTTCTCAAAGCATTATGAAAATACTTTTCTTACCAATGACAGAACTGAAAACATAGTCATGGGTAGGACTTTTGTAATAGCATTTTGGAGTTAAGTGCAGTTAGTGTAAATCATAATCTAAATGCATAAGGCTTGGGTGTGTGGTGTTCTTCTTGCACTTTCCTTTATTGCACGGTTTAGTCATCGGCAGGGTCGGTACAGATTGGTTTGAGTGCTGTTTGATGACGCATAATTTTTTAAGCAGTTAAAGTAACGCAACAAAAACGGCAATTGATTATTGCAACGAATACATGTAGTAATGTCTACTTGTTGTGAACATACGTAATTGTATTGTGCCGTGGAACTTCATTGTTGCCATTTAAACTATATGGGTAATACATTCAAATGTTGTACACTTTATTGTTTAAAGGAAGGGAAAACCTAAAAAACAAGTGCACAATCTTTTTCCTCATCACAATCGTGATATCCGTCCATGCGGCAAAACAGATGAATTTGCTGCAATGTAAAACTGTTTGGCAGCACGTGTCCCAGCTTCCGGCTGAGCGGACCCAGGCCCCTATGATGGCTCCGCCAGTGCAGTGGGCGCTGTCCTCTGGGGGAACCCCTCACGGCTCGACATAGTGACTGGACGTCTGTAAAAAAGAGCTTTGTAGTTCATCGGATTCCTCCAATCGAAATGATGATTCTGAGGGGGCAACTTTGCCTTCGCAGCTCTTGGGTACAAATGACAACTGAAGACGAGCATTTGAATTTATATCTGACATTTTTTTTTTATTTTCACTCAAATACTTATCCATTAACGTGAATTGTTCTTGCCTGGGTAAGAAAGTACTACGTTCAAAATGGGGGGTTCCCTCACATGCTGGGATTTAACTCAGGAAAATGCACTTTTCTCATTGACAACACTGTGAACCTGTCATACAACCCAAAGTAATAGTCCATGTGTGGTGATTATACACATTGTGTACTTGTTCCTTTAGGGTGTCCCTTTATACAAAGAGTTCCACTGTCTCGATTCTGATCCTTCGAATATTTAAGGGTAATGCCCTAATTACAATACCTGGTCTTTGATATCAAATATTTTATATCAAGTAAATGAGGGGAGAGGAACAGTAACGTGGCGTATAATTGTGGTATCAAATAAACTTTTAACTCTGCAATGACCCTGGTGTAATCATAAAAAATACTGGAGGGGCACGATATTGCCCTCGTGGCAAGGTGGCTTCAGCAATTAAAATAATAGAACGTTACCCCACTCTGATGTTGGTGAGCCACCGTGTTAAGGTTCTACGACTTGCAGGCGCGGCAGGTCATGACGTTCGCAGGGTTTGGTTTGAGCTTGCTGTGTGATCGCAGGGTGGTGTTGGGCTGGTGGAACACTCCACAGCGGGTTGCGCACTCCACAGCTGCTGCCGCTACAGCTGCTGCTGCTGCCGCCGACTCGTCAGTAGATTGTTGTGGCTGCCAATGTTTTTACGGTATTACTTGTGTCCATACTTGGAGGTTAAAATAGTAGTCATTTCACGGTCCTTTAGGTGTCTGTAGTCAGTAAGATTTGTCAAATATTAGACAAAAAACACGTGAAGCGCAGTAATTTTAGCGGTGTCAAGTTTTACTCTCTGCTCCAAAAAGGTTACATTTTATTACAAACATTTGTGTATGTTGGCATATCTAATGGCCCTGCTTGATGCGTGCGGATATTGGTGGTGGTGGTGGTATTTTCATTACGTGAATTTTAAAATGTGTTTATTTGTATGAAAGTTGTAGAAAATATTAAAACAATGTTCTCAGGAGTAATGATAATTTTAGAATTTTTAGGGGTGAACAGTTGAGGGATATTTCTGAAGGCTGCTTTTTACGCCCATACGTGTGTTTTAGGTTTGTGCATCTGTGTGTGTGTATTTGACAGTGTGCTTGTGCCTTAGTGTTTCTGTCCGTGGTGGCGTACCCCCGTATCCATACACCTGTGTGTCGATATGTAATGTCAGCACAGCTAGAGCCAAAACGTGCCACGACCACACTGTTTTAGTGGTGTGAGCTTAAAGCGTGTGGTAATACACTGTTTATTTCACTCGTAGGTCGTAGGAGATGGTCAGAGTAGGGTTTATGTAAATGTTTGAGCATTTAAAATATAAAGCAACTTTATTGGTTCATAATTGGTTTCTTCAGGGTTAAATCGTGTATGTATATTGTCAATTTACAACAATAACCCTCCACTACCCCGACAAAGCCAATTAAATCATGCCACATGGGGGCACATGTAGCCAATTTTTTGGTTTTATCAGCAAACCAGAGGAGAAATGTTGAAAAGCAAGAAGACATTTTGATGATTGCCAAAAACAAATGTTTATTGCTTTTCAACAATCCTTCAGTTTGTTTAAAGAATCCTTCAGTTTGTTGATAAACCAAATCACGTATCGTGTTTGTCCATGACGTGACAACTTGATTTGATGGGCTCTATCAGGCGGAGGATGGTTATAGTTGTAAATTGACATGCTACCTACGTGACAATCTGACCCAAAATAAACTAATGATGAATCACAATATTGGTTATGAAAGCCTATGTATAAACATATACTTTATTTGGTGTTGAAATTCATACTAATGGGCTGCACTGTTTCTTGAACATTGTAGACAAGTACTACCCAATCGTGTTGGTGAGTAACCAAAGTTACCATTCATGTCTAATAATGCCGATACATTTTTTTTATTCTCAACAGTACCGTTGCCTGTATATATCTTAATAGCAATCTGTTTTCAAACCCTTTACGAGTAACACCTTTCAGGATAGATGTAGGGTGCCAGTCACCTCACGCTTGTGTGCACCTAAACAGCTGCTTTGATGGAAAACAAGTGGCCGAAGGCCATCTCATTAGAGTTTCAACCAAAACCAAGTCCAGTACTGCTAGTGACTTCAAGGGTGGTGTGGTGGCGAGCTGCCACATTTCACTCAGTCTGTGTCAAGTCCGATCAGCCGTGAAGCTGTTGGGAAGATGTGCACGAGAGTGACGAGGCCACGCAAGGGTGACACGACCCCAGCATATTCACCTCCACAGGCCTAAGCCTGTCCACACTGCCCCAGCCAACCAAGGGTTTTTTTTTTACCCTTCTGTGCTTTTTCTGATTCGCTCCACTGGTTATGGAGTCCCCAACCTGGGCCACCTGGGTGCGCAAGAGGTGGCAATGTGGTCTGAGATCACTCCTGGCTGCAACCATCAAACACTTCCGACAATGAATAGGCTGCCCTATCTTTCCAACGTGAATGTAAAATGTGACTGAGATTAACTGTTTTTGGCTCAGTGTCTTAGAAGAGAGAGAATTGATGTCCATGAGGTACTGAAACATCTGTCTCCATATCTCGGTGAAGATTCAATTCCAAAAACATTAAAAACTGCTTAAGGGAATGTATCAACTTCCAATTATTGTGCATGGGTTATTATTTTTTTTTATAACATATCAGTCATTTTTCAGTCTTGAAGCTAGAAGGCTGCCACACTGTCGATTATGGGGAATTATTTGACTATTTTACCATGCTGGTCATTACGAGTTGGTGACGTGGGCACGCTAGGACTGATTCGGATGTCACCGTTAATATTAGTTGAGGCTGGTTTATCGTGCACTAAACACTGCACCATCGCCCTAAATCTGCTGCTCTTTATTTGTACATCGTTGTTTCAGTGGAGAGTGGTAGTGTAGCGCATAGCACACTTTGATATGGATCTGGTGACCTGGGTGTGATTCCGAGCCTTGCCTTACATCTGTGGTGAGTGATATCTGAACTGGTTCTGGTCCTTTACCAATGCACACCGAACAGTTCGGTGCATTTTGGTAGTACATGGATTGGTAAATGACTATTCATTCAGTGTTATATCCCATTGTGTTGTTAACCATATCTCCTGCCATCCTCTGTTTCCATAGCCAGCAATAGCTGTACCAGAATCACGTGATCCTATGAAGATGATTGTGACGCGTATAGTTTTAAATTGAGGAGGGTTTTTTTATCGTAAAGAGTGATTGTGTACAAAAGCAATACATATTCACGTTTATGATTAAAAACTCCACACATCTGTCAGTGTCTGGTGGTCTGCACACACAGCAGCAAAACGCCATATACGCAACATAGCTTATTGCTGTTGTTTATAAAGTGATTAGTAAATCATTATAACAGAAAAATTAAGTCTGATGAGGACATGCTTGCCAAATAGAACCGTGATTTTTGTTCAAATACGTTCTTTTGTTGGTATTGAAAGCTACGCAATATACTGTGCATATTGATTTATATATTAGAAATACAGTATAGAATAAATTAAATTGTTAGTCATCACATGTTCAGATGATTTGAAAAAAAGTTTAACATCGGGTACATGAGTTTGTCATATTTGTATACATTTACAAAGGTAATTTTGTGAGTTGAATACTGCATTGGTTTTTCCCCGCGTTGTGTATATTTTTGTGTTGCAAAACGATTTAACGTATCAAAGAGATGTGGAACAGCTGCGTAGCGCCTCGCAGGTTCACGTTACAAATTGTCGTAAATCGTTTTGAGTGTTCTAACGCTCGTAGCATGTGACCCAATGACACTAATCGAGTGCACCGCGTGGCCTCGCAGGAACATTTGTGACCGGTGATCCACACGCACGCACGTGCCAGGACCCGGTGCTTCCCTAATCTCATGAGCGTTGAGTGGTGTTCGTCTCACCATTGGTGGCTGAGCCTTTCATAAGAGTTTTTTTTTTTTGGGTTAGATCGCGTCAATATATAAATGTGTCGTTAAAACCCTCCACCACCCGACAACTCTGAGCCTTTGTTGGACATTCATTGGCTGGAGGGCAGTTTTTCCGTTGAACAGCCACTGTTGGAATTCGTATTTTTTATTTTTTTTTATTGGGGATAGTAGGTCCTCGGTTAACGTTTTTAATCCGTTTCACGAAAACTACTGTTCACCGAAATAGCTGTTTCTCGAATTCACTGCACAGGTTGAACAATGGGTAAAAATCACTGAGTCTGCAAGAGAGCTGTTTTCCACTGCCACAAGAGAAAACAATGTAAACAATGGGCATCGCTGATTGGCTGGGGACATGGCTCAGCCCACTTACGAGCACTCTGATTGGCTGAAATTGCCCCCCCCCTTGCAGAACATAAACATTACCGTTAATCAAAATGTTAACGTTGGTCGAAACCATTGGGGTCCTATGGTTGGTGAAACGTTAACCGAAAAAAACGTTGACCGATGCCACCGTTAACCGAGGGACTACTGCATATTGAAAAATGATAGGCGTTTGCTGTAAATTCTCAAGATGTTACTTTCTGAAAGCTACAAGTTATGGTACAAAATATAATTTCATGATCCTGCCATAGTCGTTATGATTACATTCATACATCACATGTAATTGTTTTTATTGCTTAGAGTTCACGGTGTTCGTACAACTTACAGCATTCATCCCTGATGTTTATTTTTTTCTTTATTGGTGTTCAATACACCTTCAAACCGTTATCCAAATCTACAATTCTATTCACTTTTTTGCTTTTGATGCAAAAAAGCCATAGGCTTGTTTAAAAAGGACTGTGCAGTTATATGCAACGTGCACTTTCAACAATAAAATATAAAGAATCACTTATCGTGATAACACTTTGAAAGTTTTTAGTAGCCTGAAGCACGTTAGGTAATAAGGTGAACCAGAAACCAAAATTTCAGTATTGCATTTGTATTAAAATATTCTTTGGATTGTTAAACACTCGGGGTTAAAAAAAAATCTAATTCAGTTGTGAACATGTAATGTCACACTATCTGCTATCTGTAACTGTTCAACCTGGTGATGCTAGTAAACCAATTAAAACAAGCTCGTTTTACATTGGCACTTGAAAAAAATACGATTATGAAAATATTAAAATTGACGTGTGAAGTAGCTCATTAAAACGAAATACCTTGGAGTGTTTTAATAGTTGGGCAAGGTGTTTTTTTCTTTGGAATCAATTGAAAGTGCGTAATGGTTGTGTTCAATATTTTAGTTCCTGTTCAATATTTTAGTTCCTGTTCATGACTAAACGAGGTCTTTTTGTCCAGAGCTACCATCACTTTACTTTACTACGCTTTTATGCATAGCATTACCACGTATGGAAACTACCGTTTCGTGCATTTTTATTTTGAATGCGCAGATAAATGTCAGAACATAAAAAAGACTGATTCAAATATTCATTTCATGGTGGAGGGCGGGGTCTGCAGATGACGACATTTCAATTTTCCACAATAGAGCACAAGTCATCTCTTCAAAAGACGAGTCCACGGCGACAGAGCCGGCCCAGCCACTAAGCGACCCTTGCAATTGCAAAGGGCCCCGTGGCCAGCAAAGGGCCCCCTAGAGTCACTGCTAGCTCGTGGGTGAAAAAAATTATACATCAAAGGGGCCTCCAACCAAATTTTGCTTAGGGCCCCCAAAGGTCTAGGTCCGGCTCTGCACGGCTACATTAAGATTAGCTGCTGCTGCTGCCCGCTTCCGTTTCACGGCTGCAGTCGCACCAGCAAAACGATGTCACTTTGCAGAAACTGAAGAACATTCTGTCTGCACACTGTCCACGTGTCTGTCCACGTGTTTGCGTTCGTATTCTGTTTTACTTGGTCGGTTATGATTAGCACACCTTGCCATCTTGTCCTGGTTGTGTATGCCATTTCGTAATTATATTATGGATATATTTTGTTTTACACGTTAAAACATTCTTTTGCAATATTTGAGTATTTAAGGCAATAACTGATGGAAGATTTTACAAAAAATAATTCGGATTGTTCAACAATGCACAGAATTTGTACATAAACAAATACTATTGTTCACAAAGGTCTGGCGTCTATAGATTGGAATACTGTACTTCTGTAAAAATATGTAATTATGCATCTTTGATTGTACAATTTACTAATGTGTGATAAAGCTTTTAAATATTTTAGTTATTCTCTCAAGCCTTTGTGTGTGTTTTTCCCCCCAAAGGTCCCACTGTATTGTGCTTCCTAATAATTCTGTATTCAACACGTAGGTTTTCACGACCAATGTCATCCATAAAAGGTTTTTTTTGGGTTAGATCGCGCACATATATCAATATGTTGTTAAAACCCACCACCACCCGACACAGCCAACTTGTAGGGGTTGTCACGTAAACAGAACATGCCACGTGTTGGAGAGCCAAGCCACAACATTTACAATCTGAGTAGATGTTTCGCCAGTAATTACAACGAGCAGCATCAGGCGACAGCCAGATTTATGTAGAAGTCCACCTGTTTCGTTCCTTATATAGAGGCGTAGATGAGAGAAACAGAAATAACTTTAACCGCTCAGACAGCTACAGGCTTAGTGCGGCCTGGAAGCGTATTAATAAATAATACATATTACAATTCCTTATAGGGGAAACAAATACTAATTAACTGATTACTAGCGTAGCATATAATTACAATAACACACATTACAACTGATTACTAATCTACAACTCACATAACAATTGCCTGATTACTAATCTATATATATAAAATCGCAAATCTGTCTATCTGTCTGTGTGTGTGTCTGTGTATCGGACCATACGCAGTTTCATTGGACGAAATGTCAGGGATTTGCGAGACACGATTGGTCCGGCGGTTGCCCCTGGCAACGGGTAGCGACGCATTCGCCGCGGGGTGGACGCCATTTTTAATTCCCGTTAAAAATAGGCGCACGCATTAACACGCGACTGAGGTAAATTCATCAAAGTTTCACGTCCTCTTCACTCCCCCCCCACCACAATGTGCAATTACTATTATAGGGTCGGTAGATTATAAAAATATAGCGATTAGACAGTATTATTGTAGCGGGGGGGGGGGGGACCCGTACCCAGCCTCAGCCGGGTGGGCAATTTAGGCAAGGCCGGAGGCTCTGCACGGTACTAGGCCTCGACACCCACCACGCGACTCTGAGGTAAATTCATCAAAGTTTCACGTCCTCTTCACTCCCCCGCCACCCCAATGTGTGCAATTACTATTATAGGGTCGGTACATAATAAAATTATAGCGATTACACAGTATTATTGTAGCGCGGGGGGGGGGGGGGGTAACGGCCCCGGTACCCAGCCTCAGCCGGGTGGGCAATTTAGGCGAGGCCGGAGGCTCTGCACGCTACTAGGCCTCGACACCCCACCACACTATAGGCCGTACATACTACTGCACAGCGGCCGAGGAGATCGTGGCTGGCGGGGGGGCAGGGGTAGCAGCCCATCTGTGTATATATGTAAGGTTATTAAGAAATATATTTTTCACCCGGGCAACGCCGGGTACTTATGCTAGTCTAGTATATAATTACAATAACCCCCCCTCCACCTCAAATCGTTGCACCTGATGAGTTAAATGATGACGTCACCCTGCTGCTGCTCTATTTATGACCGGGAGCAAGAGCAGAGCCTCACCATTCTGCCGAATTCCCCGATGATGCTGGATGCAATTACCAGCGAAACGTCGTAATCAAAAATTGTAAATGTTGTGGTTTCACGCTTCAACACACCGGTGGGCTAAAGTAGTGAACTATTTGTCTTTTGTCAACGTGACACTTTTTTGCTGATTGGCCGTGTCGGGTGGTGGAGGGTTACGACACATTTATACTGGTAGGAACTTCCTGGTTACACCAGCCCACAGGGGATTATTGTGTCCGTCGAGCAGGAAGGGGCTGGGTGGGGCTGGGTGGGGAGGGGCTGGTCACCCCGTGGGTGCCCTTATAAAACTCAACGTTTAACCTACTCACGCAGCTTGTGCCCGCCCTCACAGCGGGCATATTTGCGGAATACACCACGCCGCTGTTGACCCTGGCCATTTACCGAGCAACCCAACGTTCCTACCAGCTTCCTCCGCAGGAAAGTGTTAAATAACGCGATCTAACCCAAAAACGTTGATTATGAGGCATAGATGTGGTGACCACACCTCTTCGCTCTTGCGCAAAGTGGGGGTGGGGGTGGATTAATGGTAAAGTCACGTAAAAGGGAAATAAAACAATAATAAAAATTAAACAATAAAATACAATTCTCATGACGTTTCGGCCACAACGCAAGCAGCCGTCCTCAGGTGAGAAGAACAGGTCTGTCGGAAAGACAGCGTCTGAATGAACACCACCAAGCTTGGCAGCGTATATTTAAGCTGGGTTAGGGGAGGAAGGGCGCCTTGACAAAGGAATTTGCGTTTTACTTAATTAAATAGACTTTAAAAAAAATGTTTTCTCCTACAACATCAGAGTGCAGCGCCACATTAAATACGCACTACAATGACAATAGTTTAAAGCGATTTGAAGCATGTTTTATTTGGGGGGGGGGGGGGGGCAGAGCTTTGTGACGTCATATTTGAGCGGGGGGGGGGGTCAAAAATCGTCCAAAATCGCGTGACGTCATTTATGGACGGCCCCTAAACCTTGATAGACAGCTTTCCCCCAGAGGCTAAGCTCCCCCTGTTCCTGAAGACAACCGCTTGTGTTGCGATCGAAACGTCGTGATATTTTTAATCACTTTATTTATTATTATTTTTTCTCTCTACGTGACTTTACCAGAAGAACCATAGAACATTAATTCTTGCGGTCACGAAAGTTTTAACTCCACGAGATTCTTAACAATCGGTTTCGTGAGAATCGAGAGTCAGGATCGTTAAGTCGATTCCAAGGAGAGGAATCGATTTTTTTCTCGCAAGGGAATCGCTGCGCACGTTGCGCGTGCACCGGCAAGGGACAGCGGGGAATCGAATCGCGACTGTAATCGAGGTGGAATCGATATTTCGTGTCAAATGATCGCGGTCCCTGCAGTTGGGGGAGGTGAGTGCAGGAGGGAGCCTCTCAGGGATCGCTTTCCGCTCCTCACTACCCCCCTCACCTCCCTCCTCACCCCCCTCCTCACCACCCCCCCTCACCCCCCTCCTCACCACTCTCCTCACCACCCTCCTCACCACCCCCCTCCTCACCCCCCTCATCACCACCCTCTCTCCTCACCACTCTTCTCACTACCCTCCTCACCACCACCCTCACCACTCTCTTCACCACCCCCCTCCTCACCACCACCCTCACCACCACCCTCACCACCCTCTCCTCACCACCCTCTCTCCTCACCACCCTCCTCACCACCACCCTCCTCACCACCCCCCTCACCACTCTCTTCACCACCCCCTCACCACCCCCCTCCTCACCACCACCCTCCTCACCACCACCCTCACCACCACCCTCACCACCCCCCTCACCACCCTCCTCACCACCCTCGCTCCTCACCACCCCGTCACCACCCTCGCTCCTCACCACCCCCCTCACCACCCTCACCACCCTCGCTCCTCACCACCCCCCTCACCACCCTCGCTCCTCACCACCACCCTCACCACCCCCTCCTCACCACCCTCTCTCCTCACCACCCTCCTCACCACCACCCTCCTCACCACCCCCCTCACCACTCTCTTCACCACCCCCTCACCACCCCCCTCCTCACCACCACCCTCCTCACCACCACCCTCACCACCACCCTCACCACCCCCCTCACCACCCTCCTCACCACCCTCGCTCCTCACCACCCCGTCACCACCCTCGCTCCTCACCACCCCCCTCACCACCCTCACCACCCTCGCTCCTCACCACCCCCCTCACCACCCTCGCTCCTCACCACCACCCTCACCACCCTCGCTCCTCACCACCCCCTCACCACCCTCCTCACCACCCTCACCACCCCCACCACCCCCCTCACCACCCTCCTCACCACCCTCCTCACCACCCTCCTCACCACCCTCCTCACCACCCTCCTCACCACCACCCTCCTCACCACCACCCTCCTCACCACCCTCCTCACCACCCTCCTCACCACCCTCTCTATCTCGCTCTTCACTTTGTTGACTCACCTCACCCTCTCCCCCAACTGTCTCCTCTCTCGTTTGTCCTCGGTATCGTTCCCCTCACTCCACCCCGGCTACCCCCTCCTCGCTGTGGCCCGCCCAGGTGACTGAGTGGGTGGGTGGGTGTGTGGGTGAGTCGGTGTGGGTGGGTGAGTGGGGGTGAGTCGGTGTGGGTGAGTGAGTCGGTGTGGGTGAGTGAGTGGGTGGGTGATTGAGTGGGTGGGTGAGTGAGTGGGTGGGTGAGTCGGTGTGGGTGAGTGAGTGAGTGGGTGAGTCGGTGTGGGTGAGTGAGTGAGTGAGTGGGTGAGTGAGTGAGTGGGTGGGTGAGTGAGTGGGTGGGTGGGTGAGTGAATGGGTGGGTGAGTGAGTCGGTGTAGGTGGGTGAGTGAGTCGGTGTGGGTGGGTGAGTGAGTGAGTGTGGGTGAGTGAGTGAGTGTGGGTGAGTGAGTGTGGGTGACTGAGTGAGTGTGGGTGAGTGAGTGAGTGTGGGTGAGTGAGTGAGTGTGGGTGAGTGAGTGGGTGTGGGTGTGGGTGAGTGAGTGGGTGTGGGTGAGTGAGTGAGTCGGTGTGGGTGAGTGAGTGAGTGTGGGTGAGTGAGTGGGTGTGGGTGAGTGAGTGTGGGTGAGTGAGTGAGTGTGGGTGAGTGAGTGGGTGTGAGTGAGTCGGTGTGGGTGGGTGGGTGAGTGAGTGGGTGTGAGTGAGTCGGTGTGGGTGGGTGTGTGAGTGAGTCGGTATCTTCTCTCTTGGCACGGAATGACTGACGGTGTTTATTAATCCCCGACAGGGACGTGAACTTGTGCACGTACAAGTGGTTTGCATAGTTGATCAAATTTTTTTTTTTACATATTTTAATAGGTGTTCATAGTTATTCCGATGTGACCTTTATGCCTATCGTTAATGCAATTTCAGGAGCTTTTGTCTGTAATTGTCAGACATTTGACAATATGAAAGTAGAACTCATAGAAAAATGAAAAAGTCAGTGCCCTGTACGATGTGTAAACATTGTTCAGATGACAGTCGTGGGTGCTGACACACACGATTTAAACATAATTCGTACCCTTTGGTTTTTTCGGTAAAGTCACGTAGATA